TCTCCGCGATCTCCTACGATCTCCACAGGTACTCCAAAACCTTCAGCACCAGGACCTCCTGTATCCCCCACAACCTTCCCTGAACCATCACCTCTCCTCCCAGCAGCGCCAGCTGTACCACCCAACACCTCCTGTCCCAGACTACATTCGATCAGGTCACCACTCAGTCCTGTGAAGAGTAATCTTCCGATCTCCAACGCATTCCTCCTCAACATCCAAGGAATGAACCCTGGCATCACCAACCAGCGATGGAAAGTGAAAGCCCTCCAAGAATCTATCAGCTCCAACCCGATCCACACTCCTTTCTTCACCTTGACAGAAACCCACCTCAAGTCCTATCACTTAGATGCGGAGGTTCACATCCCAGTGCAGGTTATACCTGCTACCGAGCGGATCGTACCAGTCGAGCTTGTGGTGGAGCCGCTACCTATCTCCACAACTCCATCACAGCAGAAGAAACAAAGTCCTTCTCAAACTCCTACTGTGAACTCGTCACCATCTACAGTAAAGAAGCTAACATCGTGATAGCGGGCATTTACCGGCCCCCTTCAGCTCCTTTTGACAAGTTTGATAAATGCCTCTCTACCCTCCAACAGTTCATCAACGGAATTCAACGCACCCCTGTACTGCACATTACAGGAGACTTCAACCTACCCTTCATCAACTGGACGAATTCTTCTATCGACACAGGATGCAGTATCTCCCTTTCAGACCGACAATCAGCCCTAGCACTTCTGAACTTCAATGAAGAATGCCTGCTCCAACAAGAAGTCCTCGAGCCAACTCGCAAGAACAACATCCTAGATCTTGTTTTCTCAAACGACTCTGACTCGATCCACAGTATCTCTGTTACCAAGACAGAGTTATCAGATCATGACATTGTGAGCTGCACTCTCCTCAATCCTGAACTCCTCCTCCCATCGCAGTCTCCGGAGCGGCCAGTCTTCACCCCCTCCTGCCTCTTTGATGACATAAACTTCAACTCTGCAGACTGGGATGCTATTAATGCAGAACTAGTAGAAGTAGACTGGGCTTCTATCACTGACCCAAGCAACGATCAGGATACAGCTTGGACATTGTTTGAAGACAAGGTAGCGTTCATATGCTCTAAGCACGCTCCCTCGCACAGCAGAAACATCCAAGTGTCCTCACAATCCTCCATTCCCAAGTCCAGAAGGGAACTTATTCGTAAGAAGCGCCGTCTTAATGCCAGGATCAATGCTATAAAGCATGGTGTTAGAACTCCACGGAACAGCGTTAAACTCGATAACCTCAACAGCGAACGTGCTAACATCGAAATTCTTATGAAGGAAGACATCAAACAAGAACGGCTCCGACAGGAGATAGCTGCGTTAGCTAAGATGAAGATCAATCCCAAGGCATTTTATTCTTACGCTAAGAAATCGGCTAAGTTCAAGGCGCCTGTTGGTCCTCTCGCCGATGATGCTAACAACCTCCAGTGCGATCCCACTGTTATGGGCAATATCCTTCAGAAGCAGTATCAGAAGGCCTTCAGTAACCCTGAAAACGTCAACCCCGATAACATCCCTGACGAAAAAGGGCATACAGAAGAACTCTCCGACATCACCTTCTCGGTTAACGACGTCCTTAGTGCTATCAAGGAAACGGGGAGGTTCTCCGCTCCAGGACCAGACAAGTTCCCTGCTCTCATCTTGCGGGAATGCAAGGACGCTCTTGCTCCCACTATAGCCAAGCTCTGGCAGCTATCTTTTGATACTTCGGACATCGCTGAGATGTTCCGCTCCCAGAGTATCATCCCTATCTTCAAGAAGGGGAGCAAGGCTGTAGCCGCTAACTACAGGCCGGTTTCCCTGACCTCTCACCTCATCAAACTCTGTGAACGCATCATGCGCAACCAGATGGTCAGCTTCCTTGAACGCAACAACATGTTCAACCCTGATCAGCACGGTTTCCAAAAAGGCAAGAACTGCCTCACTCAGCTTCTCCATCACATCGAGGATATAATCTGCGATCTCAACCTCGACAAAAATGCTGACGTGCTCTACCTCGACTTCAGCAAAGCCTTTGATAAGGTTGACCACAAGATACTGCTCAAGAAGATCCAGGCCTTTGGTATCCGTGGTAAGCTCTACGACTGGATAGCCAGCTTTCTTACTGGCAGAAAGCAGCATGTTATCGTGGATGGGGTCATGTCCACGATCATCGATGTCATTAGTGGGGTTCCTCAGGGTACTGTCCTAGGTCCCCTTCTCTTCCTCATCTACATTGACGACATCTTCTCCGTAGTCAAGCACAGCAAGATCAAAGTGTTTGCAGATGACTCGAAGCTCCACTAAGATATATCTTCCAGTGAAAGCAGTATTAATGACATTCTCACTTTTCAGAACTAAGTGCCTAATATAATTAAGATAGAACATCTAAACAGTTTTATTCCTGTTCCATATGATCGAGGATAGTCAGGGCTACAAAACCTGACCAAGTTTAGCTCAATCCAGTACTGCGCGTTCAAGATATGAGGTTAAATATACCAAAAATAGAGGTTTTCTGGTGTGACATCATTGTAAATTATTTGGAGTATAACCTCAATATCTCACAAACTATACATTTGTGGTCTTTCTGAGTTACACTATCTGTTTCCTTTGGCAATTTCGGTTCAGAGTCAATTAAGTTTGAAACAAAATCTCAGTATATGTGAAAGGACTGAGGATATCAAGTTTGTAAAAGCGCGCGCGCGCGCGCGCGCGCGCACACACATATAATGACCTCATATCTTCCACATTTAACGATTTTTTATAGAAATTCTTTCACCATCCTGTAGCACTCATGTGCTGAGTAGGATAGCATTCAAATCATGTCTTTAAAAGATTTAGATAGATACTGAGGGAGAAAATTCATGTTTGTAAAAGCGCGCGCGCGCGCGCGCGCATGGCCCAGACTATATCAATGGACGGCCACGGGAGGATAAAAGTACTTTCATACACACCAGCATGCTCATTGATGGCTTAAAATGAAGCTAAGACATACTCCTATCAGATCCACCATAAGTTAGATACCATAATAATCATTAAATGTGTCTAAAATGAGGAAGCTTTGACAAGTGCGAGTGGTTTTGGCAAATTTTGGTATAAAATGGGCCCTGAGATCATATTTTTCTCATTAAAATCACATATATCACGAATATTTATGTGTGTTGGGTGTATCCTCATTGGTATCAACCATTTCAATCATCTAGAGCAGCTTTCCTGATTCTTTATCTCATGAAAATGGGCAAAAAAGCTCATAAATAGTCCAAAATCGGTCATTTTCGCCGCTTTAATAACCTCATTCCTGGCACCCAGAACACTTTGGGTACTCAAAACATGATTTTTCGGATACCTCAGACCCCTAACTAGCACATGGAGCCAGAAAGAACAGCATGTAGGGACTTCTAAATTTCCATGGTTGAGAACCCAATGTCACACTATTCGTTCATTAATCCTGCTTTCACTGCTTCCCATATCGATCGCATCCTTCTCCAAGAAGATCTTCTCTCGGTTGTGAATTGGGCTGATGCTAACAACATGGAGCTTAACGAGGAAAAGTTCCAGCTTCTACAACACGGCAAACTACCGGACTTGAAGCAACCCTACATCTTACCATCTGGAGAGACTCTTAAGGGCTCTGACCACGTGAAGGACCTGGGTGTCTATATCGACCCAGACCTCAACTGGCGCACTCACATAGCGATGAAGTCTGCCAAAGCCAGAAACATGGCTAGCTGGGTGCTACGCACCTTCATCTCCAGGGATGTAGCGACCATGATGCTCTTGTACAAGTCCTACGTACGATCTCATCTGGAATACTGCTGTCCTCTGTGGTCTCCTCACATGCAGTGCGAAATTATTAAACTCGAAGCAGTTCAACGATCCTTCACTGCTAAAATCCAGGGTCTTGGAAATCTAAACTACTGGGAACGCCTCCGTCACCTGTCTATGTACTCCCTTCAAAGGCGGCGTGAGAGATACACTATCATCCTAGTTTGGAAGATCTATAACAATCTCGCTCCAAACAGTATGAACATCAAATTCCGCGAGACCTCACGATACGGAACTACGTGTATATATACGACCACTAGGAATTAGGATCCTCCAAGTACACTAGTGTCAATAACCTGAGGTTCAACTCCTTTGCCTCTAGAGCCTCTGCACTGTACAACGTGGTCCCTCCTAGCATCAAGTCCCTCCTTACCTTGACCACTTTCAAACCTGCTCTTGATGCTTTCCTCAATGAATTCCCTGACACTCCACCAACACCTAGGTACACTGGACAGAACAGGAACTCAATGCTGGAGTGGGCCGGTGGCACGTGTCTCTGACGCGCTACTACTTGGCGGTGGAGATGCAAGACATTCTTGGCCTGGTAGCACTCTAGCTCGGAACCCAACCCAAGTAACCCAAGTAAGTAAGTGTGGACTGTGGTACTTCTTAACTGCTGATGTTATCTAATATCTGCAGTGTGGACCGTGGTACTGCTTAACTGCTGATGTTATCTAATATCTGCAGTGTGGACTGTGGTACTGCTTAACTGCTAATGTTATCTAATATCTGCAGTGTGGACTGTGGTACTGCTTAACTGCTGATGTTATCTAATATCTGCAGTTTGGACTGTGGTACTTCTTAACTGCTGATGTTATCTAATATCTGCAGTGTGGACTGTGGTACTGCTTAACTGCTAATGTTATCTAATATCTGCAGTGTGGACTGTGGTACTTCTTAACTGCTGATGTTATCTAATATCTGCAGTGTGGACTGTGGTACTGCTTAACTGCTGATGTTATCTAATATCTGCAGTGTGGACTGTGGTACTGCTGATGTTATCTAATATCTGCAGTGTGGACTGTGGTAGTGCTTAACTGCTGATGTTATCTAATATCTGCAGTGTGGACTGTGGTACTGCTTAACTGCTAATGTTATCTAATATCTAAAAACTGCAACTGAGTACACACTACCCGGTAATGCTTATACTTTTCACGTGATTTTCCTCCGTTTTAGTGTTGTCCTGTTATACTAGATCTAGTACGTCTCGAAGATGGGCAATTGGCGGCCCATGACCACATGTACTTGGTTGACCACTTTGGTCACTATGGTGATCTTTATCATGTTGTGTGATTGTCACGTGGATCCGGAGTGTCACATGACGACACCTCAGATCATCGAGTACTACGGACACAAAGTTGAAACTCACAATGTCACAACTGAGGATGGATACATTTTGACCATCCACAGGTATTTCAATAACATCACATGTTTACACGTATTGTAAGGTTTTTTATTGATCGGTTTTAATATTTTGGAAATTTAAATCCGAAGATAAACTTTAAACAGACCCCCTTTTAAGAATTATCCAGAAAACTGCCGCCCAAAAGGGAGTGGTATTCCTTCAGCATGGGTTACTGGACAGTAGTGCTACATGGGTAATGAACACGTACAACAATAGTCTGGGGTTTGTTCTGGCTCAGGCTGGCTATGATGTTTGGCTGGGTAGGTCTAAGAGAGGAGCTGTAAATATTGTAGAAACTGGAATAGATCAGTTAGTGATATTAGAATCAGTTTAAACTTATAAGAATCTAAGAATCTTAATTAAGCAACATGTCATTCTGTATCAAAGACTTCAGTGGATAGTCGGTAAAAGAAGTGTGTTTGTATTATCTGATCTTTCTTTAAGTTATATTGATATGAAAGTTAAATCATTGGAGCAAAAACTAAAACTTCAGGGAATGTTCGAGGGAATTACTACTCCCAGAAACACACCACTCTTACCACAAAAGATCCAGAGTACTGGAACTTCAGTTTTGAGGAACACGCCAAGTACGATCTCCCAGCAATGTTGGAATATGTATTGAAAAACAGCTGGCATCATGGGTTACTTTCCTACGTGGGACATTCACAGGGTTAGATACTTTTATACAGGGTTAGATACTTTTATACAGGGTTAGATACTTTTATACAGGGTTAGATACTTTTATACAGGGTTAGATACTTTTATACAGGGTTAGATACGTTTATACAGGGTTAGATACTTTTATACAGGGTTAGATACTTTTATACAGGGTTAGATACTTTTATACAGGGTTAGATACTTTTATACAGGGTTAGATACTTTTATACAGGGTTAGATACTTTTATACAGGGTTAGATACTTTTATACAGGGTTAGATACGTTTATACAAGGTTAGATACTTTTATACAGGTTTAGATACTTTTCAAACATCCAGAAGTTAAAATTTCCATCTAATTCTTTAATTCTTATATTATATATGACTTTCGTGAGGCTATATTAGATAAATAGCAACGCAGTGTAGCTGTGTTAAAATATTTAAAGATCACCGTGATTTATGATCACCCCCAAATCATACTCTGAGAAGCAGTAGCATTAATAGCACACTATTCTCAGGAACTCTGATGGCACTGATAGAATTCTCAAGGAACAAGGAGCTGGCCGGTAAGATCAATCTCTTCACAGCACTAGCGCCGGTGGGAAGGATTAACAAAGCTGTCGGGGCCTTCATACTCTTGTCGGATATTCTCCCTGAAATCTTAGCTATCACTGATAAACTTGGTATGACTGTAAGCAGCTGATCAGCAGGCAACAAATTAGTCTTGTACACTCCCTGTTTTACAGTTAGATTAACAATAACCTACCGAAGCTGAAGGATGTAGTTCCCAACAATCTCTCACTTTTCTCAGGTATTTACGATTTTGCGCCCCTTACACCAGTTGTATCTGAGTTTGGAATTCTACTGTGCCCACTTATTCCAAGCATTTGCTCGGAAGTCTTCTTCGTTATTGCAGGTAGGTGAATGCTTCATTTATCATCTCAGAACACAAAAAATATAATACACATTTCACAGTTTTGAAAGGGTCATCTAGCTTCTATACGTTATAGCTATAGCTCTATAGGAGACAGAAGCAGAAATATTAAGAATTTTATTCAAATGGTGGGGAAAGTTACAGTAAATACTGACAACTTTACAATTTTACAACTGTAACAGGACCAGACGAGTATCTTAACTCAACCAGAGTACCGGTGTACGGGTCCCACGCACCAGCCGGAACTTCTATGAAGAACATCCTACACTGGGACCAGATCTACCAGGCAAAACAACCTCAGGTAAACCCGTAAACCGAATCATATGCTGGAATCAAATCTGAAATGTACCAAATAACATCATCCTCGTAAAGCACGTGGAAATCAGAATAACATTCAAAAAGAGCTCCGTTTCAACAACTAACCCCACCCCAGATGTGGGATTACGGGTCTGCAGCAGAGAACCTGGCTCATTACAACAAAACCAAACCCCCTGTTTACCAGTACACCGGTCTTCAGGTTCCCACTATCTTCTTCTCTGGGGGTAACGACTATCTAGGTCAGTTCACATACCTTTAAATTTGGAATCATGCCAACACAAAACTATACTGTATGATGAAAACTAAGCAGCTGAAAAAGTGAGCGGCAGAGTCACTGTGTTGCCTAATAAGTAATAAGGGAGATTGTAGTTTGCGCCCTTGTTTGATTATGTGTAGGTTAAAACTCTGTCACTCTGCCAGGTGACCCTGAAGACGTACTGTGGCTAATAGGACAACTCCAGGCCGGCGTGTTGAAGCACAGCTACACATATGACGGATACGCCCATCTCAGTTGTCTCTGGGCGTTGAATGCCAGAGAGTGGGTCTTCGACAAGATCATACAGCATTTGAACGGGGTGTGGCAATAGAATGGATTTTAAAGCAAGTTCATAGGTGCAGCTTGTGTGAGATTTTTAAGTTTAAGTTTTGATGTGTGTTTTATAATAAAAGATGTTTTAATTGTGTCTATGCCTTATAATGAGTTATACTTTTGTTCACAATTACCCATTTGCTCACATCACTCACAGTCAGCCGGTCTGACATAGTTAACCAGCTTCCTTTTGTTGTTGGCTAATCATATGAGCGGGATATAAATACCTCATTTCATTTCGTTTCATGATTGTTAAGAAAAAGAAAGCATTTTAATGAGGAGGTCGTAAAAAAAATTATCAATTCTTACAGAATCGGACAGTCGGAAGCTGGGAAAACACATTAAATTCGATGGCGGTGTGTGAATGTAATTAGGCGAAATGACCACAGTTTAAATTTAATTCAAAATGGATTTGCTATCCAAGAAGTAGATTTGATGTTAGCTATAGCTAGGTTGAGATATAATAACTTAACATTCCAGTTAAGGCATGAAATAAAATACCATTTCTATCAAAAATAAACTGTTTAATATTTACTATTCAGTTTTACAATATGCTTAATTATCAATCAAATAGCTATTTGTACAATGGTACGATAAAGGGAGCGTTCACCAATAACTAAACTTGAAGGGACGGGAGGAGTTAACATCGGAAGGGGTATAAGGGTTAAGTTGCAGTCATAGAGAACGTATATGTTTTTTGGTTATCAGAAATACTAAAAATTTCAATATTCAATTCAAATTTATACTTACAACCTGGATCATTTGATACATTTGGTCGTGTTTACAAATAAAGCTGGTATGTAGAAGAGACACAGCAGTTTTAAGACCGATTAGTGCTTTTTTATTTGATATTAGTAGTGCTAGTCACTGCTTATCAGCTTTACAAAAGTGTTTAGTTTGTTTCATTCTATACTATAATTTTCCGAGTGGAGTTGTACCCCATCCATAATTACTTACATGCTACAAATTTTAACTGATTAAATTTTGCCTTTGTTACAATTTTTACGTTTGAGTTAATAAACTATGATGATTATATATGATTTTTACTTGATAGAGTGCTTATGTTAAGTTAAATGTTTTACAGGCTCTAATGATGTAGTTTTACGAAGATTTGAAGCCTTATGTTGTGTGTTTCCCTTCAATTCGTGTTCAAAAGAATTATAAAAATTTCAATAAGCTCATGATAAAAATTGACTAAAAAAGCTGAACTTCTTTCAATTTATGGGAGGGGCGATTATGGCGAAAATCACGGCAGAGAGTGTCGATGGAGACTTATAAAGATTTATAAAGGGGAAAATATTGGCATAATAAATGTTAAGTACTTTGTGAACGCTCCCTTATTAATACATAAATGTGCCCACCAAAATCGCAAGACAAAATATGAAGTAAAACGTCTTCATTGAGATCTATATCTTCCGTTTTACAATGGGATAAAAATGCGAGGAAAATTCATCAAAAGCACTCTAATCGTTGCAAAGTTGCGTGTGATCACTAGTCTTAACGTACAAAAATAAACTTTTCATGCTGTATTCAAAAAATGATTTTCATCTTGAAAATAGCATATCAAATCTTCCAAACTTTTTGATCGCTCGAAATCATTTATTTTCTGCGGAAAATCGGGTATATGGTCGATATTAGTTCGCTCATTAACCAATGGGAATTCATTCTAATAAAAATCGGCACACCTTTCAAATGTACAGCCGTCAATGTGTAACTTTGTATCAAGAAGGTCAAAAATTCCAAAATGCAATAATTTAATATAAGATGTGTAAAATGTGCCCAACCAAATTCGTTATCATTCCTAGTTCTAGCTTCATCAGCAAGCCACTGACTAGTCGGTTATATAAACATACCTAGGAATCAACTAAATTAAGCCTGGTAAATCGAGTAATTTTATAGCATTATAACTAGATGATATCCTAAATTAATAACAGCTCCAATTTATGGACCGCAATTAGTATTTGAATGGCAGATACCGATTAATCGATGCAAGTTGACACTTAAAACGTAAATACAGTCAAGGCTAGGCTATCCAATTCGCTATGATACGATTCCTTAAGTCAGCAGTAGGAATTGTTATACTGAAACCATAATGTCAGTCGATATATGACGGAGAGAGCAGGTTTCTTTCCTAAATACAGAATATTTCTATCCACAGGATGGCCTTTAAAGAAGCTATTTTAGGACGGACATACATATTGGAATAAAATAAAGTGGGAGGTAGGCATAATACTAGGGTATTTGACTTTTGGACTTTAATATTATGATGGCAGGAGACATTTTAAATGTTACTGCAGCCAATGAAACATACTACTTAGAATCGTATCAAAACAAAATTCATTTTCTAATTATTTCTTTAAAATGCTACCTTTTTCCGTGATTTATTTTTCTACCACTATTATGATAAAAGCTGAACTTAAACAGACAATGAGCCGTGAAATTGTGTACATATTTTATTAAACAATATGTTATTTATGTGTATTTTATGGGTTAAAATAATTTAATTTGAAGACAAATGTCCGTAATATTAATTCAGCGTCTAAGCCTATATATATAAAAAACTAACATACCATTTCATTTGAAGACAACAATTAGGAGACGAACAATTTCGAGTCGTTACAATGGGGGTGAGAAACTGTTTTGTTTTTCACAATTTGCTGGCGAAACCATCTTGAAATTTCTGATCTGATTTTGGGTGTGTCGGGAATAGGAACAAATTCTTCAATCTTTGAGTGGTCTCGTATCATGTAGAACGTCCGGGAAGTAGAGCAAGGAATGTCATCTATTTGATCTATTAAGCTACAAGGCAGAAATGAGGAACTGACTGCCGACAAAGAATGCCACTTGAACTGCTACCCTCTTGAAGTAGGACCAATAAACACTAGTCTTTCGAGACTGCACCAAATCCTGCGGGTAAGAATCGGATTAATACCAAGAGAAATTACAACCGGTATTAGTAGTTATCTAGTGCAGTAGTTATCAGCTGCAGTAGTAGCTGAGAAGAAAAAGAATGCGTAAGATGTACACCGTACATATTGTGGTACATGCGTCATCAGCTAGTTGTGCAATACATTGTTATTTCTACAGTAATTAAAGAAGATATGACGTGCGCGTCACAATAATGAATTCAATGACCAAGAAAATCACGTTCGGCGATCGCGCCACCCCTCCAAAAACTAGACTGTCATACATTACACGATGACATGGAATGCTGACGTCTTTTCATAATATCAACTTGACAACCACAACTCCATGGAAGGTCCCAGAAATTTCGCTTCTGGAAATTCTATCTGGGTGCTCTACTTACATCCAGCGACTTGGTGATGTTATCAACAGGAATTCCCATCTCCACGGCAATTGTTGCCACCATCCCACAGAACGATATACATGAAAGTAACGTGCCTGCTGATGTTCCGTTTAGCAAAACTTTGTACCAAATCTTGTACAACATATCAGATATCTCCTTCTGAAATTTTAAGGTGAATGCAACTGAAATTAGAATTACTATTGAAATCAGAATTGTAATTGAAATAAAAAATAAATCGAAGCATATTATAATATCATACATATAATAGTTTAGTTTTAGTCTATATGGTAATTGTTTATTTCTTTAACAATAATGCAAGTTTAACACTACTATATAAGAACTGCTGTGTAGGAGAATGAATCTCAAGGGTCGCCAAGCGATGTGATGGCCAGCCTTGTTCAATCTTAACAAAGCTGAGCATATTATGCGACATTGGTAGGTGCTAGGTAAAAACCGAATCAAGGGCAAATTCTGGCTAAAATAACAGTTCGCATTAAAATCTTTTGTTGCGTGACAAAACTGGGAACTACTGCTCCCAGCCGGTAGCAAATATGGTTGCACGGAAAGAAACCAAAAACATAATTTAAGAACCCAACCTCTGTTGAAAATTTCTGTATAGTTCTTCGGATGAGCTTGTAAACTTCTTCATCTTCATTTTGTTCGGCTAACATGCACATTTGTTTCTCGCATTCCGGCAAGGAATCCAAAAAATTCTTGGCACATTCTTCTGGGGTTGGTAACCTTTCCTCATCGCCTGTGGAGATATAACAAATATTTTAGTAAGATTAGAATTTAAAGCCATGACAAATTCCTTACTGCCTAAACTATATGAGTAGAGGGCTATAATTAATAATTATAGTGTTGTCAAATGAAAATGGCCTCTGAGATTCAAAGGGCCATGAAATTGCGAAATCGTCCCACACAAAATCATCAATCAGCATGTTCCCAACAAAAGGGCATTCCCACAATTTACAAGAATTACCTTGTTGGGGGACGCAGCATTTCCGGTCAAGGTGGCGGTCGGTGGGCAAGTTGGCGCGCAGGGCGTATTCTACATATACCGACGCAATATGACCTGGCTCTTTCATCCCCCTCTGAGAGCAGCACAGCTACGGTTAAAGGTACTGTTAGTGGGGTAGGTGCCAATATCTAGGAACGGTTTAAAATATATATGCCACATTGAACAAATTTTATAAAGCTGCGTGATTAGAAAGAAAAGAATGTATGACATAACTTTAAAAGGAAGCAGTAGAGTTCACGAATTATTATTATAATACTTTGATAACAATAAAACACGTAGATAGACAAGACGACCATTCTTAGGATTGAAAACAATTCAAAATCTTAATCTTCAAATCATCATCAATAATGATCAACTTTAAATCAATCATCCAATATCGTGATTGGCATTGACAATAATGCTTTACGGAAACTTCAATCCATTCTCTTATTGGTTTATCTTAATTGCAACTAATCATGATTTGTAACCCGAATTAGTTTAATTTATCATATCGAATATTGATGATATATAATGCAAATAAATGAACAATGGTTATGTCTAGACTTTAGAATTTACACTTTATTCCTACCACACACGGTGTTGAATTCGCAATATATCTCAAGAAACTTGGCATCATTACAAAAATGATCTAACATCTGAACTTGAACTGAAAAGGCTTCTAATAAGCTCTGATTACCAAAACCTTATGACTTACCTTAGAAATTAACTTAAGAACAAAGTTAAACAAGAAGATAAATCTATAACATCGGCACGAAAACTAAAAAGTACGGACCAAGTAAAACGAACTCGACTGTAGTGGTAATGGTGCAATTTGAGTTATATTCATTCATCACATTCATCGCATACCACGGACTTAAATCATAAATACCGATATAAGTACATATTAAGACGGTGGATCTTAAACCTGACACCACTACAGCAACACACAAGCCGACTAGCCGAGTCACTAAACATTACATCATGTTCTGTGTGAGTTAGAGGAACAAAAACAAAAGCTATGAGCTTATTGTTCTACACTCTTTATTGTTTGCTACTTTAGCATATTGTTATGTGATGTTTCGAGCTTCAAGGAAAACTCAATGTTTACCATAAAACTAAGTATTCCCTTCTCTCCTGATCCTAGTTCCTATATTACATAATAGTACCATTCATCACTTTCTCTAGCTTAGCTTTATATAGTATATATAATATAATAACAAAAGAAATTCATAATTTCCACTCGATTCTCAGCTAATTAAAATTTAAAGACAGACTTTTTATTTTTATCATGCTTCAACACCCGAGGCCAGGGACATTCAAAAATTGTAAGTAACTTAATAATTAAATACCCCCTAAAATTTAAACAATATCATCTAAAATTTCTGGCGATGTTTAAAAGCTACCTCCGACCCTGTCACGAGGTATCAGCCGGAGGTCCCTGCCGTGCTTTAAGAAAACGTTTCCCGCATTCTGTTGTGGATTTATACCCACACCGTCGTTTGTGATTATAGCGCTGGTTGCTGGGGGTACCTGTGTAATGGTAACTGAGTTACAGTACATAAATTGTAAATATTACAGTTATTAAGTTATGGTAGGAATTCGTGTGGACTGCGGAGACTGTAAATACATTGTAATGAATGCCATGGTATGATGATTATTATTTTGGTGCACATTCTTTCTGAAAATTCATTCGTAAACAATTTACAGCTTTATTTAAGTGACATTATGTGTACTCTGCCCAGTGTCCATGTTAATCCTGAAACATGAAATAGAAACATTATTTAACAGCAGAACTAAGTTCCAAAAATACCTTAAATTCTTCAGCAGCAAACTTCAGTACAGCAGTAAAGGGCGTAGTCTCCGGAACGCTCAGAACTTTGAAAGGGAGTTTAGGATCGCTGGTTAGGGTTATCTTGAACGTAACTTTCGGCGCTGCCATGTCTTGAAATTAAGATGTTCAATAAATACACTATACTTTCGGATTTAAAATTAGCACATGATACGTTTCCAGCACAAATTTTAGAATGATGCCGGCTGTTAAATAAATATTGTATACGAAAACTTACATATTATATTCTGACCTAATCATTTTATCGTAGCTTTGAGTATAAATTAGCTGTTGCAGGGTATTTCAATTGGCTGCAGCCACCGCACCTGTACTCTTACATACTTTTTAAACCATAAGAGCATATAGATAATTTGGTTAGATTACTTTATATTTTTAAGAGTACATAATACAAGTAAAACGATCTGAACCACATAAAAAAATCAAGCAAGCCCTGTTATTTATTATATGGTAAATTTAAAGACTCCCTCATGTAATCATATGGTATTTATTACAAACTTCATCATGCCCTTATCATGCCACAACAATCAAGCAAGCCTATCAATTAAGTGTGTTTATGACAGTCAAATAACTAGCACATGTAGTCATCAGCTGAAGAATAAAATACTTGTGGTACTATAATAATATGAGAATATAACAAAAATCTGTAAAATACGAATGGTTAAAATAAACACAATTTCCCATTAAAAAACTTTATGATGATGATGACATCAAAATGATTAGATTGTATAAATGTTTGATAGTGACTAATTCAGGGTAATCAGTTGTAAAATCTATTTGAAACAAACACTTATAGCACTAACTCTGACAGCTAGCGCTTCAATGGTCTCTTCTTCTTGACTCCAAGCTTTCAGAAGAGCATTCTCAGCACTTTTATCAGGCTTCATAGGGACACAATCACTGACAACAGATGTGAACACAAACAACCTGTCCTTGTATGGTGCATTCTCATTATCACAGTACCTAAGAAATAATTTGGCCTGATTCCAACTGAGGTCTGTGAAGTCCTGTATGACAATTGCTGAGGTTGTAGTTTCAAATTTGTGATCCAATATTGTATCAAGGTCTCCGAAATGACTGAGAAGGTATTCTCTTGATAGGGATTCTGAAGATTTTAAATATTCACTGCCACACTTAGAAAATATGTGTGCAATGTTATTTGCGAATGAAGTAACGCTACTTCGCTGATCTTCATGAAACATGAGAAAAATAGACAGAGGGTCAGAACTCGTTGAACTGTCTATTTTGGAGATGATGTTACGCCTTATCTCTAACTTTTTGCTGAGTGAAAGAAGAGGAAAACCATCCAACTCTTCTTCCAACATACTTTCTAGCATTATGGAACAACTTATAGTATTCTTTATCAGAGGAACAGCAAATGGTAAACACAAAAGAAGAAATATTATGATTTTAAAACACTTAGTGTCACTGAATGACGTATGCTCTTCAGAACTGTCTACTTCGACCTCAGGTTTGTCATCTACTTCAGGGATTTCTACCTCAGACCCGTCATCTGAGTATTCAGGTTCAGAGTCCTCGGATTGGCTCCTTAAAACACCGACTAGTTGCGCAACGTTTTCATATGCTCCTTTATCACAACCACTGTAATTGTCTTCAGACTCATTTCCACTATCTAAAGTTGGGTAGAGATTTGTACTCTGTTTGGTAAGTTCAAGAGAGTCTCTTGCTCTTTTATTTTTTCCTCTTGTATTTGGACCTTTGTCTTCCATTTAGAGTATCATACAGTTCTGGATTTCATTGACGGCTACAGCCTGAAATCATTAACAAATCTTATTACAAACTATGATAATATAGATCACTGGATGTGATATTGACACCCTGGCAACAATGTTAAAGGGAATCATATATATATAAAAGTACAAATTAATATACAATGGAGGAATCAAATTTTCGACACTAAAAGTATATTCAACTTATTTAATATGCTCATTGCAACTGTCTCTGTAAGACTAAAGCAAAGAATGGAATTATTCTAAGGAAATTTAACTTCAAAGTATTAAATAGAATATAGACTTTGTATTCTTTCATCCCTCAACTCAAATTATGTTGAAGTATAAATGTGTAAATGATTATTTTTTTCACAAAACTGAGTTTATGTCAGGCTTTACGATATTCTGAGGGAAAAATAAATCAAATCAATGGCTGATTAATTTCAGAGCTGAAAATCCTAGGATTCATCACTTAGAAATTTATTACAGGCAGAAAGACAGCAATCGTGTCCATTACTCTGCTATGTAACCAGAACATTTTCGTGGCTGACTTATCTAAGACTTTAAACTCAAGGCCATATCTGATCAATTTAAAATATATTTAAACTAGGAAACCAAACTTTTCTATTTTAGCTAATAATTTAATAAGCACTGCGAGTTGCGACCGCACTAAACCAGCATTGCAGAGCAACAATTTTTGTTATCATTTGTAAATTTAAGAGTGTAAAAGCATTGAAATACACTTTTAATTAATTGGGATGGGCGTTTCCGAACCTGCACCACAAATGGCAGCGTCACTAATAGTTATAAAACCACTTCTGTAAAGTTGTAATATGAATACTATGTATTGTCATTGATTGTGGATATATAATAAATTCTATGTTTGAATAAAACAGGATTTGAGCCTGTTTTCATGTGGGGCAGTGGCGAAACGTACCTGTATGCCACCCCCCCCCCTGCAAATTTTTTTCCACCCCAAATTTCATACACACACACACACTATACATGAATAAAAAGGTTTCCTTAGAGTGGCCTGGAACAAGTTTCTCCTTTAGGGTTGTTCACATATTATATAATCAGCCGAGGGGGGAGAGGGGCTTCCAAATGATTGCGCTAGTGTAATTTTGACACAATAGTAATGTGTAAAACTGATTACGGAGGGGGTAGACATTTTCCAGAAAGTGATTACGTAATATGTGAACAACCCCTTACTGATAATTAGGGGTCGTTCACATACTACGTGATCACTTTTTGGAAAATGTTTAACCCCCCCGGCCCATCCCCCCTCCATAATCATGTGCACAAAATCAAACCTCGACTTCTTGTATTCGGTCTACAAGTGAATGTATGGTCCATGTATAGTATAATAGTAGTTATTATATCGGGTCTCAATAAGAGGTCTCGACTGCCTAGGCATCAAACCTTGGCAATCGGTAATTTTCCTCTGGCCCGGAGTCAGCCGACCCTAGGGACCAGAGGATAAAGGCGTAGAGACTGTGTGTATCTACAAAAGTGGTTGTTTTTACAAGAGACAGGGCTTGCAACGCAAGGGAAGAAAAACGGGAGAAACAAACACAAAATGCATATTAAATGACTTAGAAATTCAAACAATCCTACACTACAATAAATGTTTATTACATAATTATAATATGTTGTATAAACAAGAAACAGGGCTTGCAGGGCAAGAGATGGGACACATAAGAGCTGGCCACAGAGTGTATAATACAGTAATTCAGCAAACACCTATTACTAATACTGAAAACCGAATCACAAATTATCACAATAATTACAAGAATATATGAAATACTAAACACAATTTTTATACAAGAAACAGGGCTTGCAGAGCAAGGGAAGAAAAACAAGAGAAATAACTGTAACAATTGTATATCACAAAGTCCAGACGAAAATAATCTTTGCACAAATCTGGGAGTAAATTCAATACAGTATACTTAATAAATACAATAACTTTCCGATATGTACATTGATATGAGTTAAAAGTTGTATAAACTAGAGACAGGGCTTGCGGAGCAAGGGAAGAGATAAAAGAGGACCAGGCAAAAAGTATATATTACAGTTATACAGAATAAACTAAAACTGAAAGAAATGTGTATTAAACACTCAATTAGATGTCCAAGACCATCCTGAGAATTCTAGCTGATCCAAGCAGAGCTGTCTTCTGAAGATTAGAGATGCTCAGATTGCAGTGGACTGCATCGAGGTGCTTACGAAAGTTTATGGTGACAGTTCCTAAAGCGCCTACCACCACTGGGACAATTGTAACCTTTCGTAAATTCCAGTTCTTCTTAATCTCTCTTTTTAGGTCTTGATAAGCTAGTATCTTATCTTGCTCTCTATCCAAGATCCGGGTATCTCCTGGGACTGCAACGTCGATGATGGTTGCTGCGTTGGTTACCTTGCCTACCAGGAGAAGATCCGGTCTGCAGTGCTCAATAACGTGGTCTGACTGGATGTGAAAGTCCCACAATAGCTTGACTTTTTCGTTCTCCAACACCTTCTCTGCTCGGTGTTCGTACCACTTTTTACTGCGTGGGAAGCCGTATTCCTTGCACAGACTCCAGTGCAATGCGGCAGCTACTTTGTCATGCCGACACTTATATTCTGTCTGTGAAAGTTTTGGGCACCCATTCAGTATGTGATCTATTGTCTCATAATGATTTCTGCAGAGTCTGCAGAGTGGAGAAGAGCCAGGTGTTTTGTCAATCTTATTCTTTACATAGTTAGTCCTAAGTGCTTGGTCTTGGGCTGCTATCAACAATCCTTCTGTCTCCTTCTTCAAGTCTTGTTGAGTGAGCCAGTTCCAAGAGGTTATCGGATCTGCTATACCCGTCATCTGCCTTGGAAACTGTCCGTGCATCACTTTAGTAGTCCACTTCTCCTTGCGTTTTTCCTCGCGTTGTGTTCGGTCAGTATCTTTGTCTATCTCTTCACCTAAGAGTATCTTGTCTTTGACAAAGTAGTCCTTCAGAGCAATCAGTTCCGGGTCTCTACTCTTCATCACATAGGTGGTGAGTGCATTCTCCTCTCTCTTTACGACTTCCTCTATACTATGAAGCCCACGGCCACCAAGTTGACGGCTGACGTATAGCCGATCAACATCTCCTTGGGGATGATGAGCTCCATTTATCCTCATTAGTTTCCGGGTCTTGACGTCCAAGGCTTTGATTTCTCCAGCGTTCCAAGAAAGAATTCCAGCTCCATATCTTATCACAGGTACAGCCCAGGTGTTAATTGCTTGTATACTATTCCTACCATGAAGCTGGGATTTTAACACCTTTTTGACTCTTCTGATATACTCCTTTGTGACAAGTGCTTTCATCTCTTTGTGTAGAATATTATTGGCTTCTAGTATTCCCAGATACTTATAGCCCTCGTCCTCCAACTCATGGATCTGTTCACCTGTGGGTAGGGTGATGCCTTCAATAGCGGCTTTTGCTCCCTTCTTCACCTTCACCACGGCGCATTTCTCTAGCCCGAATTCCATTTTTATGTCACTGCTGAACTCTGCTGTGGTATTAACCAGTGTTTGCATTTCGTCTTCACTCTCGGCATACAACTTGAGGTCGTCCATGTATAGCCTATGCGACACTTTTGGTCCATCATTTCTGTCCAGAGAGTATCCTATGTCGTGCTTATTCAAAAGAATGGAAAGGGGTATAAGACTAATGATAAAGTGGATAGGGGAGACTGAGTCTCCTTGAAATAAACCTCTATTAATTTTAATCCTCCCAAGGGAAACTTTACCAAGCATCAGGTTAACATATGATTGATTGAATGAGGCTTCAAAGAGGTCTATGATGGATGATGAGATACCGCACATGGTCATACAAGACAGGATCCAGGAGTGTGGGACGCTATCATACGCCTTCTTGTAATCTATAAACGTCATGTTCAAGTTCCGCTTCCTTCGTTTACAATTCTTCAGTATAAGTTTGTCTATCATTAACTGTTCTTTACATCCTCTGCTCTTCTTTTTGCACCCTTTCTGCTCAGGGGGGAGGAGTTTCTGTTGGTCTAGGTGGTAGTAAATGGAATCTGAGATTAGCCCAGTGAACAATTTCCACATTGCTGATAAGCATGTAATTGGTCTGAAATTGCCTGGGATGGGTCCCTTGGAATGATCCTTAATGAGCAGGTACGTGCGACCCAGTGTCATCCATTCTGGGATATCAGCATTGGACAGGCAATTCATCAGTTGATCTGCAATCCTATTGTGGAGTTCTTTAAAGTGCTTTATCCAATAAGCATGCAGTCCATCTGTACCAGGGGAGGACCAGTTGGTCATTTTCCTTACTCTAGTTGCAACCAGGGTGCTGGTTATAACAAACTGTCTTTGTTCATCTGCTGAGGATAATGCTGTTCTGACATCTGGTAACCATTCAGCATCGCTGTTATGTTCAACCGGCTTCTCCCATATGTTCTTCCAGAACTTCAAACAAGAATCCTTGTCAGCCTCAGGGTGGGAGATATCATGCTCTTCAGGGTTTGATTTAAGGTTTCTATAGAACTGCCTCTGGTTGTTTCCAAATAACTTGTTCTGGTGGAATCGTTCACATCTTTTGTTAAATCTCTTTATCTTAGCAGCTTTTGCACGGAGACGTTGCTTGAGCTCTTCGATGATGCATGGTATGCCCTTTTTCTTCAACAGGGGATGTCGTCTGTTAAGCCCTTCCAGTATTTTTTGTTTAAGGGCAGTACCTTTCTTCTTTTCCTCGAGATAAGAGATGTCTTTCCTAACTTGGGTAATCTTATCTTCGATTCTTCTTTTCCAGAGTGGCGTTTTCCGTTTCTCTGTATTCTTATTTGTAGGTTTTTCACCAAGTCTTTCACTGACTAAATGTGCTCCTGCTAGCAATAGAGTGTTGGTTTCAGTGATTGAAGAAGTATGAATCTCTGCTATACATGAGTTAATGAGAGATGTTTCCTCCATAAGCTTCTTCCTGTTCACGTGTCTAAGAGGTTTGGTTTCTATCACTGAAGGGTCTTCTAAGAGGGTTTTTAGCCGCTCAATGATTGCCTCCTTGTCAAAATCAGATACCGTTGCGGTGGGGGTGAGTTCTTCGGCGGCAACAGTTGGGATACTTGCATCCCTCAATGTCCTGATAGCTTGGGAGACAGTGGGTAAGGCTTGACTTGTAATTGTACTTGTTGGAGTCTCTTCCACTACACTAGTTGGGAGTGTTCCTCGAATCTCCAGTAGTTCTATGTCTGAAAGGAGATTGTTATTTCTGATTGACCTTGCTTGGTCTGCCAATCTTTGTTCCGTACAGGTAAAGAGTCCGGCATCATCCCACAGTGACCGGAGTCTCCTTCTGTAACCAGAGTGGGATGGTCGGCTCTGATAATACAGCGTCATGAGCTGTATGTTGTCCTCCTTGCTCCACGTGTGACGAGTGGAAGTCTCAGTGCGAGCCTTCCTCTCACGGCGAGCTGGAGGGGCGATGTTAGGTAGTTGATCCTGCTCTGTCCCATTAGTAGGGAGAGTTGGAGAGTTTGTAAAATTTGAGAGAGAATTCATATCATAACTGGGGGACTTAACACCCCCTAGAGAGTTGGCAGGGAAAACAGAGCACTGAGCGTTGCCCCGCGTCGCCCAGCTCCCCAGGTAGCTACCTCCTGGGTAGTAGACCCGTTAGTAACCATTTAACCCATGGCCACACATCCTTTCGCCACGAGTCCACAACTTAAGATTAGGGGACTTCTGCGGGTCAGTCCACGCCCGATAAGAAAACCACTAGGTGTCAATTGCACCTAGTCAAGATACCAAGAACTAGGAGAGAAGGATAAAAGCTTTTTACAGACGAGAGGCAAGAAGGGGAATTAACCGGGGGACAAGTAACACCAAATACAAGGATATATATAATATAATTTCAAATACAATGTAATTACTAATACAATGGGTATGGTAAATGGTAACACTATAAATAGTAATTATTTACTAAGGATGGAGAATCTTTCAGTACTGACAGTCTATGCTGCTATGATAACGAATAAATATTATATAATAAGGGGATACATCTTAAAATATTGCTGTTTCAGTCACAGATACTTTTCTTGGTTTTTCCATTTTGTGCTTTTTTTTTTTCTTTTTTGTTTTTAACTTTTTTTTGTAATTTTCTTTCTTTTTTTTTTTTTTTTTTTGTTCCTTCCTAAACATGAATTTTAAGCAATTACAAAATCTCACGATAACATTAAATGATGTTGAGAAGGACAATAGAGCCTGAGGTTCTGGTGGTCTACAGGTGTTTCACCAGCTGTTTGGTCAAGTTCTAGCCCGTTACTTGGACTAGTAACGGGGGAACTAACAGTGTTAATAGTTTAAACTTTGTGCTATAACTGAACCTCAGGAAGAAGACATCTGGCAATGCCAGGGAGTGAGTAGCTCTAGCCGGCAGCCATCCAATGGACTGCTGCCGTTACCGACCCCGGGGGTGCTGACCACGAGTATCAGCCTCGGACCCACTACTCACTAGCTCTGGTGTTCTGAGCGGGGGCCTAGTTATTATTATTATTAAATCTAAAATAGCTAATAATTTAATAAATTATTAACAGGCCCCTTAACGTGGGCAATAATATACGCTTTATAAATTATATAAACAAATGGAAGTCTATTTTCCAATGTTGTTAAGTGTCTCTTTAGATCTGTTTTGGTCTTTCGTGGGAGTTCCCACATTTGTTGGTTGAGAATGCTCAACATAACATACATGATGCTTGACTGCTTTATTGACCCGGACAGGCACCGGGGGCAGACATCCCAACACCAGTGCTTATGGGACATAGTGTTGGTCTGCTTCAGGACGTGTTAGATCCTAGAGAAGCCGCCATCCCCTCTACTGCTTTAGCTCAGCGGCAGCATGAGCCCTGGTTTCCTGCCACATTGGTACCTCTGAAAGTACAGAAAAGTGGTGGATTTCGGGGTCCAGGATACTCCCTCTTTGTTCTTTATGGTGGTAATATTTCTCTGAGATGTTTGCAGAGTCTTTATTTCATGATCTTTCTAGTCGGATAAATCCTGGAGAGCATCATTTTGTCCCCAAAGAAATTCGACTCTCCTAATGAATGCTTTTTGTGTGCTGCTTTTTGTTAACACTCCATCTAGATAGGAATGTGAGTCTGCCCCACCCAGCTCTTCTTTCAGTTGCAGGTAACTGGTGTCTTGCACCTCCAGACACAATAGGAGCTGGTGTACGGGGGAATCAATGAAGCTGTTACAGAAACGACAGGCCTCACCACTGCCACCACCCATGATCTTTTGGATGTTCGCAAAGAGTGGTGAGCTGCCGTGAATGTAGTCCATTATTCGGCTGTCCAGATTTTTACTCGTGTTGTGCCCGAATAAAAAGTTGTTTTTGTCTAGGAGCAGCCCACTGTTTTTGATCTTTGTGATCACACCGAGTATCTTGGTCTCCTTGTTGTTACTGACAGTTCTGCATTGCAGATTTGTTTCGATGCTGTCAATCCAGATCTTATTTTTGTAGCTCATTATGTCTGCCTGAGTGTAATAGGCTAGATCCTTGAAATGTTGCTGCGTTAGGTCTATCATTCTGGTTCCGTGTGACTTATGAAAACTTGGTATTCTGCTTTCATCAACTTGGTAGAGGGTAGCTGAAAGATTGTCACCTTGTGTGAGTATTTTGCACATGAATTTAACCGAGAGAGCTTCGAGTTGCACATCCAGTGGTGGTAGGTGGAGAGCAAGTTCGGTTAATTCCCTTTGTGGGTTCAGGACTGATCCAGATATTTTTAGAATTATTTTATTCCAGAAGCTTTTAAATTGATTGAGACACTTGTGAAGCCAAATAGGTGCTGCGTAGAACAGTTTAGTGAGGACCATTGTCTTAAGGAGGAGAGTGAGGCTGTAAACGTTTAGACCATAGTTGCGGTTAGTTGATTTTGTTATTAATCCCCACTTTCTTTTGCATTCTTTAAGTTTTTGAGACGCATGTTTCTTGAAATTGAGGTCCTCATCTACTATTACCCCAAGGACCTTCGTACTTTTGACGTAGTTGATGCTTTTCCCATTAATACATAATTCTGCAGGTTTCTGTTCTTCATTATAGGCTGCAGTTTTCAAGATTATTGCCTCTGTTTTATTTGTATCACAGTTCACTACTAGCTTGTTCTTGATGCACCACTTACTAACTAATTCGTGGTTTAAGCTCTTATTTTATTTATGATTAAAGGAATGTAAAATAAAACTTTTCGTTTCATTGACTAAGGTGGTCACATATCATCTGCATTTTTTCATGGCATCCGGAGATGTTCTCAAAGGAAATCATAAGTGTACCATCATCAGCAAATTTGTAGCAGCTTAGATATCTTTTTACCTCTTCCGGGGTGTTGTGCGTCATGTCTGCTATGTATAGGATAAAGAGGAGAGGTGAGAGTACAGCCCCCTGAGGTAGTCCAAATATTGTGCATTTTCTTTTTTCTCCTTTATAGTTGTTCACTTTTAGACATATCGTCCGGTTGAACAGGAAACTTCTCAACACGTTAAGAATATTTCCTTGAATACCGAGAGTTGATAGTTTGACACATAGTGATGGAAGATGAACACTGTCAAATGCCTTTTCGAAGTCAAGGAAAAGCACTATACATGCCAGCTTCTGTCGTTTAACTTCCTCAAGGTTAGCCAGCATTCTGAAAAGATATCGCGTTGTTGATCTCCCTCCAATAAAACCTTCCTGATCTTCATCAAGAGTTCCTTCAATGTCCAGGAAGAGTCTCAATCTTTTATCTAGCACTCTTTCACAAATCTTTCCAAAGTAGGAAACATGCTGTACCCCACCATACTGTACCCCACTCAAACGGTGAAAGATCTAGGAGTGACAGTTTCCGCTGATTTGTCCTGGACCCCACATGTCAACATGATAGCTGAACGCGCAGGAAAAGTTGCTTCTTGGGTGCTAAGTGCGTTCAAAACGAGAGACAAAGCCACCATGATGACTCTGTACAAGTCTCTCGTTAGAAGCCATCTGGAGTATTGCTGTCCTCTATGGAATTGCTCTAAGAACAAGGACATCCAACAGCTAGAAGGGATTCAGCGTACGTTTACATTGAAAATAGATGGCACCCAGCACCTCAACTACTGGCAGAGATTAAAGGCCCTAGATCTGATGTCATTGCAAAGAAGAAGAGAACGGTATTTAATCATCAACATGTGGAAAGTTCTGCATTGCAAGTGCCCTAATGATATTGGTATCCAGTTCTCGGTGACTCTCAGACATGGTCAAAAAGCAGTTGTGCCCAGTATAGCTAAGTCCAGCAGTCAACGTAATCAAGCACTACATGACAACTCATTTGCAGTCACTGGACCTCGATTATGGAATGTAATCCCAACACATATGCACACCATTGAGGATCTTATGCAATTCAAAGCGGCTTTAACGAACTTTGTGAAGTCATTTCCGGACGAGCCTCCAGCTCCAGGATACAGCCGTCGGAATGGAAACTCCTTGCTTGATTGGAGTGGTGATAAAACAGTTTCTACACTGTCCGGGGGGTCGACTTTTTCGATGGCCCGATAGAGGATTCTATGAAACCCTACAAAGTAACAAAGTAAGTAGGATGATATATGGAAATCGGTCTATAAGCACCAGGTAACATGTAGCTGGATTTTCCTTCTTTCCTCAAGAATGTTACATCGGAAGATTTCCATAGTAGTAATAAGAAGTTGTTACTTCGTTGTTTATCCTAACAGTGCAGTATCATTTGTCTCAAGAAATCAGAATAATCAGAAACTATTTGGAACTCCCAAAAACTGTCTATAGTATAATACTATCGACTTGTTTTCGTACACTACATTGTTTGCATAAAAGTAAAGTAAAGTAAAGTAAAATTTATGACATCACATCATCACACATGTCTACAAACAATCATCGCACTGTGTGAAAAAATATATAATAAATATTTCCCCACCAACATTAATTAATTATCAAATACAATATTTAAAAACAATTTCCTCAAAAACATTATCCTATTTTAAAAACTTCCTAGTGGAATAAAGATTTATAAAACGCTTCTTTGCCACATAAGGATGGAACCAAAGATAATTGTTATGTTTCTCTGCATACTAAAGGGTACCCTAAGGAAAGAAAAATTTTTATTTACCACAAAACAATCAATACATAATGTTATATTCATAAATAAATTCAAATTTCAATTTCAAACACATATACAGTACGCCGCGCACACAGCCACAATTTTCAATTGTTCAGAAATTCGTAGGTCAGCTGTAGGCGCCGCGCACAGGATCTATTTAATTGTTATCTTACAATTACATGTCGCATTTCTTAATTACTAGAGCCAAAATTTCAGAAGCAAAATAATTTAAAACATATTTCTGTCGTTCACGCAGTACAGGCCGTGAGCACTGCGATCTAATTAATAGATCGAACGTCATTTGATGGTGGTGTCTTTCCTTTCATCATTCAACACCATTCAGCACTCATGTGCGAAAATTATTCCACTGAATTATCAATTGGATGGTACAAGATTCTGGGGCATAGTATTATGACTGCAAACATGAAACAGATCGCATAGTTTGATTAAAAGCATGAATTGTCGAGCCTGCTTGGATTAAAATTATTTATTTATACGAACTATTGTAGATTTAAATATTGAGCCCTTTGGCTAGAGAATACTTTCTTAGATATTTTGGATAGTTTTTAATATTGGTAACATTAATGAATTGTAATTGATTGATATGTAATATTTAGGCCTGTGCACAGGTCCGTATTGCCTGATTTAAGTTAGGGAAAAACCAGCGGTCAGCTATCGGATTATAGCGGATATATATCGGAAACTAGCGGATGACTAGCGGAAGATGGCGTGCGCCTAGCGGAGACGCGCTAAAATGCTGCATTTTTACCTAGCGGATGGCTAGCGGAGTAAAGCGGACGACGCGCGCAAACTAGCGGCGAATAGCGGTGTTCATTTTAAACATATATTTTACAATACTCATAAATTCAGGGGAAAAAAACATTGTTTAATTCTTCTACAAAATACAATATCAAAAAATTAATTCAACAACTATTTTAGCTTTAAAGCCTATTTATTGTATCAAGTTTTGAATATTAATGTATTTGGGTAAGCCGCGCAAGTCAAGCAAAAGAATTTTATATCGCGTCGCGCTGAGAATATGAGAAATGATTGCGGAGTAAACAACTAAAGAATCTCTCAGCGAGCCTAGCTCTCAATAAATATAGAAATAAATAAATAATACTAACACGTGCATTACAAAGGAGCAAAAGTTTGCGGAGGCATCCTAGATACTAACACGTGCATAACAAAGGAGCGAAAGTTTGCAGAGGCATCCTAGAACGGTATAAAAACAACACATCATGCACAGGTGCCATTCTGTTTATTTGGTTCACAGCTATTTCCTAGACTCGGTGTTCGAACTTTTGATTTCTGTAGCAGTTTATCGTTAACTTAGAGTTAGATTTTTATTCCGCTTTTTAATTTCCCCACTCTACGTGATAGTTTACAAAAACTTGGTCGGATAAGTCCCTGCGTTGCATGTGCAGAACTTTTAAAACTTTTGTACCAGTTTAGAGAATTTGAAATAATTTCGTTGTGCTTGAATAAAATAAGTTGTTAGTAACTTTCTACAATCTAGAATGTCTTTCATGGATAAAATAACGAAAGAGCTTATGAAAAAAATTGAAGATAACGAACCACTTGAAACATCGATGTGAGTAAAATTTAGCATAAACTCCTGATAAAACATATAATCAAATCAGTAAATTAGTCCGTTCATTAATACTTCATTAGTGAACTGTATTTTTCCCTCTAGACCGTCTAAAAGGAAGTACAAAAGAACAATGACGCCGACCACAGTAGTTCCTCCGCCAGATCAGGAAGAGTACATTGAATATCTTAGGAGGTGAGGAAATGTTATGTGGATGTAAATTGAAAGTTTTGTAAAAGTTGCCAAATTGTTGTCTATAAGTGTTACCATTTTTATATCATCAGAGTACGGAACGAATCCGCAACGCCTCCCCCTCGATCACCTAACCCATCCACTCCTACACCACAGCCGCCACAAGAAATGTTAGTTTTTATTTGTACGGATTTGCTAGAATCAAACTTAAAATAACACAGTTCTCATTAGTCGTTATATTGTATGTACGTAGACATGAAAACTATTTATAAGTCTCCAAACTGATGTGTGCTCTCACCATGTTGAATGTTCATATTATCAGAGTGGGTACCTCAGAACAATTGGCACCCATCATCGACATTGAGGTGCCGATATTTCCGCACACAGTGGATTTTGAAGTGTTTTTCTGTGGCGTCAAGAATACTTACCAGACACTCCTTGATGGGAAGTCTGTCTTCAAGGGAGTGAAAACGAACCCCCTGAAAGTGTCGTATTCAGATAAACTCATCTGGAGGTAATTATCATTATCATGGTTACTATGTCAATGAAAAGTAAGACTCGGCTTCATTTATAAAAAAACTATAACGTGTATTGCATACCACAAACAAACTTTCAAATAAATTACAATTTTGAAGAGTTGACTGGGATATTTCTCAGCGATATGACGAATGCCCTAGCGACGGTGGGCTCGACGAACACCACAGTGTTACCTCATGTGGTGGACAAATACATCGCTGGTAAGATATAAAAAGCTGTAGTGTTATTTTTCTACAAATTTATTAATTTCAAGTATTGATAACTGACAATTGATCTCCTCACAGACAGAAAAGGAAGATCAATAACTCGTCTCCAACTTGACGAGATTGTTAGGAGGACAGCAGCAAAGGAGAGTGGGCGAAAGCAGAACGCCAAAAGAATCCTTAAGAGGAAACTCACTAATAGGATTAGCGCTGCTAAAGCGATGGAGGAGCAGCGGGACTGTCTCAACGAGAGACTCAGAATGTTATAGTAAGTAGAATGAATCATCATTACAAAATAACAGTAGCATTTATGGTTAAATCCAATGGTAATGAGAACTAGTATCCAATCAGTGCATCATTTTTTAGCATTCAACACATTGTATAAATCAATTACTGTTCTAACAGTACATATTTTCAGCGACGAGGAGGAAGTGGTGGTGACAAACCAGTGTAGTTCAGCTTCTCCGCATGACACTGTTTATGTAATAACTCAAAAGTTGATTAATCGACAACATTACGTAACATATTTTTGTATAAATGTACATCATGTGCGGTTTAATCATTCTATGCATAACATGAATAAATTTGAGGTCTAATGGTTGCAGCTGAGCTAAATGGATTGCAGACCGATTATTAACTAAAATGGTACACCGCTAGTGGCTAGATCCCGCTAACTTCCGCTAGGTATCCGCTGTCTTCCGCTAGGTAATAACGCTGCGCGGCTTACCTGAGGACCCCAGGCTATTATGTTCATTAACATAAATAAAGATTTGGCGGAATGACAGGCTGAGCGCGGCCCAGTAATGCGCGGCAAAATTGCGCACGTTAGATGTCCGCTAGGCATCCGCTAGCTTCCGTAGGACATCCGTTATTTTCCACTAGCTATCCGATATTGCCGCTAGGTCCGCTGGTTTTTCCCTAACTTAAATCTGCAAAATCGGCTATATACGGACCTGTGTGTGGCCAGTTTTCACAAAAATATAAAAATATAAATATATTACAACGCTCGATTTCATTTTTACAGAACTGTTAACATGTTAAGAAACGACAAACTAAACGCAACTTTCACATTTTTGATCAATGTACGATGTTACAATACAAATATCACCTTTTGTTAATAGATTAATTAACGTATGATGTATTATTAAATAATTAATTTTGAATTTATGATTTGTGATGTGAAATATTGTAACAAAATTTTGTGAAGTAGGCTTTAAAAAAGTTAAAATTGCATTAATTCTTCTATAGCTAGCTTGCTAGTTTTATTTATTATTAGTTTCATTTATTGCATTTCTCTTAACGGGTGATACTCGTAAAATATCTATTCCATATATTAGGACCGTCGACGAGTCCAACTCGGCGCGCGTCCTGGTAGGTTATAAACCTACAACATAGCTCTAACCATAGCCCTTTCGTTTGCAGTAGCTCCCGACTGCCGAAGGCGACACAGGAAACAACTTGTGAAACAATTTTTGTGAAAAAAGCGTTTTGCACAAGTAGAATAGTCTTGCCACCTTCGGCGGTCGCGCGCTACTGCAAGCGAGAGGGCTCTGGTTAGAGCAACAGTACGCGTAGACACATGGCTATGTAAATTTATTGTACGCTACTCTTACGTATATAATGCGAGAACATATTTCCAATATACGTGCGCAAAAGTAAAAAAGCTAAAGGTATTTAATAAAAAGTTACCTGGGTGCCCCAATTTGTAATGTTAACAAACATAATTTAAATATTTGGGCGGAATGACAGGCTAGGCTGAGCGCGGCTCAGTACATAGTAAACAACGGATCGTGTCATAAACTAGCAAGTTGAAATAATAAGTGAAAATTTGCTCTATCCAGCTCAGAGCCCTTTTGCTTGCAATCTCATGGCTAGGTGAAAGTGAAAATGCAAAAATAATCAAATTAATAAATTATCAGCGGAATTTAAAATTTAATTTATTCGTTAAAAAAATCTCAGCACTTATTTTAATTCGGACATTCCTACAGCCACTTTGTTACAAAAGTGTAACCAGCCAATTACAGGAAGCCGGAGGATTCAATTATAGATTAGGCCAGTGACGGTTAAGGTAGTGTGTACCATACTTGTAGCGCGATGCGTTACTGTGCCGCGCCGCGCACTCAATGAGGCTTCGTTGGCTAGATCGGCGAAATGCGCTACTGTGCTGCGCCGAGCTGCCATGAATTGACATCGTCAATTAAGTACCATACTTTATTCGCCCGAGTAGAGACTTAGCTGCAATGGGCAGCTCCTCATTTAACCCTCACACCTGATTTCTCGAGTATTCGGCTGAGTGGGCCGGGGGTTTGCATAGACCACTCAGGATTTTTAGCTGAGCGTCGATGACGCTCACCCTACGGCTAGTGACAGAGTCGGTAATCAAACCTGGTACCTCGAGAAATGCCAGGCCGATTTACCAACTAGAACTGAGCCACTAAGCCGAATAGATTCTTGGTTGACGATGTCAACCCATCGAGATCGTTGCTCTGCGAAGCAGAGCAACGATCGACGATGCGAAGCAAGAATGCTAGTTCGCGCGGCGCGTCGAAGCGGCGAAGTCCTCCAAAATAGATTCATATGTTGCCGTATAGATTCATATGTTGTATTTACTGCTGAAAGTATTGACACAGTGGTGGATTGAAAGAACCGGGATTTTTCCAATCGAGACACTTTTTGATATAGTGGTATCTATAGCTCCCTTCCAGATTCAATATTATGATGTTTCTCTGATATAGTATACTGGAATGCTGTTTTCAGCATCCCAATGATATGCTTTTAGCATTACAAAGCATTGAACAAAACAATAAATAAATGAATTGAAACTTCTTCCAGTGCACAATCGACCAGTTGTTAATTTCCTTTGCTTTTTATGTTTGATAGATAACTCAATAATCATAGCGTATGGCATCCAATCGAAAGCCAAATTTCCAATATTAGACTATTTAATGCAGCTGTAGTTTTCGCCTGTTAATTCTAACTAAACTACTGCTAATAACAAATTGCGGTAATTTCTTCACAAAGCTTGTTGCATGGGAGTTAAGATTTCCTATCTTCGGTAGTTCAATTTCTCCTGCTACACGTTTAGCAACCTTGGTACAGCTCTAAGTTATACCGCTCTGTGTGGGTAATTGGTCAGTATCATCTTGAGTCCTTGTAGGATAGAGTAGAGTTCAAACTGTTGATAATTTACAAATACTTTCAGGAGCTGCAATAATATATGTCAAATTATCGCTGTTACACATGTGATACAATTTGAGATCAACATCTGTTGTGAATATGAATGATAAATCAGTGTAAGTAAGATCACTAGTGTCTTAGACTTTTTGGTTCTTTACTGATAGTTGAAATTTGATATCTAGCGCTATCTAACACTATCTAATAAGTATGACAGTGTGCATAGACACACTGTTGCAAATGTTGCAAGTTAAATTGCATTACATTTCATTCCATCATGTCTGTAATGGTTTAATAGTTTTATGATACCTTGTTTTACTGACTACTTCAATGAAGAACGTACATATGGTATTCAATAAAAGTATAGATTGGACTCTGATATTAGTAAATGTGTATGATTTTCAAAATATTGAACATACTCTGCAACCTGGTAGCGCAGCTAACACAAAAACAAAAATTTTGGCCTAGCTTGTGCATAACCTAGTAAATAACCCGCACTCCGTTAAAAGCCGTCTGGAGAAACTCCGCAAAATGTTCATTGTAGTCAGCGGGCACAAAGAAGCATTACTAGCAATTGTGTTCTTTACACAATTTGAACATTTTCGTGGCTAATTCATTGAACAACGTCAGACTTAATATGTATTTAGTATTAAACAATTCAGTAAGTTATCTTTTCATGTACGCGTACGCTGCACTGTACACTGTAGTTAGTAAATGTAAACCAAACAAAGTAAAAATTGTGTATTTTTTGTACATTTTTTAGTGTAAATTAATTTATTAATTTATCACTTGTACACATATCACAAATTATTTTATTATAATAAAACCACTTCTGTGAAATGGTTATTTTGACTTTAAATATTTGAACTAAATATGAATTGATTGTATTGTGGGTATAAAATACAATTTTGTTTTACTAAGTTTTGTTTTACTATCCACAATTTTCAAAATTATTCTATTAATTACATGATTTTAATGTTAATGAAAATACATCTCAGGGAGTACTTGCGGCAAGCCATAATTTTACTTGGATTCACAGTTTGGTTATCAGTAGTATACTCATTCTGCTCCGAGGATGTAGACTCTTCCATGTGCTACTACACTGTCTTTCCCCCTGTGTTGGCTCCTGCAGCACTGGCTTTCTTTTATGTGAACTGGCTTGGTTATAAAATGTTTGTACATAACTGATAGTGTCTTTTAAAAATAATTTGAATGGTATTTACTATTTCTGAGAGAATAATGTTAACTAAGAAAACTTAAATTGTTCCAGATTGAAATTATAAATATAATCTCACAAATGTAATATTTATGATATAAGCATAACATATAATTTGGTTGTTATATATTATTGTTGTTCTACTTCCTTTTAATTGGATATTATGTAAATTGATTGATCGTATTGATTGATTGGTAATATTTAACTATAAAATTGTCTTTCCTCAAAAAAATGTCTTATCTCAATTGCATGAACAAAATTAATATCATTTAGCAAATTTGATCTTTTTCAGACATTTATGTATTTTATCAAAAATAGTCTAATATCACTTATTTGAAATTGAATAGGAGGACTTAATCTGGATCGTTTTAGTCTGTGATGACTACAGCAAAACGGCAAAAGCTTGACACTGAGGATGATGAAGGTGAATAATACTATACAGAAAAACTGGTCAGGAATTTGATCATGTGACAATCATATACTTCGAATTTCATGAATCTGCCAAAGTGCAATCGGTTTACCAACGTTATTCAACCAAATTAGTGCCACTTTTCTACCAATTTCCAAGGTCATCAACAATACAATATAGCCATGAACCCAGTGACCTGGGTAATTTATCATTATTTTGCATTGGCATGTATTATAATACTGTAGCTTCTTCTGAGGTAGACACTAGACATGTATAATAAATTTAAATTACCAATCCTTCAGTAAGATCAGAAGAAAAGCCTACAATCAAAGTGGAACCAGATGATTCAGTACCAGTCATTGTTAAAACCGACCCGATTAAATCAGAAGATATTAAGGTTTGAATTTGCAACATGTGATTAGTATAGGAAAAATCTGTTGCTTTTCAGATACAAGTAGACTTTTCAAGTTAACCCGGGGATTGACCCTTTTTAATTAAAGCTTGTTATAAGGCTATTCCTTAGATTTGATACAACAATTGATATGACTATAAAAGCATAATTAAGCTCTCCTCAGATTGAATACAACAGTGATGATGATTATGTTGATGAGGATGATGATGACGACAGAAAGCCCCTCATTTCTGCTCAAGAGAGGGAGTGGAAGTCTAAGCACTGCCCTTATCTTGACACCATTCAGAGGTCAATCCTTGATTTTGACTTCGAAAAGGTACGGTTTAACTTGTTAATAGTTCCTCCAAATAAACAAAGACGTTCAAGAGTTGAGTTTCAATCTGCAAACAAAATTTGTTTACAGTGTAAATTTGTTTCTTCTTTTGAAATCATGAAATTTGTTACAGGTTTGCTCAATATCTCTCTCCAACCTGAATGTTTACGCCTGTCTCGTGTGTGGAAAGTACTTTCAAGGTGATTTTACAGCGTCAATTATTATCTGTCTAATTCTGTATAATTCTATAGAGTTGCTTGGTACTGAATCCATACTGTTTTACTTTCATAGTACCCAAATAGATTGTTTTTTTTTCAACAATAATACTTATAAAGGTTATTGACGATTTTATCGTTCTAGCTTCACTGAATCTATCAACCACCAGGTCGTGGTAAGAACACACACGCGTACACGCACAGTGTTCACGAGGACCACCACGTTTTCTTAAATCTACACACTCTCAAATCCTACTGTCTCCCGGACAATTATGAGATCATTGATGCGACCTTAGAGGATATCAAATATGTGCTGAATCCTATCTTCACCAAAGATGAGGTGGGCGTTTTATAAATTGACAATAGCCCATAAATTGAATTATTTTTTGATCTTTTGACGAATTTTATAAAATAAAATAAAATTTGTATTAGTGAACATAAAGATGTATAGACATACAAATTTCCCAAATTTCTGTCCGTCTTTATCAACTTCCTAACAGATCAAATCGTTGAGACACACCCACAAAATATGCAGAGCTCTAGATGGAACATCTTACTATCAGGGAATTCAGGGGCTTAACAACATAAAGGTATTTTCTAAATATTTTCTCTTAGTTTGGCACTGTATTTCATTTTAACTTAACTTTGTTGATGATTAAGAAAAGTTAATTAAGCAGTACTTAATCCCTAAAATTTAGAACGTTGTCCCGATACTTGTGATATTCAAGATTATTTATGCATGTTTTATGTCTGCAGGCAAATGACTACATGAACGTAATCCTGATGTCACTGTGTCACGTCACTCCAGTTAGAGAGTTCTTCTTGGACGTAGGCAACTACTCCAAAATCAAACTCCCCCCTGGTAGCATCATGTATCCTTTAGTTCAGGTAACATTCACTAACTTTTAGCAGATCTTGTACTTTAAAGCAAGATCTTATTGTACGGATTAATCAATTAGATTGCCCTGCATAATCAATTTCCCACCTGATTTAAAGGTTAACTTGACTCGATTTGCTAGACCAAACTAATTTAATCTTATTTCAACTCCGAATAAAATTCAATCTAAGAATACCCTAATCTAACACTTCTTGTTTTCAAGAATATACCCTAATCTAACACTTCTTGTTTTCGGCAGAGGTTTGGTGATCTGGTGAGGAAGTTGTGGAATCCTCGGAACTTTAGATCACATATTTCCCCTCACGAAATGTTACAAGCTGTTGTGATCTGTAGCAAAAAGAAGTTTCAGTTCACTAAACAGGTACTGATCTCTTGGCGTTGAATACTTTTGTGTTAATAAATAAGAAAATGACTAAACGACTTTGATAATTAGGTGACTAGTATTAGTCAATAAATATTAAGATATTGTCTTATTTAGTTATTATCTTCTAAGTACATAAGTGTTATCGATTTTATTCAAGCATAAGTTTCCAGTCCTTACCTATTTTTTTGGGATGTTTAGATTAAGCAGACTTAATTTTAAGTCTTCAATTTATTATTATTCCTATCCATATGTTTCCTATCCATATTGTGTAGAGTTCCTTAACATGCGAAGTATGATTACTAAATCATAATGATAAACTCAGGGTGACCCTATTCCGTATCTATCTTGGTTGTTAAACTCACTTCATTATACGTTAACTGGAGCTAAGATCAAGAGGAGCAGTGTTATCTTCGATACTTTCCAAGGTAATGTCTAATCTACCTGTTGGCAGGAAGAAGTTCACTAATTTAAATTGAACTAAACCTTGTATTATTAATGACGTTCAATTAATGTCGATAAAGATTTATACGGAGAAAATAATTTTCAAGAGCAGCTACACTTAATGATAATATTCTTAGAGTCATACATGGTATCTTGTGTATCCCCATAAATGTTGCTATAACACACAGCTGTAACACACACCTCCCTCACTAACTTTGCACAGGGGAGATGACAGTCCACAGTAGGAAAGTGCCTCCGCCGGGGGAAGCAGCACTAGGTGAACAGTACAAGACAACCAGCACATCCACCTCCTTCCTCTATCTCACTCTGGACCTTCCTTCTTCACCTTTGTTTACTGAGGACGGGGATCACAACATTATTCCTCAAGTAAGATTATCAGTTGGGCTTTTTGGAACTCTCAACTCAGGGTTAATTGATCTTTCCTGGCCTGAGGGACTAAGTTTGTGTTATATTATACTTTATTTCAATGGGTATAGCTTTTTAAATCAATATTTTTGAGCTTTTTTTTGTTAACGGTTTGTGATCCAGGTTCCGATTTACAAGTTACTTGAGAAGTATAACAATGTGATGGAAGTAGAACATAAAACCTACGACGCAACCTATCTTAAGAAGTACGAAATCACTAAGCTCCCCAGATACCTCATCCTCGCTATCAAACGGTATGTGCAGGGTACACTAAACATACACATAACCATTAACCACCACGTCTTGGTGGTCATATAAGCTAGGTTTCCTTGAGATACTGAGTCTTGGACTATTCCGTCCTAAAAACAAAAAACAGTTAGTCCCGTGATACTATAAGTGTCCTGAAATGAAATAGACCCCAGAAACGAGCTTATGATTTTCCGTGATATGAATTTATCAGATAACATTACGTATGATAACTAAATTCTTCTCTCAGATTTACGGAGAACAGATTCTTTATTGAGAAAAACCCCACAATCGTTAACTTCCCGATATCATTTGACATGGCGGAATTCATTGAGACAACAGTATCAGACAAGTATACCAACACGGAGTACAATTTGTTGAGTAACATTTGTCACGATGGTACGCCCACTGCTGGTACCTACTCGACTCATCTTCACTTGTCCAGGTACTGTTCAATCTATTTAGTGACGTAATTATTTGGTATTACAGTACTATATTATGTGATACTGTGTTGTTCTACGGCTGTACAGTGTAAATACAGCTTTAATTAGCCCTTCTCATTTGCATGCCCCTGTGGGCCAGTATTCACCATGCTCCTTGTTATTTGCATGCCCCACCCTGTGGGCCAGTATTCACCATGCTCCTTGTTATTTGGTTTTAACTTCAGTGCGAATCAGTGGTTTGATGTGCAGGATCTGCACGTAACTAAACTACAGCCTCAGATGATTACCTTATCAGAGTCCTACATACAGGTACAACTGCTTATCTTTTATCAGGGTTTCTTAATCATTGAGATACAAATTTACAGGCTTTCAAAATCTCACAATACCTCTTTATAAATAATTCTAGGATTTATTTTCACTCTGATGAAACGTTACTCTTAGATTTACGAACGAGCGGATTTGGCTGAAGATTCAAAAGGATAGTGAAGAGTCAAACTGTAGGCTTTATAATGCACATGCCATAATACTATACTATACATGAACATTCTCCTTCAGATATCGTGTTTAATATGCTAAGCACAGTACCCATTATAAATTTACGGCCATGCTAATTATCGGCTTGGGTAGATTTAAATTTGATTTGGCGAGAGTTCATTTTTGCTACATTTGGTAGATTTGAGAGCCTTTTTTATTATGTTACCTTTTTATTGTACGATGGTCTGACAGCTATTGTTTGCTTCAAATGTGACAATTCTAGATATTTATTGAATCAATATCCTTTTATCAACTGTTATTTTTTATTTAACTTGAATTTATACAATCACTCGTAAACAATTATAAGTCACAAATTTAACAATACAATGCAGTAAATTTTTTGAATCATCCTTCAAGTTAAAAGTATCTATAAAGTTTGATAACTTTCCACCATGAAGCATGGACCCTCTTGCGATCAGTAACAACTTGAAACATCTGTCCCAGCATTCCGCCTCGGCTCTCGCTTCTGTAACCGAGGCCAGCAACAATGGAAATAGTGGTGAGCTATTAGATATTAGCTATATTTGCTTTAATAATGTTGAAATATTCATCCTTTCTTCAAGATGCTACCAGATGTAAAGTACCCAAAGATTTAGTTGATGAAATCGAAATTAATAATCAAAACTACGAATTACCATTTCCAGTAATATTAAAATTCCTGTAACCCTTGATACTGCAGTGAAAGAGCGGTTCTCTTCAATAGAAACACAGCTGAACAGTGTAAGGAAGATGGTTATTGACGGGGGTATGGGACCTCTTTCCTGTAGTTCTGACCAGATAAAGGTACACTATATATATTACAAAATCTGCTAATATACCGATTCACTTTGGTGTTGATTTGATGACATTTCATGATGTTAATATTAAAATCTTCGCTTGGTTGGGTCAGTATGGTCTAAATCATGCAGCTCACTGAATCAAGGCAGTAAGGTAGTACGTTTCGTGAAAAGTCAGGATGAGATGTGCCGAAATTTTTCCTTCCTTTTTAATTTATATACTAGATTTGAAAGTTCAACCTTTTTGTCTAGCAGTATTCTTGCTCTTATTGTAGGCACTGGGCATGAACAATGATTCTCATAATCAATTCATATTTCCTGAGAAGCAAGAACTTATCATGGGGTCTTTTAACTGTTTCCTATTTCAGTTCCAAGTTGAAGAATTAAAGCTACAGAACACAAGATTAGAAACGAATAGTCTGGCTGCTTTTAACAGAATGAAGGAAGCTTTAAATATGCGTCATTGAATATTACATGTTCTAGGGCAAGAGTGCCTTTGCATAGGTATTATAACAAACAGTGTTCATCAATTAATGTGAAATGGTTGACGAGTTCGTGCAGTGGAATCAAGAACAAAGAATAAGATTGCATACACAGACTTAGGCGATGAATGCAATATTATTGGGACATTTCTTGTTCGTTTCACTGGGTTATCAATTATAATTAATATTTCCATATTGTAGATAAAATCCTTGACAAGTCATCTTTATCGTGTTTAAGCTCTAATAGTGTTTAAGCTGTAATAGTCCTCTAAAAGACCATTCGCATTCCTGACATTGTTATTAGACTGCTTCAAAAATTGAATTGTAAGTTTGAAATTGATCGCTTTATTGATAGCAGTTTCTTTAAGTCTTTATTCTCTCTGTGTAACATGTGCATTTCTTTCAACAAACTGTTCGAATTTACCGTTATAATTCCTGATTCCTAATCTAAATCTCCAATTCGTCAGTAAGGTGTGTACTTGTGTTGCGGATGGAGGGCAACTTGAAAGTCTATGAATGTGAAGAATGTTCTTACAGTACTAAATATGAGCATTACTTGGAACGTCATACCAGAACTCATCTTGACAAGGTTAACACATCAAACAATCTACTGCACGATTCTGTAAAAATAACTTCTGCACTTGGAAAGCAAGATCCTGTCAAGATTACGTCACCTGCATTGCAACAACAAGAGTCAGGCGATGTAAACAAGGCCCAAGATACCATGTTAACTGAGTACAAAGAATGTGTGCCGTCAGATGATTCGACAACCGATTCAGAATGTGATAAGACTGAAAATTATGAGGTGGTGGAGGGACCTACAAAGAAGGTTAGACGTGACCTGAAAAAGGAAGAGCTACCTGGTCTTCAATTCCAAGATGGGGTTTATCATTGCCACCTGTGTCAATATAAAAGCACTCGCACAATAACAGTTAAAAATCATATTAAAGTCAAGCACCTTGGAGAAGCTCTGTTTTCATGTAAAGAGTGTGATATCCAATTCTTTGCTCGAAAACCGTTCCATAAACATAATGTTTGTTTTCATCCTTCACGTGTTAAAAAACGCCCTTATCCTGTCAAAAAAGAACATGCCAAACTTTTTTCATGTCCAGATTGTAGTTACACCATGTGCATAGGAAAGAAAGCTGTTTTTCAGAGACACTGTTCGATTCATGCGGTCCCAAAAAGTGAACTATTTACTTGCCATGTATGTCTTGTAGATTTCAAAACACAACATGGTTTGAAAACCCATTATGGAATGTATCATAGAAAAGGAGAATCATTAACATGTGACATGTGTTTTAAAACCTTTGGTAGAAATAGTCAGTTGGAAGATCATGTTCGTAGACATACTAGGGACTTCAAATTATTTTGTGATAAATGTGAGAAGGGATTTGCATCAAGGTTTGAGCTAAAAGGTCATCATATAACATGTTATGGACTAGCAAGCATCATTGAAATGCACAATTGCAGTTATTGCAGCTTTTCGACAAAAGAGAAAGGAGTTTTGATGGATCATGAATATAAGCATGGTTCAAAAGAGCCACCCTATAAATGTGAGCTAACAGATTGTGATTATACCTCTTTCTATAGAAGGAGTCTTCAAGAGCACAAGAGGAAAAAACATGGAATATTTGTACATCCGAGAGTTCAAATACTTACTAATTTGTGAACCAATATAATTTATTTAAAAAAAACAGAAATAGGTCGTATCTTAAAATCTATTCCTTTAGAATAGATGGTCGATATTTCAATTTTAATTTTTATCGCTCATTTTTTAATCACAAGTTTTTGTCCTTCATCATATTGTGCACAAACGATATGGATTTTCTCCTTCTGCACTATTGACCTTATCCAACGGTTTTGGCTGGAAATATGGGATTGCTTGATTTCAATGTAAGCCGTTTAACTGACCATCATCAGTTTTAATACATCATGTAGGAATAGGATGTGTAGAAATGTGTAGGAATAGGATGTGTCTATCGCAGAATTGCAATTTATTATAAAATATATCATGAGTACCGTAATGTGTAAATTATCTAGCTATTTTTTATCTTTGTCGCATAGTAGCGGGGTAGTAAATACAGTGTTTCGTTTATAATACAAATTTATCATAAAAATTTATGAGAACAATTTATAATTTTTTATTAGAATTGTAGGTTCTTTTGCGATAGTCAAAACGCGACAACTAGCGCTGGATGGCGACAACTAGCGCTATCCAGCGCTAGTTGTCGCCATCCAGCGCTAGTTGTCGCTATCCAGCGCTGGATAACGCTGGCCAGCGCAAAATATATATGTTCGATAATTGTCGCTATCCAGCGCTAGTTGTCGCCATCCAGCGCTAGTTGTCGTCATCCAGCGCTAGTTGTCGCTATCCAGCGCTAGTTGTCACTGGCTATGCGACACTGTCGCACGCGATAGTTTGCGATGGCCAGCGCAACTGGCCATCGCAGAAAACAGTTCGATAACTAGCGCTGGATAGCGACAACTAGCGCTGGATAGCGACAACTAGCGCTGGCCAGCGCTAAGCGATAGCCAGCGCTGGCCAGCGCTGGCCAGCGCTGGCCATCGATATCCAGCGCAAACTTTTTGCGCTATTACCCGTCAGCTAGCGCTGGCCAGCGCTGGCCAGCGCTAACCAGCGCTAACCAGCGCAATGTATCGAAATCATATACTTGCGATATTACTCGGATGATGATTAATCACTTTGCACTCGACTGTCACGTGACTTTTTTACCCATTCTCTGACTCTAGCTGGTTCTGAACGACTTTTCGAAACCCTAACCCTCTAATCTGATCCCAACCCTAACCCTATAACCCAATCCTTAACAAAAACATATGCTGAAACCCTAACCCTAACGGTAATTATTAATTATATAAATACATCGATTGAAGTTGGTTACAACTATCGGGGGCCCTGTTAGAACAATCTCGAAGATCGACTGTAGAGTGATTTAGCAGGCTAGATATTAGTAATAGTATTACTCGTCAGCCAGCGCTGACCAGCGCAATATAGTTGCAATATTACTCGTCAGCTAGCGCTGGCCAGCGCTAGCCAGCGTTGGCCAGCGCAAAATATAAAAATCAAATATTTGCGATATTACTCGTCAGCTAGCGCTGGCTAGCGCCAGGCTAGCGCTGGTTAGCGCTGGTTAGCGCTGGCTAGCGCTGGTTAGCGCTGGCTAGCGCTGGTTAGCGCTGGCTAGCGCTGGTTAGCGCTGGTTAGCGCTGGTTAGCGCGGGTAATAGCGCAAAAATTTTTCGCTGGATATCGATGGCCAGCGCTGGCTATCGCTTAGCGCTGGCCAGCGCTGGCCAGCGCTAGTTGTCGCTATCCAGCGCTAGTTGTCGCTATCCAGCGCTAGTTATCGAACTGTTTTCCGCGATGGTCAGTTGCGCTGGCCATCGCAAACTATCGCGTGCGACAGTGTCGCAAAGCCAGCGACAAATAGCGCTGGTTAGCGACAACTAGCGCTGGATGGCGACAACTAGCGCTGGATAGCGCTAGTTGTCGCCATCCAGCGCTAGTTGTCGCGTTTTGACTATCGCAAAAGAACCGAATTGTAATCTGCTTTGATCATTAGTTTCCATCTCTTCAATGTATCAGCCAATTAAATAAAGATACTTGATGTTGTATTGATGCTGCAGCTAGATGTGTAATTTCCTTTCACAATATATCTACCTATAATTATCAAATTATCATACAAAATATACTTTATATAGTATAATATACTTGTTATAATTTATTATTATCTGATATTTTGATAATATTATTAATGATCTCCTCAGTAAGGTGTGTACTTGTGTTGCGGATGGAGGGGAGCTTGAAAGTCTATGAATGTGAAGAATGTTCTTACAGTACTAAATATGAGCATTACTTGGAACGTCATACCAGAACTCATCTTGACAAGGTTAACACATCAAACAATCTACTGCACGATTCTGTAAAAATAACTTCTGCACTTGGAAAGCAAGATCCTGTCAAGATTACGTCACCTGCATTGCAACAACAAGAGTCAGGCGATGTAAACAAGGCCCAAGATACCATGTTAACTGAGTACAAAGAGTGTGTGCCGTCAGATGATTCGACAACCGATTCAGAATGTGATAAGACTGAAAATTATGAGGTGGTGGAGGGACCTACAAACTCTACAAAGAAGGTTAGACGTGACCTGAAAAAGGAAGAGCTACCTGGTCTTCAATTCCAAGATGGGGTTTATCATTGCCACTTGTGTCAATATAAAAGCACCTGCACATTAGCCGTTAAAAATTATATTAAAGTCAAGCACCTTGGAGAAGCTCTGTTTTCATGTAAAGAGTGTGATATTCAATTCTTTGCTCAAAAACCGTTCTATAAACATAATTTTCGTTTTCATCCTTCACGGGTTAAAAAACGCCCTTATCCTGTCAAAAAAGAACATGCCAAACTTTTTTCATGTCCAGATTGTAGTTTTACTACATATATTATATATCGAAAAACTGTTTTTCAGAGACACTGTTCGATTCATGTGGTCCCAAAAAGTGAACTATTTACATGCCATGTATGTCTTATAGATTTCAAAACACAAAATGGTTTGAAAATTCATTATGGAACGTGGCACAGAAGAGGTGAACCATTATCTTGTGACTTGTGTTCTTATACAACAAAAGGTTATAAATCGTTGGAAGTACATATTCGTAGGCATACCAAAGAGTTCAACCTGTTCTGTGATAAATGTGGAAAAGGATTTGCGTCACCGAAAGAGCTAAAGAGTCATGGGTTGTTCAGCGCATGTTCTGGACTAGCACATGTTATAAAAATGCATAATTGCAGTTATTGCGATTACTCAACAAGATTTAAAAGAGTTTTGATGGATCATGAGTATGAGCATGGGTCAAAAAAGCCACCCTATAAATGTGAGCTAACAGATTGTGATTTTACCTCTTTCTATAGAAGGAGTCTGCAAGAGCACGAGAGGAAAAAACATGGAATATTTGTAATGCCACGGATTCAATAATTTATTAATTTCTTTATATGTTATAACGTTTGCATTTGTTTAGGTGTTCAAGTTTATGTGTTCATTTACCGACTGTAAGTTTAACGTTTCAAAGATTATACAACAACTTGATTTGGGACCATTTTCGAGATAAATTTTAGTTTCCTTAACCTTAAGGGGCTGCAGCCTGAACCCTGTTATTAAACGAACATTTTATAATTTAAATTTTTTAAATCAAATGTTTTGGTTCAATCTGGTCCAAAAAAAAAAGCACTTGTTGGATGTCATTATTGGTAAATGTATTATTTTTAGTTTTTACCGCAGTAATCATGAATAAATGAATTATGTAAATCAATAATCCTTTCAAGAATAATTTGAGATCCCTTAAAAAGTTAAGAATTTATTTTTATTGGCACGCTTTCCACTTTCTTTGACTTTCAAGTAGCATGAGTTATTTAAAACATTAAATTGAGTAAATTAAGATTTCTTACATTTTCTTCATCAAGTATATCATTATAACTTTATAATGACGAATTGGAGCATATTTTCATTGATTGATAAATTTGAATACTTCAATTGTTTTTCTTGTTGAGATTTTATACAACAAGGTTAAAAGTACTTAGAAAGTATGATTACAGCTGTACTTTTAAGGCAGATGCTATTTCAACCAATTATCGAGTAATCTTTGACAGCACGGTATCATCTGAATTTTTCGTTTGATCGAACTAACATTTTTATTTCAGGTAATGGCTTTCGAGCACTGTAAAACTCGTGACAGATGACTAAAACTTGCCAAAGTGACACTTCGATTCGCTCCTACTTCATGATAGATCCTTCCACCCATATAACAGTCACTCCACCAGCGTTGAAGCAAAAACAGAAAGTTTTAGTGGAAATAGACAAATATGCGGAGTATTCCTATAACTTAACTCATATCGAAGCATCCCGTCACTTGATCGCTCTCCGGAGTAAATCCGGCTCTGTCCTCATCAGACAGCAAATAGACAGTCAAACGAAATCAGTAGTTTTGAATTCATGTGACCATTTCAATCTGTTTAATTCGAACGAGGCAACTGGAAAAAAGGCCAAGGTCGCAATACTATCCTCGCCACCTGTCCATGCTTCCTCTGTGACGATCAGTCTAGTTCGGTCCGGTAAACACGCTGTCACTAACTTCACCGAACATCTAAAAATATTTTTTGAAAGTCCCAAAATTTTACACTCAGGACACATATTTTGCGTGAAGATCCCAGTAAGCACACCTGCAAACATTCCATTGACTGCGTGGTTAAAACACACTGCTTCCAACAAAAACTTTATCCAGCCTTCCTATTCAGTTTGTTTCAAAGTCATTTCGGCCGTGGAAGGCGAAAAGAAGTTGTCGGAATTTTTCTACATCAGCTCTGGGAAAACTACTCTTTTTGAAATCTCCAACGTTCACGAGAATATTCCAACGTTTGTTCCGCATCAGAGAGTTGACTTGTATTACTCATCAGAGATTGAAGTTTTGAAGAGTCAGCTTAAAAGGGATATTTTCGTCCCAATAGTTCTTCCTGGTGAAAAAGGTATGGTTTATATTATTATTTGTATAATACATACATTACCATCGGGATTCGATTTAGGGTTTCTATTTTTTTCTTTCGGTTTCTTCTGATTTTGATTAGATTCTTCACTGTTCCTACAGGCTAAACCTTAACTCTTTTTAGAACACGGTATGAAGCTTAATGTTTGAAGCAAATACCCAAAATCTTAAATTAGCTCCTATATTATATTTATTTAGTTATCGGTACATCCTATCGAATTTTCAACCGACACTGTACTTTTGAAATAACCTTTAATTAGAATTAGAATTATAATCAAATTGTAAGGTATATGTTGGATTTAACACCCACTCTCCCTCAGGAAGCTGCAAGTCGGAGGTAGTACATAATCTTGCCGGACATCTCGGAGTTGGCCTGTACCACGTTCCAGGTGTCAACTTTTGTGGGGAGGCTCCAGGAGCTCTGGAGAACAAATACTCCACCCTCTCAGATAACATTGCCTTATCTCTACCGTGTCTTGTTTACCTGGATAATTTAGAGCTGCTGGGTAAAACCCGTGACGGAAGTTCTGTTGACCCGAGGGTTGTGCTGGCACTCGGCCAACTGTTCGAACGGGTTCGGAGACTATGGCAGGAAGGAAAAGTGTATGTTATTGGTGGTTGTTGTGAGACTAGCAGTGTCGCTATGCAGATTAGACACCTTTTCGATTCATGCGTTGTGTTGCCTTCTCCTAAAGTCGAGAAATTATACAGCTTTTTGAGCAGACACGTTAACATCGACAAAAGCCCAGTACTTGAAAAAGATGTGAAACGGAAACTTACGAAAATGTCTCTTAGAAAGACTCTTAAGTTTATCGACGAACTTCAGATGCAGCTTGGTTTAGGTCTCAACGATAACGAAACTGTTACTCCGGATAAATGTAGAAACGTTCTCCAAAATATGAGACTGGCAGAACCAACTGAGACCTCTGGAGTTCCGGACACAAAATGGGAGGACATTGGAGGAATTGATCACGTGAGAAGAGAAATCGAGGAAACGATAGAGATTCCTCTCAAGTATGCTGAGCTGTTTGGACCGGGAATTAGAAGGTCTGGTCTACTTTTGTATGGTAAGCCTGGATGTGGTAAAACCATGGTGGCTCGAGCCATTGCTAGTCAGTGTAATCTTAGCTTCATCAGCATTCAAGGACCTGAGCTACTGAACAGTTTCGTTGGACAAAGCGAAGACAATGTTAGGAAAATTTTCGAAAACGCCCGAAATGTAGCCCCTACTGTTTTGTTTTTCGATGAAATCGACGCTATAGCTCCAAAACGCTCAGGAGGTGTCATTGACAGAGTGCTAGCCCAGCTCCTTTCAGAAATGGACGGTATTCAATCTAGTAGCAATGTCTTTATAATCGCTGCTACAAACAGACCCGAACTGCTTGACCCAGCTCTCCTGCGTCCGGGACGTCTCGATAAAAGGGTCGAGGTGTCTGTTGGTGCAGATGTGGAGTCAAGAGTTCAAGTATTCCAGGCTCTGTCTAGGAACCTTAAACAGTCAGATAAGGTAGATTTTAAAACAGTGAGTGAGATCAGCGGTCCACTGAGTGGAGCTGAATGTTATGGGGTTCTGTTGGAGGCGTGCTATAATGCTATTCAGAGGTGCATTCAGTCTGGGGAAAAGGAGTTCCTCATTAACTTGAATGATTTAATCTCTTCAGTGCATTCCCGTGGCAGGTGATACATTTTGTAGGTTAAAATGGGGCAATTTTATTTGTTGATTTAGATGTTAGTACTTTTCTGAAGAAAGTGTAATTGTTTTAATATGTTGAAGTAATGTTTATGTGTCATGATATATGTTTTAGAAATGATCAATTTTAAACAATTGTTTTTCTAATGAAAAGCTCAAATAGCGTTGTCACTTTTGAACTTTTAATTTATGCTATTAATGTTTCATTTTTTATATAATTTAATAAACCCCTGTAAATTCAACATCTAGAAGTATTACTAAAATATGGACATTGGGAATTGGGATATTTCGTAAGAAAATGCTGTTAGAAACAGACATTAGACACTCCTCAAGCTAACTCATAAACTTGTCAGCAATTGATATTTAAAAATTCGTAAAAGTTATTATTTTGACCGAGTCAGACATGCACCTGATATATGAAGAGAATAATTTAAGGGTCACATTCTGATCAGTGCGTGTTTCATTGTAATTGATATATAACTCAGCTTTCTATAATAGATAATATGTAATAGTAGCCCTACTAAATTGCTCCATTAGTTTCCGCATACTAGAACACAGATTCTACAAAATGCAAATTCGAGCCTTGAAGGGTTTATCATTCATATTGTCTGGGTTCTGTGCAGTTTTTTTCTGACTTTAATCTTCTGTTAAATCTCATTCTGCTTTATTATTGTCCATGATACAAGATGATATGATATACGATGCTTAAGTTTCCGGAAACATTAATATAACATAATTAATATAATGTCAATACTAAATAATCTGAGCACACTATATTAAATCTATTTGCGAGTTTTGGAATCTCCGATCTTTGGATAGTATAATAATATCAGTAACAAGTTTGTTTGTGGGGGCCAGTTACTTTTCATCAATAGCAAGTTTGTTGGTGGGGGCTTGCTGCCCTTCGTATTTCCGGAATTTCCTCATCCTCGCCCTCACTTTCGGAAATTTCTCGAAGCACTTCTTCTCGTTTTAAACGTCTTCTCAGTGCTTTTGATAGATGTGTCGCTGGTTTTGCTGGAAATTTTTAATTAATTGGCTATGTTCTTATGTTCACTGCTACTGACTACTGAGTATAGCTCAGTTATATAATAAGTTGTTCATAAAACAAAAAAATTCATCAAAAAACTGTCATTTTAGGAGAATTTTCATCCTATTTTATAATGTTAAATTACATACCTACAGCTTACCAGTTTTTAAAATTTTCAAATCAAAAAATTTAAAATCCAATTATGGAACATAACTTGTATTGGTGAATTTTGTATATTTTAATGGTTTAAAAACAACTTTAAAGTACCTGGCAGATACTCCTTTATCTTAAGCTCTGGGTGTTCCTTGTAGATAACATGCATCAGCTCCGCAAAATCTGTCCTATCATTGAAGGGTCTATCCATCACTGGCTTGCAGATTCCAGCCAACTTCAGTTCAATATCTGAGATTTTCAAGTTGGGATTGAGGTTTGGAGATGCAAGGCAGTGTGCTATTTTCAGTGCTGCCCAGGCGTCCAGCGCAGCGTACTTCATCTGTTCTGGTGACAGCACTTTGCAGTTCCAGTCACCTGCTCGTAGGTCTAAACTTTTGTCCATGCTGATGTTCAGGAGTGTTTCTGACAAGGCCCCCAATCCTTGTCTGGGTCTCCAGCTTCTTCTTTCTTCCAACATGTTAAACCTGCCGTGTTTCAGTTAAATCTTTAAATTACTGCCGAAACTGATCAATTTACGGAATATTTAGCGGAAGAAAATTACAAAACCCCTCAAACCTAATGATAAATACTATAGCTATCATGAGTAACGTGCGTCACAGCTCTTTATTATATATAACAAGTACGATATTCCAAACGGTTCCTGACTCCTGTGATTGTAGGAAGTAGGCACCTGTACCTAATGCCTATAATGTACCTATCATATTTACCTGGGGTTGAACTGTTTCTTGCTTTGGAGCTCCCTCTCGTGCTCTTGAATCTTCTTCCAAAAATATTCCTGGTACGGCTTGCTGTGGTTCATCAGTTTCCGTAGATCAACTTTACCTGTAGAGATTTTCAGTTAGGGCGTTTCATGAGTCTTCTTGTCATACAAATTATATCACTGTTCCGTTAATAAGTTGATAGGCATTACATTTTAAGATTTACAAGACGTAACCTATTAAATAATATTGACCTTACCTTCTAGAGGCATTTTGAAATCCGTCATCATCTTTTCCCCGTCTCTCGATATACTGACCCCAAACTTGATGACGGACGAGTCCTGCAGGAACCTCTCCAAGCACTCGGTAATAACCATCTGTTTCACTCTGATCAACAACACAGTCTCCAGAGTAGCTATCTGAATTAGTGATATCTTCTTTTTCTTGATCCACTCACAGTCGAACCCCACAAACTTCGCTCCACCCAATTTAGTCTTGATTAGATCGTCACATGTGATCGCGTCTTCGATTACAAAAGTTTCAAATTTGGGCGAGGTTTCCTCCGTCATATTAAGAGCATACTATTAGGAACAAACGGCTTGAAAAACTGTAAACTGAGAAAAGCTGGTGAGAGTTTCACTGTCAGCTTTTTGATGTGATATCATGTGGCAGGTCTTCATGTGATCTTGCAGTGAACATCGTGTCCTGTTTGACTGTCGGTCTACAAAACCACTGGTTAGTGGTTATCTGACCAATTACCATATTTAATGACCATTTAATTGTTTAATTACTGATCTAAACACTATGACGTACCCTACGAACTAACAGCAACCTCACAGTTATTATGGTGGAGACAGTAGAGGAGAGCCGCACAGTACTGACAGCATGGAAGGAGAGGTGGAGTGACGAACAGTGGCTGTGTGAACTCATTGATAACAGGCACAAACACGACCCTATTAAACTCTCTAGTTAGTAGTTTTATTACACTGCAACTGGTTATTAGAACTATTACACTGCAACTGGTTATTAGAACTATTACACTGCAACTGGTTATTAGAAATATTTAGCCTGGGCAGGAATTGAACTTCATAGATAGATTTGATAACCTTTTATTTTGGCCCTCCAATCAATGAGGTAAGGTATAAGATCGCTTAAGTCCGCGTCGGTCATATTTCTAAATATTATTAACTTTCAGATGTTGTTTTGGAACTGTTATCTGTTGGCAAGAAGCCAAATCTGCAACTGTTACATTATCTTGACCTCGCTATCGCGTGTCAAGCTGTACCTTTGTGTGCTTTTATCAGAGCAGTTCATGGCAGGTTAGAACATGTTGATATAATGCAAATGTGACTGCCACTCAAAAATCTTGATCTTGTTGTATCGCTATCTGGTTAAATTCCACAATTAATGTCACATTGTTTTGGGTGCGTTATTTTAATAAAAACCGCAATGTTGTCATTATATCATCAAGCTGCAATTGTATTTATGATGACGAAGTTTCAGGGCTAAGAGCGGATCATTAGATATCATCAACAGCTTAGTTACAACCGTTTCCAATCACATGGCAAATCTAAGGTACATTTTGTTAATAATAGGTGATTTATTACACTTTTTATATTTGAATTAATACATATTTTTTAAAATGTATCATAAGTTAACACAAAACCTTATGCATCTAATGTTTAAAAATATTTCAGCTGCCCAATGAATAGTTCATGACGTGTTAAGCTCGGACAAAGGATTTTATATTATTAGTAGCATATTCACATATCCCACTAAACTTTGAATAACATGTGCGTTTTCAGAGATGAAGTAGACCAAGAAGACCCAGCCAAGTTACCCACTTCTCTTCTAGCTCTTGTAGAATGGCTGGTGTACGTTCAAGTTAACGCCATCAAGCAGCTTTCTTTCGGTATGTTATAATTGTGTCTTCAAACATTTGCATTATATATTTGTACCATAGAGTACTGGGCATCTCTAAGCAGATTGAATTGTTGTTGGGCGAAATGTCATCTCGAAATATACTCTTACCCAATCGGAAGCATGAGATGGGCCTAGTCTAGTATGACAATTCAGCAGAAAGGGTCTTCACAAAGTTAGTGCAGTAATGCGCGGAAAATATTTTTGTGTAGATTTGCATCGTAAACTAGCAATAAATGCGCGCTCTGCACATTTCAAGCACGATTCGTATTTGCCTCGCTCTTCGTCTTTATCAGATAGATGTTTATTATGATGGAGTAGTGGACACAAATCACAATATAGCCTAGAGGCCTGTACTCATGCCTGAGTTTCATTCACTCCAAAATCACACGAGCTTTCTAAAAATAGCCACGTTTGCGAAATAACTCAGCTTACGCAACGTTATTAGTGCGATATTGTTTTCTGTTACAAGTGTCAGCTGTCTCGTACCTCATTAAGTATTGCTTCGACTTTGAGGAGTTGACTACTACCAACATAGCGACCTTTAACCAGCGTCAACCGACAATCAATCAGATTAGTAAATCTATGTCTAAATATACACTCCATTTCTCCATTAGAGGTTTATTAGATGTAGCCGCAAATATTGGGTTCGCCCTACTGTGCCAAGTTCGTCACCGTTGTTGGTTGTTGGTTGTTTTCTAACTAATTTAATCAATTTAACGCCAAACTCACTCTTCAGGCACGGAGGAAGAATGTTTGTCACTTTTCCGAGGATGCACATCTATAATACAATCAATATCCGAGGATATACTGCTCTCCTCGCTGGCTCCTTTGTGGGGCGCTGGGAGATGGCAAAACCTTACTTCTGCTACTCAAAACATTCACATTCCCCTTGATGCTTGTGAGTTATCTTTTTGTGCCTAATTTTCGGAACTCCCGGACCTATGTGGCAAGCATGCTCCCTGAAAAAAAATTGTTCCCCCTACTCTTGCCGAAGGCAAAAATATCGTAGGGAATAAGTAATCGGGTTTGGATATATGAGGTGGCCCGACGGTCCTACAAAAGTCTGCTCCTTCGCAATATAGACCACTCCCCTATGCTATAATTATGTGTATAAAAGGAGTCTATTTTGCGCGCGCGACGCCAGTTATGTGTTATTAATTACAGGCACAGCAACCAGTTTTTGGTGCTTGACGACTGTTACACAGGTTTCCATCGGGTTAAAATTCACTCTAATTCATTATTATAGCATATTAGTCATCTGAGCGGATCAATCATCAATATACCTTACAAGACATATTTATGTGGATCATAATCAGCGGGGATCGAAATTATGGGGGAACGAAAATATGGGGATTTTTTTCAGAAATACAGTAATTCAGTACGAAACTTCAGAAATTCAGTATAGTACGAAAATATGGGGATTTTTTCCCATTTTTTCCAAAAATCCCTAAATTTCGTACCATATAAATATGTCTCGTAAAGTAAGTGTTATTTTGGTAAAACAAGCTTAATAAATTACCGAGTGATAAAATTCAGCAAGTCAAAACAAATTAAATTATGATATCAGCTGATAAACTCGTGGCTGATCATTTAACAGTTGATCGAAATTTAATGGTAAAAAGCGAAAACATAGGTAAGAAAAGATGTTACTTTACATTTACATTCAAGAAGCAACTAAGATCAAGATTGCGGTATGCTTTTAAAGAATCCTATATCAAATCAAAGGCTCGATAGTCGATGGTGCTGTAGATGTGTCGAGTAAGCATCAAAATGTATTAGTTTATGTTAGATACAAATAATAACTAAGATGAGACAGAATATTTTATTACAGTCAATAAAGTTGGCATACGATGCAATAATATGACGTGACATGATACGCATCGTTAACACGAAACAAAATTGCGCAAAATATGAAATGATCTATTACCAAACCACATACAGATCGACGGCGACACCTCAGATGTGCGGAGAATTTTTCAAGTTCTGCACGCCTAATATAATATAAACGATCATCACGTGCGCCAAACACCATTCTGGGATACAATAAAGTAGAACAATTACATTGTAGGCAGTAGGGAAATTTGATCGTGCGTGGTGTTACCGCGGAGAAATTCTTGTTGTATTTGGAACATCCATTAACTATTTTAACTTATCATTGAACTTTAGATAAAGAAATAAATGACGAGTTTGTTAAATGTATTACAACTTTCTGTTACTCATCTTTGCCAGGTTCTGAAGACGGTAAGAAAGCTTTGGCCTCCTCTGTCGTCTCCTTTGTACGGTATTTAGAGAAGATCCATCCACCTGCCTCCTCCCCCACCCTTAGCAACCACCTCTTCAACTTACCCTGCAAACTCCTCCTACACCTAGATATCCTGCACCACGGTTCTCTGTGCAGCGCCACCTACTTCACCAAAACAGCACTGCACTACCGGTGCTCCTTGCAGAAAGTGTGCATCGAGTGGGGCAAGGCACACCTGCAGGTCATGAACGAGAACAAGTGCACAAAACCAGCAACCATACTGGACGAGAAGAAGAAGAGTTGCAGGGAACTGGTCCTGGCGATGTTCCTCTACAAATACCCTAGAGTTGTTGCTGAGTTGTTCCCCAGTACGAAACAGAGTGAGGTTGTAATTACTCATCTCCTCCAACAGGACGTGTGTTGGGCTACTGTGTGTTCTACTCCAGAGTGGAACATTGCACTCCCCTTCTTACAGGCTGCTCTCAGACACAACCTCATCACTAACGCAACGTTTGAGAAACTGAAAGAGAGCAAGTCTTCAGAGCATACTTCCTCGGAGATCGTAAACGCGCTGCACAACGCAGAGCGCACGCTCGAGGAAGCGTGTGAACTGTTCAACACCACTACGTACACCGCCAACACTGCAAACCAAACCATATCCCTGCTGGAGGGAATGACTTGTAGCTCAGCTAATATAATCGAGATATTTGATCGGTTGTTCTACGTTGCAGCAGCTAAAGGAGAGCTGAAAGTTCTGGTAGCTCGGATATGTAACCTGATAGATAACACGTGTGATGGCAGCTCTACTGACCAGTTCGAGGAACAGAACAGAATCGCTCTGTTTGATATTTCCTGTCTTCTCCTTATCCGCTGCTGTATGATGTTCGGTTCTGAGGTTGTCCCAGAGTCGGCTCCGTTCTGCCGCTGGCTGGGAAGTCACGTGTGCGGGTTAAATAACCCCCTGCAGCCCCTCATGCCGCTCATTCATCCCGGACACCATGAGAATGTTAACATGTTGGTTAAGTTTTTCTCCTCTCCTGAGTGCAAACTTAACACCAACTCGCTGCAGAATGTTATCTCCGCTATACCTGATACTTTAAGCGATATAATTAACGGATTCAAAACTGAGGTCAGTATCTTGAGCTCGATTTATAAATCTTGTGAATTTGAAAACCACGTACTTTTCGGTGTTTTATTTTACTGTGGACAGATAAGAATAAAAGTCTCTTAACATGTCAGAATACATCTATATTATATAAGTTATTATTATTGCTGTAGCACTAGATATCAGTTCACCACAGACCGCCTCCAGTTGACAAATCCCTGTTTCAGATGATACAGCAGGACGTGTTCAACCAGCAAGCAATGATTTTAAGAGAGTACATGCTAGCTCCTTCCTTCATCGCAATTCACTGGCTCATAAACTTCAAGGATACGGCAATAGAGGATAACAGGCACATGGTTCGTTACTTTAATTTGATATCAGAGTCTGCTTATTTTTTAGACGTACAATGTGTATTATTAATTATTATCATCGTTTCAAACCAGGTCATTATGACTTCACTTCTTCTAATTGCTTCAATACTTACCTACCCATTTTTCGTTGTAAACTGATAATTTTACTCTAACCATGATATATATCCCGACAGACTATCATGATGAAACCTTTACTGAAGCCATTCCGCCCATCTGAAGCAGGGTATACACAGGTACTCCTCGGACAAAGGATAGAAATTCTACACAGATCAATTAACGCTTCTGTCAGTCTACAGGTAAATATAACAATTCTTTTAGAGATACCAATTTAATGATGTTTTTGCAAGTTTCGACAATGTGGTTCACGACACGGCACAAGAGTGCACCTGATCATCCCAAACTGTCACTGAATAAAGGGATCAGCAACCTCGTCTAATAGTTGTCAGATAGAGATTATAATGTTATTGAGTCTAATACTCACTATGATACCGGTATTCTCAGGACATGAAACTGAAGAAGTTGAACAAGAAACCCTTCTGGGTAAACCACGTGGAACGGCCAGTTAGTCAGGATTCCTTAGACAGTGTCTGGACTCAGGTTAGTGTTGTGTCGCAAGTGTCGCAAGTGTTTCTGTGCAATTATATTCTATGTGTAATATGTTATGATTGCGACCTAACCATATGATACAAAACTTACCGAACTTTTGTCGTTCAACAGCCAGATAAATTGTCTACAGCATCTATACTCTATACTTCTATATAATATGTGATAATATTGTTGACGTTTACTTTAACACGTGACTGTCCATCTAATTGGACGATGCTACAATGCAAGGTTAATCTCTGAGTGGTGTACCACCTCCCCGGCCACCAGGCACTTGTTACTGTACCCGACTATTGAACTGACATATGGTTAATGATTGTCAGCTGGTTAAAAGCTGCCGCCTAGACAATACTGTTAAGCAAGTCTATCTAAATTATCACGGTAGTGAATTAGTGGACCGAACGAGTTGACGTTATTTATGACAATGTTAGGCGTCAAAGTCCGTGAAGAACGTGTGATTATTTTGAAATGTCATCATACATGTCAAAGCGAATATTTTAGATACTTAAATGAAGAGTAGCGGGAGTTTTGTTAAAAGCAATAATTTTAAGAATTATTGCAGAATGTTATTCTAAATCTTTCTGAAACGTTTTTAAATTTTAAACAAACATAGTCAGCTGGACAACTTTACAAAGTAACAAAGAATTTTGTTAATTAACAAAGAATTATGTTAATTAACGAACAATTTTGTTTATTAACAGAGAAGTATGTTAATTAACGAACAATTTTGTTAATTAACAAAGAATTTTGTTAATTAACGAATGTAATTTTCATATTTAACGAAATATCGCAGATATTTAACATCTCAACTCGTACCATCCATTTTTAAACTCAGAAATATTCCAAATAGTTCTAAACAACTCTTCTTCTTCTTCTTAAAACAAAAGAGGCTAATAAATATATTGATTAACAGTCGGTTAACAAATTAACATTTTATTAATTAACCAATGATTGGTTTATAATTATTATAAAATCAGGTACGTAGCAGTGCAACTCTGGACAAGCTGGCTCAACTGTTCTTGTCAGATAACGTTCCAGATGTAGTCTATACTGCTGCAGTACAAACTCTCAGTCTCAAACTTTCAGGTATGGACCTCGGGGACTGGGAGGGGAGGGGAGGGGAGGGGGTGTTGAGGGGCTGGGAGGGGGAGGGGAGGGGGGTTGAGGGGCTGGGAGTCAGCAGCTGGACGGTGTATTTTGTGGGATATACTTTTATTCCAACTCGTGGCACACGTTTGCTGTGACACGTGACAGCTCATTACTAATCAAAGGGACTGACCGGATTACTGCCACGCGTCAATACAAATAATTGTTACCGACGTAATGAAACATCATGTTCTCATCTGATTAAATTAGCATACATTTCTGAATGTTGCTAAAGAAAGTTTATTTTACTAATTTAAATTCTGAATTTGAAAAATGTTGTTTTTGACTCTCAAACCTTTGAAACGCTAGCCTCCAAATAATCCCAACGGATCCAAGCCTGAAGGCCATGCAACTCATTTCTGATGAAAAAAAAAGATATTTTCGAGCTAAAAACAAAGATCGAAAACAACTCGATACGACCTGACGGCTGACAGCCCTTGCATCAGGGTTAATATTACAAATTACATAATAACATAAGTTAATGTACATGCATATTGCATATTATGTCTGATATTTAGCACCTCCTGTACAGATCAGTACTCAAAGTCCACCGTATAACATACTGTTTCTTTCTCGCTAATGAACGCATCCATTGTGCACTCGGTCGGGGTTTCAATCATCATTACCACCATTTGATACCCGTGGTGGACTTGCGGGGTTTCTGGTGCCGCAATGTCCACTGATGACGTGCTTTCGTCTCCTGATGACGTCATTTCGTCCTCTGATGAAGTAAGTTCTATCATTTCCTCTTCTGTTATAATGATTTCCTTCTCGCAGATGATATCAGACATGCTATTTTCTCAAGCGCTGCCGTTCTTCAGACTGATCCTAGATATGTTCCCTGGTTGCTTCAGCACACTGTCCAGGTCAGCTAATTAATTAGTAATTATTTAATCGTGGTGATTTATCATGTTTAGTAATAATTGTTAACGTATTCATTATAATTATGTAAGTTACAAATATCCGACAAAGAGAACTGACGACGAAAACACAAAGTGGCTCACTGGTGCCGCAAACTTAAATATATTAAACAATTGTAACCACTTTACTTGCTTATAGCCAATAGCCATGTTATAGTTATCGAGACAAGGCGCCCAATTGAAAGTAAAAAAGCAACGTTTCTTTCAAGTTTCATAGCTAAAAGTCTGGAAGAAAATGAGTTAGTAAGTTGTTGTAGACTTGTGCATTAACTACTTGACAACGGTACACTTTATACATTAAAGAACTAAGTGACTTTGTAACAAGACTTCTATGACAAAGCCACTAACAGCAAAAATCTTAATGAAAACAATTTTCTTCTGTATATATTATTTGTATTATATGTAATACTTGTAGCTCATTTTTACGATTTCCAAGTATCACGCAGGACCATTACTTTTTTAATACATTGCCATTCTAAAAACTTTTAAACTTAATCTTCTGATGACAGCTCTAGGATAAAGTTTGAAAATGAAATTTTATTTAAACGTACGAATATTGCGTCTACTAGACCGGGGCTATTTTATGATGATTTCACGGCTTATTTGTCTTTACATTATACTTGTATAATTAACACTTTTGTTGTTGGCGACTATGCTTTTAGTTTAGTAAATAAATAATACTGAAGAATTTTTAACGCATTAGCTTTACACATTCCGGTACTTCAAAGATGTAAACAAACAATTACGGATCGATTTCACGATGATAACTAAAAAGACATAACGACTCAGTCTTCATCTTTATCAGCATCTAATAGACATTTTGTAACGTTAAATTTTATTTTTAAATGAGTTTTTGATTTATTGATTGATTGATTGATTGATTAAGGAGCACTGTTAAGCACTAACTAACATGTTTAATTACAATCAATTCAAAGATATATGAAATATACATATATTTGAGATCACTATCAGAAAGTCAAAATAGTTTTTATCTCTGATATTTGTTTTAAACAGTAACAAAGGGTCTGAAACAATGCACACAAATATTTTATCAACATGGGCATCAAAACAAACAAGAATCAACCAAACAAGAATAAGCCTTCCTAACTACAACCCTGTCAAAGTGAGCTCTTGATCACGCACATCAAAAAGTGAACAAGATGATATGGAGGGTGACGGTAGGGCAGAATAGCATGCGTCACCAGACAGACCGAAATATCTGCAACATATTATTATACCACATATTATGCACATATCATTATAAGATATTAAAAAACTTTACAAAACACGACACACAGTAATTGCTCACTCTCTAGGGCGCTTACGGCTGGTAACCCTGGTATAGGCGCACTGTGATGTAGAATCATGAGATTGGGACGGTTAAGAGTGGAATTTTTGTACATTTTCAGGTGTGGTTCTGGGATTGTGTTTCCGATTGGTCGGTGGTACTTTTTGTTTTATGCGCGTGATACTTGATAGGTGGTCATACATTTTGCTCTCATGTGTTTCTCGGAACTGAATTTGTCGAAAATATTAACAAATATAATTTAGACAACTAGCACAATATATCAAGGGATATAATGCTGATCAATTTTAATGAACGCTGGTTTACACTACACGACAGAATTACGTCGGCTTATACCCTGTTACATAATTAGCATGGTCGAGACTATTAAGAGTCAGAATCTGGTATTAAAGTGTTAACGAGGGATGGTAAGTAGCAGGGCCTAGAGGGGTGGAGCAACTTTCTCTTGGCACTGTGCCAAGTTAGCACGTGACAGTGATAAACCAACCAGCTCACAGTTTTGATAATTCAAATCCCAGTATCGCCGTCACGTGTCAAAACAATCTTGTGCATTTTCCCGCTATTTCCTCCGTCTATAGAGCGTATCACATAGAACTCTCCCTAGAAGTCTGATAAACTGGAAATAAGGGGCATGCATGCGCGTCAACCAAACACGTCACTGTTCACAAGTTGTAAGGTAGCAACATATGGCTCAAAGTGGCAACATATGGATCAAGGTGGCAGCATATGGATCAAGGTGGCAACATATGGATCAAGGTGGCAACATATGGATCAAGGTGGCAACATATGGCTCAAAGTGGCAACATATGGATCAAGGTGGCACCATATGGATCAAGGTGGCAACATATGGCTCAAGTTGGCAACATATGGATCAAGGTGGCAACATATGGCTCAAAGTGGCAACATATGGATCAAGGTGGCAGCATATGGATCAAGGTGGCAACATATGGATCAAGGTGGCAACATATGGATCAAGGTGGCAACATATGGCTCAAAGTGGCAACATATGGATCAAGGTGGCAGCATATGGATCAAAGTGGCAACATATGGATCAAGGTGGCAACATATGGATCAAGGTGGCAACATATGGCTCAAAGTGGCAACTTATGGATCAAGGTGGCAACATATGGATCAAGGTGGCAACATATGGATCAAGGTGGCAAAATATGGCTTGAGGTGGCAACATATGGATCTAAGTGGCAACATATGGCTCAAAGTGTCAACACATGGATCAAGGTGGCAACATATGGCTCAAAGTGGCAACATATGGCTCAAGGTGGCAACATATGGATCAAGGTGGCAACATATGGCTGTCGTATTGGTTCAGTGAGGTTAACCCTTTGAATGTACTGATTATGTATGAATACTGATGAAGTGCAAAAGCAAATGTTAGACCGTTCTTGCCATTTTCATGAAAGTCTGGTAAGATATTGAAAAGAATGTGTTGTCGGACTATATTACCCTGTAGAAAGCTATTGGAAATGCTTATAGTTATAATACGAGTTACAAGATGTTCTACATTATACAGAGCACTAAAATCTACAATAGCAACTGTTATGTGGAGTTATTAATGGAGCACACATAGTTAGAATATCACATATTCCTGCAGGTAAGATATGCGCTGTCGAACGAAGTTTTAAAATGTCCGAATACCAACTTTGTACTCGAATGAATGCAGCAATCTTAGTCTGCCTACGATAGTTATTTCTAATTGCAGCCTGATCTAATTATAAACTTCGAGTCCTGTTTTTACTATATTTTATTCGATTAACTGTGCTAACTGCTATCACCTTGACGTATACTGTTGGGTCGAATACCTGAGTTATTTACACAGCAAGTGCGGACCGTTTTCAGTTCTTTTAAAATAGACCGCTATATAGGGCCACTATGTTGATTGTAGGGTCGCTAAGTAGAGTCGCTAAGTAGAGTCGCTAAGTAGAGTCACTGAGTAGAGTCACTGAGTAGAGTCGCTAAGTAGAGTCGCTAAGTAGAGTCGCTAAGTAGAGTCGCTAAGTAGAGTAGCTAAGTAGATCTAGAGTCACTAAGTAGAGTCACTGAGTAGAGTCGCTAAGTAGAGTCGCTAAGTAGAGTCGCTAAGTAGAGTCACTGAGTAGAGTCACTGAGTAGAGTCACTGAGTAGAGTCGCTAAGTAGAGTCGCTAAGTAGAGTCGCTAAGTAGAGTCACTGAGTAGAGTCACTGAGTAGAGTCGCTAAGTAGAGTCGCTAAGTAGAGTCGCTAAGTAGAGTCGCTAAATAGAGTCGCTAAGAAGAGTCGCTAAGTAGAGTCACTAAGTAGAGTCGCTAAGTAGAGTCACTGAGTAGAGTCACTGAGTAGAGTCGCTAAGTAGAGTCACTAAGTAGAGTTGCTAAGTAGAGTCGCTAAGTAGAGTCGCTAAGTAGAGTCGCTAAGTAGAGTCACTAAGTAGAGTCACTGAGTAGAGTCACTGAGTAGAGTCGCTAAGTAGAGTTGCTAAGTAGAGTCACTAAGTAGAGTCACTAAGTAGAGTTGCTAAGTAGAGTTGCTAAGTAGAGCCGCTAGGTAGTCATTGAGTTGGGCCGTTTAGTAAAGTCGCTAAATCAGTAAATAGATGAGTGGTCATAGATAAGAATCCCGTAGGTGGAGTCCCCCAGCATAGCAAACCTGTGTTAAATTTGTTAATTTTAAAAATCCTATAGAATGAACAATTAAAATAACGTCAATGCTAAATTGTAAGCTAAACAATTATATAAGCATAATCTTTAGATTCCAGCCGCTGTTTGATAAGTGTGTCAGAAAGAACTCCTAAATGAGATCATTCCTTTCTTCAGACCCCCCAGCTGCATTCTCCCCTGTCTTACCTTCTTTTATTCAGGGTTTGTTAAACTAATTAGCGAGACGGCCAGGTTGAATGAGACACGTGATAATTGGGCTAGAATAATGGAAACTCAATATTAATGAACCTCCAGTAGCAAAATTATTGAAAATTTTTATCCTCAGCAGATGGCTAGAAACCTTGACATCTGCAACATACAAAAATTGTAACAAATTTCTCGCAAAATCTAGAAACGTATTTAAATACCCCTGCTCTCGGCTCATTATTTATCAAAGAACTTTACAATAAGCAGTTAATTCGGAGACTTTTCCAGACCATGATGCTGGAGATCCTACTGCTAGCCCTGGTAGCAAGTGTCTACCCAGTAGCTATAGAGCGGTCCACTATGGAGGCAGATGGGAACTGGAAATTAGTTTGGCCCAGGGTTGATGAGAGGGATTTCGTGCAGTCTTCAGGTTCCCTTAATCGAGATCTGAACGCCTTTACCATCTCTCTTTGGGTCAAAGATCTTAAAGGTGACACTCACTCTGGTTACCTTTACTATACGAACTCGAAAAACGCTTTTCTTCTTGGCCTGTACCGATACAGAGGCAACCTTTATCTACAGTTTGGTGGTGTGACTACTCATTGTGCTAGCTGCATAAGTTACGATTCTACTTGGAAGCATATCGTCGTGACTTGGTCTGGAAATGGAGCTTCAAACGGCATGGGAACATTCTGGGTGAACGGAGAGAAAATTCACGGGTTTTCGAATTTCAAAAAAAGCTATGTCCTCCCCAGTCATCAAGGCCCAATATATCTAGGTACATTAGGTCCCTCAGAGCCTGCCTACAAGTTTAAAGGAGAGTTGGCGTACGTGAACATGTACGCTGTCAACATCTCCACAACAGAGCAAGTCATGCAACTATCCGGAACGTCTACAGATGACCCTTCAGCCATCAGGCTCTGGTTCAGGAGTTCGACATCTACACTGCTTCCTACATAGACCTGGACTGCCTTGCTACCAACATGACTGTGTACTTGACTCGCACTGCTTTCCCCCATCTCATTCCAGGGAGGATGGGACTGACAGATAGGGAGTGCGGAGCACAGTTTAGCGAGACTCATGTCTATATCACCACAAATTTGGACGAGTGTGGAACTAAGATAACATACACCAACAACACCGCTCAATACAGCAACTACATTGTTCCTGACATATTCTGGAGTCCTGCCAACTCTTCAATTGACACTCCGCACGCAGTCATCAATCGAGGAACACTGCTCGTGCAGGACACCTCTATGAACTTCCACTGTACCTACCCTCTCCTGTCTCACGACACCATCCCTGCGTACGCTGTCAAGACCTCTAACTTCGACATTGACGGAACAGGACGAAGAGAGATAGAGTTCAAGATAGAGCTGTACCACGACGCCAACTACACGAACCAGTTCAAGAAGCACGAATACCCCCTCAGAGTGGACACCGGAGAGAGAGTGTACGTTAGGGCGGTAGTGCACGGTGACAACTCCAGGATGGCTGTCTGGGTGGACAGATGTGTGGGCACTCCTAACCCCGACCCTGAGGCAGTAACTAAGCACAACCTCATCGTGAACGGATGTCCCAGCGACGAAACGGTACAGTACCACAACTCTACAGTGGAGGTGGACCAGCGGTTCAGCTTCGAGTCCTTCAGGTTCAACTCCGTACCTTCTGCAGTGGTATATCTCCACTGCTTCATTGATGTGTGCAGGGTTGACAACTTGGAATCTAGATGCAGCAAGGGCCTGGATCTTTGTCCTCAGTAGACTTAGCGGACCGAAAATTAACAATTTGTGGTACTGCGCGGGCTGCTAGTAGATGTAGCGGACCGAAAAGTAACAATTTGTGGTACTGCGCGGGCTGATAGTAGACGTAGTGGACCGAAAAGTAACAATTTGTGGTACTGCGCGCCGCGCGGGCTGCTAGTAGACGTAGTGGACCGAAAAGTAACAATTTGTGGTACTGCGCGGGCTGCTAGTAGATGTAGCGGACCGAAAAGTAACAATTTGTGGTACTGCGCGGGCTGCTAGTAGATGTAGCGGACCGAAAAGTAACAATTTGTGGTACTGCGCGGGCTGATAGTAGACGTAGTGGACCGAAAAGTAACAATTTGTGGTACTGCGCGGGCTGCTAGTAGACGTAGTGGACCAAAAAGTAACAATTTGTGGTACTGCGCGGGCTGCTAGTAGACGTAGTGGACCGAAAAGTAACAATTTGTGGTACTGCGCGGGCTGCTAGTAGATGTAGTGGACCGAAAAGTAACAATTTGTGGTACTGCGTGGGCTGCTAGTAGACGTAGTGGACCGAAAAGTAACAATTTGTGGTACTGCGCGGGCTGCTAGTAGATGTAGCGGACCGAAAAGTAACAATTTGTGGTACTGCGCGGGCTGATAGTAGACGTAGTGGACCGAAAAGTAACAATTTGTGGTACTGCGCGCCGCGCGGGCTGCTAGTAGACGTAGTGGACCGAAAAGTAACAATTGGGGGGGGGGGGGGGGGCCAACCATATTAAAGTATATTAAAGTATATCCCCGGGTCAAAATCGGAAAAAATCCTACATTTTAATATACTTTAATATACCTACAATTAGTAGATTAGAAGATAAGCCAATTACTGGTCCCCTGAACTCATACTTCATATATTTTGGCTCATAAATTGGTCAAGTATCTATATCTTTGAACAAGACTAACTTTACATGAAAGGTAAATCTAATCTATACATTAAATAAAACAACATTTTTCACATAATTTTTTATAATGTAGGTATATTAAAGTATATTAAAGTATATTAAAGTATATCCCGGGTCAAAATTGGGAAAAAAACCTACATTTTAATATACTTTAATATACCTACAATTAGTAGATTAGAAGATAAGCCAGTTGCTAGTCCCCTGAACTCTCAATTCATATATTTTGGCTCATAAATTGGTCTAGTATATGGTAAGTAATATGGATTCAATATTTTAATGGAGAAAATGTAGGTATATTAAAGTATATTAAAGTACATTAAAGTATATTAAAGTATATTAAAGTATATTAAAGTATATTAAAGTATATTAAAGTATATTAAAGTATATCCCCGGGTCAAAATTGGAAAAAATCCTACATTTTAATATACTTTAATATGGTTGGCCCCCCCCCCCCAACAATTTGTGGTACTGCGCGGGCTGCTAGTAGATGTAGTGGACCGAAAAGTAACAATTTGTGGTACTGCGTGGGCTGCTAGTAGATGTAGTGGACGGAAAAGTAACAATTGGTGGTAATGCGCGGGCTGCTAGAAGTAGAAGTAAGAAGCGGAACTTTTTAAATCTTACTGATGTAGAAGTTTACTGATTAACATGCTTATATTCATATTTTGGAAACAAAGTTTTTGTCGGAAAATTTTATTTTATTGCAGATTTCTTTCTATGGAAAATTGGAACCATAATCTAAGGGAACTATATTTATGTGTAATAGTTAATAAATGAAAGTTCTTAACAAGGGATAGTTAAAAACAACGCCCAAGTCTAATCTTTCCCTAAAACAGATAACTAAATATTAAAACTTCATTGTAATTTCTGCCAATATCTCTTGCCATAAGCTAAATATACGGAGATAATACAGATCAAAAATATTATTCATATAAAGGTTTCTTTTACAAAAATCATGCACAATCAGCGAGAATATAATAGTATTTTAATAATTCTCTGAAATCATCTTTTTATTATTAGTCACTGGGATAATACTTCTGTATCCAGGTTGCCATGGCACTGCCAAGTTTGGGCCCGTAAAATTCAGTATCATCTCTGATCCACTGGGGGAACTCAATCTGAACGCAGTCTATCTCCCCTCCGTTCAATGAACCCCATTTTCTAGTGATGTAGCCTCCACGGAAGTATTTGCCTTCTGTTCCCATCTCTGGACGGGAATACTCGGGAGAGGGTACAACTCTAAACCCTTCGTCTTGCACCAGTTTTCCTAGACTGTTCTCTCCACGAACCAGATCATCAAATTGTATTCCACGTGCTGCTGCACGTGCAGCTAGTGCGCGCAGTGAGGATTCCTCCTCCGTAAAGTTGTCAGCGTTGAGGCGCGATCTCTGGATATTGTAACCTATCTCGGTCCAGTTGTCCGTAGCATGGGTCACATAACCATGGATGTCAAAGTGAACTGCTGGTCCTCGTGCGGCCAAAATGTTATGTACGCGTTTGATTATCCTGAGGTTGAATATTTAATGAAATATACAAATATAGGAAAACATGCATTTTAAGATCCTGAAAATAACCCTACCGAAAATTGGTAATTTTGTAGCAAACACTGACCCGTGGAAAGTATCGTAAGCGCGGTCAGACACAGAGTTGTACTGAGCAGCGTCGTCTTTAAATCTGTTCGGGTCCAGTTTTGATCTGTGTAGTCTACTGACCACCAGATGAGGTGTCTTCCCTGTTTTCTCTGATATTGCTGTGTGGATTTCATAACTTCAGATTGTAATTCATATATACTCCTATACTACACTGATCAGTTATGAATCTAAACAAAAAGCTGTGGTTGGGAAAATGAGAGACGGATTGAAGGTTACTTTTTCTCATCTGTTTAGCTAGGATAGAAGAATGTAGGTCGGAGTTTGTTACAGCGTTACATTTCCCCGTCACGCGCTCTCCAGGACAATCGTGTCTCCAGTTACACGTCTTCGTTACATTGTCATAACAACCCTGGGGATTGGATTGCTTAGAGGTTTGTTAAAACTAAAGACACATCCGTAAATTCTAATCTTTCAACCTTTTTTATGTGCTGAAGATCGTAGTGGAAAATGAAATTTTCAGGAAAGCAATTATTGATCGCATACAATATACATTTTATTGTTAATACCTTAAGAACGACACATTAAGTTTAAATTGATACTTTCAACACTACTATTAACTATATAACAAATAATGTGAGGGCTTATGTCACTGAAGATGACGCCTTGCAACATGTTTGACGATAGCCTGTAAATTGATAGTTTGATCTCAGTATTGACAACAATTCATCTAGCTTGATTGATTGAAAAATTCCTCTGCAAGTTTAAATTGAATACGATTAAATTAACCATGGTCAATGGTCATTGATCGGATAATTCAATAGCCAACTAAAATGTTGGTAGACCATGAATACCTTATTATAAATCCGTGTTCTTGATGAATTATTGAATCGGGGTTTACGTTTAATCAGGGCGAGGTAAGTCGGGATTTTACTATATCAGAAAACAGAAAAAGGGGAAATTCCATCTATTAACAAGTTTTTATTAGACATTTTAATGTAACATTCCACCCACCTGACGCCTGTCTGGTATTGAATCGAGTTTAATCCAACCATCATGAGGGGCAGTGAGGATGACATTAGTGTCTTGCGAGCCCGGATAATAGTCCACGAACTTGAAGTATTTGTCTCGTGAGGTACAACTGAGAGCAATAGCCGGTAGGAGGAGGAATATAAGTTTCATTACGCACAGAAAATACCAAATTGAACGGCAATAAGTAACATTGAATTATGCGTTGATCAGTGTTGGACAACCATTGCCAAACTGTGATTACGGCCAGGGGATCATATTTCAGGTTTCTAATTCAAAATTGTATTTCCATTTTTAATATAGGCGATTCAATCGAATGAGAATATTATGGTAGCTCAGATGAGATTACTCATAACAGTTGGATTATTCTGTTACATTAACAGGCGAATTTTCCAAACCGGCTCTACAGAGCTGTCCCTAATGAATGTTGAGGAACCGGGACTAAGACCGGAACCGGGATTTTTGAGTTACTTAAATTTAACTTTTTATAAAACAAGATACTTATTTTTAGGCCAGCGACGGTTAAGAAAGTGTATTTTCCGAAATCACGAATTTTCTTTTCTATTAAAACACTCAATGACACAGAATTATTTAGATTTTACTATTCTCAGTTTTTGAGAATGATCCCCTGCTGCCTGGCAACCAACTTTTTTGTTGAGTAGTTCCATCTCATGAGAATTATCTAAATTTTACAATTCTCAGTTCCTGAGAATGGTCCCTTGGTCCCAGCTGGCAATATTTGATTGGTTATTCAGCTTCCAGAAGCAATATTTCTGCCACGTTATCATAAATTGATCTTCTTAAGAATAAGGAGCAGTTCTCGTAACTGATAGAAGGATATAAAATGGAAGTGACTTCAAAACTTGACCAGATTTTTACACAATTGGTTATTGTGTAGTGCACGAGATAATCTGTCACATTATTGGTATTTAGTTGACATCATTAGTACTTTGTCCATGAATTTTCTTGTTTTGATCCTGCCGATATAAATAGGTCACCCAGTCAGTCATCTTAGAAACGCTCAGCCGTTTTAATTGAATGAATAATGTTCAATATTTAAGTACGTGTATTTGACATTCAAAATCAACTTTTGGCAATATCCAATACGAGGCTCAAAGATTCCACATTTCATAATGAATCATAAATTACTCCTTTATCGTATTCCAATTTAGAGGAATGAATGTTACGAAGAACACTTATTTCTATAAAATTTACGGTCAATCCCAGCTTTTAAGTATACCGATTCATAACGACGTTATAGTCTTCCGTAAGGGCTGCGATCACCTTTGGATAGCAGGTTGCTGAGGTTACATGCCTATTTTTTCACCATGGGAAATGTGTAGGAGACCACCTACTCCACAATGGCATCTAATACTACCACAAGCCATTCCCAATAACATGATTCATATTGCAATTTAAACTCTCAAAGGATCGCTTAGTATTAGAAACCATTTCATTAGAATTACAAATGCTCGAGAAATTTTTTTTTGTGTGAAATAAATTGAACAAAAACAATAGAGGCACGGATTTTAAAAATCCACGCCAACTGGCGGGAGCTCTGCCCACACTACGCGCCTCGTTGTGTGAATCCGGTTTTTTTGACCCACGCTATGTGGCCCGTCACCACATGGCGTAGTGTTGTGATTTATTTATTAACCATTTATCATTGTTAGGCATGTAGACAAATTTCCAGTTATCGCAAGAGTTGTCTCACTTGTTCAGAACATATTTGTCTACATCCCTCATCGTGGAAAAGTTTTTAAGCCCTCAGCGCTTGGACATCACCCTCACATATAAAGGTGACGAAGTTGCAGATACCTACCTGCACTGGAAACAGACTCTAGACAATTTTATTACTATTCTTGGTGAAAAAGCTAACACCGAAGAGACACAATATATGGTGCTTTGCAATTATGTGAGCCCCTCAATATATACAACTATCAAGGGTGAAACAAAGTTTTCGGAGGCAGTTAAGATCTTGAATGGTTTGTTTGTTAAAACAAAGAATACTAACTTTGCGAGATTTTGTTTATCTACACGGAGTCAAACTGAAGCTGAATCAGTTGATCAATTCGTCTTGGCGTTGCGGACACTGGCGAAACAGTGTAATTTTACCGAAGTATCAGCTGCTGTTCATGGGGAAGAGAGCATTAGAACAGCTCTTATCAGTGGGCTAAGGGACAAGCAAATTCGGCAGCGCCTAATGGAGGACACTAAAAGTTTAGATGATACCATCACTCTGGCTTGTACTCTGGAGCAATCAATCTCAAACAATGAAAAGTATAACGGTTCTAATCTAAATGGTATTGTTAATGGAAACGATTCTGGACTGGATTCAAAGGATCATGCGGTTGTAGCTGCCACTCACGGCAATTCAGTTAGTCCTAATATAAAGTGTGGATATTGTGGTAAGGAGTACCATGTTCGAACAGCGTGTCCTGCTAATAATACTACTTGTAAAACTTGCGGTAAGCGCGGACATTGGGCACGAGTATGTCGATCAGCGACGGGTCTTGGGAAGACCGCACCTAATGATTACTTCTCTAAGAAGAACTCTGCAAACAACGCTTATACTCCAGTTAACAACGCCTACAACGTCCCGTCTGCTGATCAGCCCCAGCAATCATCCCCATTCTCTTATCTTTGTGCTATGTCTCCATCGACACCTTCAACGCTGTCTCAGACAACCGTCAACGCAAAGGTAAATAATCATATCGCTTACATTTTGATTGACACTGGTAGCTCAGAGAGTTTTGTTGACTTGGGTTTTGCTAGACGAAATGGCATAACGATAGGCCCGGGTACGAACAAAATAACTTTAGCTTCGGAATCAATGTCAACAAACACTCAGGGGTCCTGTGTAGTAGATATTGTGATTGAAGGCCACTCCTATTCAGAGTGTAAATTATCAGTTATGGACAAACTATGTTGCGACGCAATCGTGGGTTTGGATTTACTCCGAAGTCATACGAATCTTGTGGTTAATTTCGGAGGAAATAGAGATCCCTTGGTGATAGATGAAGCTGGTAGGAACTGTGCACAGCTTTCAATGTCGAACCTTGAGCCCATACCTCTATTCTCCACATTAATGGAAGGCACCAATCCAATCGCTTGTAGGTCCAGAAAGTACTCTGATGCAGAGAGAACATTTATAGCAAAATCGGTTAAAGAGTTATTGGAACAGGGCACTATTAGGCCGAGTAATAGTCCTTGGAGAGCACAGGTCCTCGTTACAGGTTTAGATTCGGCAAGGCCCCGAATGGTGGTAGACTACTCTCGAACGATCAACAAATTCAGACACTTAGATGCGTATCCTCTGCCAAACCTTGATACTATGGCCTCGCAGATAGCTAAGTACAGGATCTATAGCACATTTGATCTTAAGTCTGCCTACCATCAAATCCCGATTCTCGAAGGAGAAAAGCCACTCACAGCCTTTGAAGCAGCTGGGAAACTATTTGAATGTTGTTGTGGCCGGACTTTACCCCTGCATTACGTAGGTCACAGAGGACTAATAAGGGAGTACCTCCTCCGCGGTTTGAGGCAGGTTGAAACTTTATTGACTTGCTGTTTAATGAATGAGATATTTTCTGGAATTGTGATTTTTATGGTATTAACCGGATTTATAACTTGGTAGATTTGAGGTTTTACAAATTCATGTTGAATCGTGTTTTACAAATTCATGTTTTATGAGTGCCGTTTAGAACAACACATGTTTCTGAAAGATGTATTTTTATACGAACCGATTATTTGGTTTTTGCGAGTATGTGACTTTTGAGAAGTTTTATCAATGTTTTAAATGTATCCTTATCTGCGCATTGAAATGGCGCAAATTCGTATAAAAAGCACGAATTTTCAGCTGACGCGCGCATTTGCGCGTTTCCATTTGTTAAATTTTTAAATTTTATTTGATTTTTACGGGTGACGGGGGGTGTATGTTGCAGTGGCGTAACGAAAGGCCCTGCTGACCCCGCTGTGCAGGGGGGCGCCGTCTTAGGGGGGCGCCAAATCGTCGTTTGAATGTGGGACAATTTCGAAAACTTAACTAAAGTACTAGCAAAACTGCGCGTTTTGCTCTAGATACACACTTTTTTAGAGATTTTACCGGTGTATTCTTTAAAATCACCTAATTTGTTCAATTTTAGGGAGGGGCACCAAAAGGGGAGGGGCGCCAACAGGGGGGCGCTTTTTTCGGCAGGGGGGCGCCAACAGGCAACGTTACGCCACTGGTATGTTGTGATTTATTTATTAACCATTTATCATTGTTAGGCATGTAGACAAATTTCCAGTTATCGCAAGAGTTGTCTCACTTGTTCAGAACACGTAGTGTGGGCAGAAATTCGGGGAATAGAGGCGTAGTGTGGGCAGACCCTTATATCAGGCCATCTTAGGAGAGAAGGTGTAAAAATAATAAATTAGGTTTTTCTGAATGTAGAGCAAAATATGTTTTTTCCGTATTATACACCTGTTACTCTTAGAAGAGCAAGTATGTTCTCACTTGTATTCTGTTTGTAGTTGCTCAAGGTAGGATTTCCAGTCTAGAAATGAAGTACGATAATTACACAAAATATGGAATTCATGACAAAGCTGAAAGATATGTTCTCTCAGGATACATGTTCCTAATTTTCCTATCGTCCCTGATAGGAGATACCCTCATTCTCATTGGCTCTATGAGGTATAACGCTATAAAGCTTCACAAGATCATGGTGGTATTCACTATTCATCCAGTACATTGCTGTCTCTGATTTGGTTTGCTCCATTTTCAGAGTCCTGCCTGGTGCAGTTTCACTTGTAGCTAATGATTGGATCTTTGGTGACTTTCTCTGTTCTGCAGCATTCATTGTGATGCTCATCTTTGCAGGAACAGGGGTTCTTCTTATCAGTGCACTTACATTTGCCAAGTTTATGATAGTGAAATATCCATTTAGAGCCGTCAATTTCTCAAAGAAACATGGCCATCTGGCAACATTTGGAATGCTTGCATTTTGGTGCTGCTGTGGAGTGATTTATATTGTTGGTGAAAAAGGTATTTACTTCAGCTACATGAGCTACAATTGCGATTTATATCACTCCCTTAATTCTAATATTTATTATGTCGCTAGAGTAGCTGCTGGAGCAATAGGTCTCATTTCTACAACAATAACCATCGTTAACAGTGCAATGCTGCTATATCTTGCAAAGAAAGTTGCCGATAGACGAACAGGGGGACTCCAGTGGCAGGGGGTCAGAACAGTGCTTCTCACTGTGGCAGCCTATGCCATATCGACTGTACCGTTAGCAGTTTACATGATAGAATTCACAGAAACCCAGCCACAGACTACTGCCAACAAATTCCATAGGCTTGCAATGTTCATTTTTATCTGAACATCGTTTCCAACTTCTACATCTACACAATCAGTCTGACCAGTTTTCGGGAATTCCTGAAGTCCAGGATCAGAGTGGTAGCTGTTTACATCGTGAGATGTTTTGTTCCCAACGGAGATCAGCCTACAGCTCATCGGGGGACGGAGCGACAAAGACTTCTGCCTTGATCTGACTTTCTCTTATTTTGCGAACTCATTAGAAACTCATAGAAACTGCCGAGAACGTTTTGGACAATTAATTGAAATATTTAAAAAAAAACATAAAATGACAGTGAACTTTATTTTCCTTAATACTGCCCGATGCACAATCTGTTCATAACTTTAAATATTCGATTTAATTTGATTGAGTAAATTTCTATGTTGGTGTTACAAGAAATAACTAAATTTATAAATTTGAAAATAAGTGTATGTACTTAGTCTAAGTTGTTTTTTGATGAGCTCGAATTAAAACAATATTTCTCATCGTTTGAGGCACATGATCTATATCTTATGTCGTTATTCAGTTGATTGGCATAATGAAAGCCATTATATTTTTACCGTAACATATCGACTAACCTTGCAGATGGATATAACATAGTGAATCAGTATTTTATTATTAATGAACATACTATGTATATGTATAATTTTGTACGCTTATTGATCTCAATTGTTGTGTTTCATTACTCAAATGCACAGACACAGATGGATTGAAAAATAGATGTTTTATGTTTTATAACAATTTATAAGAATTTATATTATTATAATTATAATTATAAGAATTAAAGTAATTGAATTAAAAATTATAATTTATAAGAATACTATACTTGGTCACTCGGATAATACTTCTGAATCCACGTTGCCATGGCACTGCCGAGTTTGGGTCCGAATAACTCAGTATTATTCCTTATCCACTACACTGGGGGAACTCAATCTGAAACACAGTCTATCTCCCCTCCGTTCAATGAACCCCATTTTCTTGTGATGTAGCCTCCACGGAAGTATTTGCTTTCTGTTCCCATTTCTGGACGGGGATACTCGGGAGAGGGTACAACTCTAAACCCTTCGTCTTGCACCATTTTTCCTAGACTGTTCTCTCCACGAACTAGGGTACACTACATTACATTGACAACACCTCATACAAATAATGGTTGAGTTAAAAGTTGTCGGTTGTGGGGTAAGGAATGAGAGTTTAGAACTCTCACCATCATCTAACAAAGAACCATATACTGTCCACAGCATAATTTACTAAAAACGAAGTGGAGAAGATAAGTGACAAGTAATACAAGTAGCCAATCAAGCAACGACCAATTATACTCTTAACTCGCTGTTACGTGTCAAAACAAACTTGAGCCACCATTTTGTTTCTCTTCAGATCATTCAGTGTTTAATATCAGAGAGATACGAATCACACGAGTCATTTAAGTTATGAATTGTACTAATGACAGTGTAACCCGTGCCTACGGCCGGGACTTCACTATCGCAGTTCAATTGCAAAAGTATAAACGGCGCAAAATTAAAACGGCGCAAAAGTATAAACTCGCTCAGTTGAAACCGGCCGCATTAGACTTAGTGTGCCCCTCTCCTCGAAAAAACTTTCTCTCCTTATCGGAGCAGAAAGTTAAAACAAAAACTTGATTTATTATTATAAGGGGCCATCTACTTAGGACGTCCAGCAAATAGGGAGGGGGGTGGTTTTGTAATTTCGGACAAATCCGGACAGGGGGAGGGGGGTCTGAAAATCTGCGATTTTGGCGGACGGCCTAAGTAGATGGCCCTTAATATACTCCAAGAACTAATATACTAAATTTATGAATAAGATTGTTCAAAAAAAATTAAGAACCAAAACGTACTTTAAACCATCAATTAAACCACTTACTACCTGCCGATTTTTAAATGAAAATATGTTTACAATACGAATTACGATAATTGTACCTCGCTATAACGCATCGACAGTCGAGAGAGGAAACAATTTTTTCAAAAAGACCGCGTTTTTACATAATGATACGTCATGATAAAAAGTCTAGACTAAAGATAAATCTGATGATAACACATGAAACCCCCACAGGATTGCTGAACGAAGGCCCACCCTCTAACTGGAAGTCGTACATCTGGTCCCTGGCACAACTCACCTTTCTATCTGTTGATTTGTACCTCAGTAATATGGCTGACAACAGCAACTCATCTATTGATAATGAGATTAGAGGTGAGAGTCTGCTTCCATGATACTTCTGAACTTTGGAGTTAAAACGATTATTTCAAAATGCCTTCTGTACCGATTTGTAGGTTCAATCATGGGCGTAGCAAATTGAACATGGAATGTTAACTGAATATTTTCCCCCTTGTAAACATTTATTTATTGATAATAAATACTTACTTGCAGCACCAAAAAGACAATGCCGGCGAAGACAGCTGGAGTCATTTAACCGTTCTGACAAGTTGAAGGAAGCTCTGCAGGTGTTTTGGCGGGAAATGAAAGACGTTATTAAGGAGGAGGGCTTCAGTTATTCCACCACATTCCTTCACAGGTATAGTTTTTGTTTGGGGCTGGCTTTTACACCAGTCAATGTTTACTCAAAATATATAATAATTGTAATAATCAATATTAATCCCCGAAGGGCACGCAAATTACATGCCATCGAACTCATAGCTATTTCGTCTAGATTTTATCAGTTTATTCTGATGACCCTGATCTGCAAACACATTTAAAAGCTTAAACGTTTATATAAAATTCTTTACTTGATAATACTGTCGTAGGTGTTTTATCAGTATAGGTTTGCGCTAGTTGGCAGTGAAATATGGAATGTGCTGTCAGGATGGCACGATAAGTGATTTAGATGGACACTGATAATAGTGAAAGTTGAGCTGCATATGTTAGGTTGATATCTAGTTTACTTATCTAAGGTTATTCTCGGTAGTTGATTTGTTGAGTGCCTGATCTTGCTGATTTACGTAGCCCGGGTAAATTATGTAACAGAAAAGTTGGCCATTCTTCATCGTTTCCTGAGCTTTGTAGTTCTATCATTACACGCTTTGCTGATTTCTTATAAATGCTTATTGAGAAAATGCTAGATGGGCAAGTTATGCGACTAATGTTGTGCTCGGTAATAGCTAATATAGGACCTTTATACAGAACACTAGCGCGTAGATCTGGTTGAGAGTACGTTGTTAGCCAGTCGATATTGTCGTCATAAGATGTGCCATACTTTGGTAAATCGGGAGGAAATAAGTCTTTTATCGACGACGGCAGAAGGCCAGGCATGTAATTTAACTTGTGCATCAGAGTCAGAGCATTTTTTATGATTACCCCGTGTACAGTTAATATTTCGTACTCTTTAAACGTAGCTTTAGTATGATCCGGAAGTTTACCATCTTTGTAATAGTAATTCACGTAACCCGGCATAACTGCTCGTATTCCTTGTTTTTGTTTAGTGAACAGTGAGTCAATGTGAGATTTTGCAGCAAAACCCCAAACGAGCGAACAGAAATTTAAGTGAGATTGTACAAAACTTTGGAAAATCTGTAAGCGTGCTTTGATTGGTAATTTGCGTTTTATTTTGAACATAACACCTATAAACCGTGACATTTTTGTTTTGACAGCTCGAATGTGGCTGGCCCAGTTTAGTTTGTCGTCGACAATAACTCCTAAAAATCTGGCCTCCGTTTTGCGTTCAATAGGAGTGTTGTCAATTTTTACCTGTAGAGACGATAAGTCTACCCGTCTTTTTGAAAATACCATATAGCAAGTCTTCTTTAAATTAAGAGCTAAGCCGTTTGAGTAAACCCATTTTATCAACAGATCAGTGAGGTGGTCGATTTTGGATTCAATTTCTTGTATATTTGATCCGGTGATAATTATATTTGCGTCGTCTGCGTATAATATAAATTTAGCTAAGTTACTGATTCCTGGTAAGTCATTGATATATATAACGAAAAGCAGGGGGCCTAATATGCTACCTTGTGGAACACCGTATACCATAGATTCTAATGATGAATTGGAGCCGTTCAAGGAGACAAATTGACTGCGACCATTAAGGTATGACTCGAACCATTTCAAGGCAATGCCGCGAATACCGTAATGCTCAAGTTTCCTGAGTAATGTCGCGTGATCTAGGACGTCAAATGCCTTACTATAGTCTAAAAGTAATAGTAGTGTTATTTGGTTCTTATTTAGGGAATGCAGAATGGAGCTCTGAGCATTGAGAAGCGCATGCTCGCATGATCTTCCTGGTCGGAATCCGTATTGATTCTCGAATAGTGAGTTATTCTTGTCGAGAAATTCTAGTACCCGCCTGTGCATGAGTTTTTCGTAAATTTTAGAGAACGAGCCCAAAAGCGAGATAGGTCTATAATTTGCTACGTCGAGTTTGGAACCTCCTTTGTGTATAGGTGTAACTTTTGCGGTTTTCAGAGCTTTAGGGAAAGTTCCCTCTGCAAAAGATGTGTTGACTACTGATGCAAAGGTACATACAAAATTTTGGCATGTGCTAGCTACTTTCAAAGGCTCAATTTTTGAATCGAGAGTTGCCTTATTTTTGAGGCCAATAATAATTCTATGTATCTCGGTAGGTGTCGCAGGTTCAAGGTAGATAGACGTTGGACATGACCCGGTCAGATAGTCCTGGAACCCCCCAGGATCGAAGGTCTGTCGGGAACTGATCTGAGACTTGATGTTGGCTGCGATGCTGGAAAAGTAGCCATTAAACTTTTCAGCGACAGCCGAGTTAGTACTCAGGATCGTCCCGTCAGTATCCCTCAATCTAATCTGATCAGATCCCCGTCTTTTTCTGTTTAGCAGGCCGTTGATTATCTCCCATTGTTTTTTGGAACAGTCCTGATATTTTTCAAATTGTTTTTTGTAATATCGCTCCTTGGCAAGATTAACGTGTTTACTGCAAAATAATTTCATTTTATCGTATGCGGCTATGTTTTCATAAGTAGGCTCAGTGATATTCAGATGATATAACTGCTGTTTACGAGAGCAGGCCGTTTCGAGCCATGGAAGTATCCACGGCTTCGGATCAGACCGTTCATTTTCGCGACGACTACGATTGCTCTTAACGGGGTATGCAGTGTTGTAATGTTTCATGTAGATTTCTGAGAATTTATCATACTGTTCATTTGCACAGCCTGATTCCCGCGCTTCCTCCCACGTCTCCCCTTCCAATAGCTCCTTGAAGATGGCATTGTTGGCTTCGTTAATAGTACGTGTTTGACGATATTTTGTGGTATTAGTCCTATTCGAGTGTGTGGTGTGCTTTTGTGATACTGCACGTAGCTTTATAGTGGTTAGAGTTGCAAGATGATCAGAGATGTCGAGTGTTAGAACGTTACTACTTAATGTGTTTTCAATATTATTTGTGTAAACATGGTCAATAAGGGTGGCACTGTGGTCAGTGACTCGTGTTGGTTTGGAAACTGTTTGAGCAAAACCATATTTTGCCAGTGTATCAATGAGGTTCTGGCTTGAGGAATCAGTGTCATATTTGATAAGATCAACATTTGCATCGCCAAAAAACATAACGTGTTTGCGTGAGTGTCTATCTAGTCTATTGAGTACGTGATCGAGTAAGCTAATGAAATTATTAGTATCTCTTGACGGTGATCTGTAGAAATTTACTATTACCTTCGTTTTGTTAAGACCTTTGCAGTTATGAATTTTGACTAGTTGAAACTCGCCACTCATATCTTCAGGATCCAGAGCTAAGTCAATACGTTCAATTTTCTCGAAATCGCACACGCGTTTGTTTATATAGATTGCTAACCCACCTCCTCTCCCCGATTTCCTCACAGGTGCTTGTATAACAGGTTCGTGAAAACCCTCGATCATAATATCATCAGTACCATTAGGCAGCTTGTTAATGTTACAGTTAGTTTCATTAAAGCATAATACATCGCATTTTGAGAAGGTGTGGATTTCTTCTCTGAGATATGTTATGTTTTTTGCTAGTGATCGTATATTTAATGAAAGTGCTTTTAACTCGTCTTTGGCGGAGTTTGTAACGTTTTTAGGTTCTTGATATTTGCACTTGGTTAAGATTTCGCTTATTTCATTCCAGTATTCGTTGTTTGTGTCACTGTTCTGATCTAAACTATTGCCAATGGAATTTATTACGTGCGAGCGATCATATGGATTGAAACTAAGACGTGATGCGTTAAGGTGGTCGAACTTATCATAGAGATCGAATGTATCTACATTGTAACCAGGAATAATTGATTCGCAACATCTGATGCAACCTAAAGTTTCCTGGAAACATTTCTTGTGCACAGGGCCCTCGCACCATGCACAAGTACGCAGGTTAGACTTAGAGTAACACCAACCCGGACAGGCCGTGCATTTGATTTTTATTTTTTGAGTATTGCTGACTTCACCATTAGTGTTCATGAAGTTGATAAATAAAGCTGATAAAATTCCGTTATGATTTGGTTAGTCAAAAGAAAAATGTATATGATAAATGTATATTGCTATAATTAATAATTATATATATGAAAGTCAGACCTGCTTCGCGAAAACTAACAGTTTTGTGTGCTAACAGATCCTGACTGATATTCTAACTAACTAATAATCTAAACTAATCCAAACTATCTATTTTAAAAATAAAATTAAAAAAAAATTTAAAAAAACTAACTAACTAGCAAGCGAGTATGCTCGGAGAGCAAGTAGCTTATACTGAAACTGTGATGAAACGTGTAGCTTTAACTTTAATGTAGCTTAACTTCAACTGTACGAAATTGACTTTTGCGAGGACAACGGAATGTGGATCAGTCAAAAGAGTAATACGGTGGAGTCATGTTTGTCTAGTAGTAAAGCAGAAGTTAGTCAAACGTCAAAAGTTAGGTGTATTGTCACTGAAATTTATTGATTTCTGTATTAGTACAATATAGTAAAATGTGAAATGTGCTATGGGCAATGTATTTTATTGTGTAGATAGTGTATCAAAATTTCGATTTTAAGTGTTTAAGTGTTTATTACCAATAATGTTACATAGGGGACTGTAATTACTGATTAGGATAACTGATAAGCTTTATTTAGATTACTGATAAGACGGGTTATAGTATGAAAGGTGTGAGCGTGTAACTTGTTAAGATACGACTTGTTTTAAGGTTTTAAATTTGCCGTGCTACGTTGACTTGGTTTGAAATATGTTTGCAGATCAGTCTTTTTGTTTAGTATTGGTATTGACAATAGTTTTATTTATTCAATTCTCATCCGAAACCGAAACCGAAACTGTTCATATAGTCATAGTATAAATCTAAAAATGGACGTCTTAGGGGTAATGATCCTTTACGAAACCCTAGGCTTATTAGAATAGAGTCTACCCAGCATGCAGTTACTATAGATTTCCCAGTGTTGTTTAGGTGAAGGCCATCTCGTGCGAGGTGAGGTAGACCAAAATACAGGTTGTCAAACAGGTGAAAATTGGCCGAACGTAGAGAAAGGTGGAGTAGCAGTTCGTTCAGGTTATCAATTCTGTCGTTCAGCTCAAAATAGGGGTCTGCACTCAGGTTAAGAGGTGTGATAGCGTCAAAAATGAATTCCGTTTTGAATTTACTTGTGAAATGCTTTAGGTGGTTGTGCAAAGTCATGGGATCAGCTCGACCGTATCTGAGATCATTCACTCCGGCACTGATCAGGACTAGATCGGACTGTTCAATTAAGGCTTGGTGTTGAGCTAAGTCCCTCAGATGGAATAGGTCTTCTCTGAATGCGATGATCGGCTCTTTGAGAAGTGAACAGTCAAAGGTGCGATTCTTAGAGTCAGACAAAATGAGAACTCGCAGATGTCGTTGCGGGGTTTGGTGATCCTCATGGTGCGGAGATGACAGACCTGGTGACATTAAGCGTCCTTGGTGTCGTCTGTTCCTCTTGTTTGGTCCGGGGTCCTCTATAGTATTTGCAGATTAATTAATTGTGACAGTTTGTGCTATGGACATAGTTGAGAGTTGTAGAGTACATGGTTTGCTTATTTGAGATTATTTTATAATTAATAGACAATGGTATTTACAGTATTACTACCCGGGGACTTCAGGCTTAGGTGTTTAAAAACATCGAGAACATGTGACATGGTGGAGTGACAGGCTTTAGCTTTTCGGGTATACTTATTTGATATTAACTTTAAGTCCAACTGATAGTCCATTCTCTTGCAGGTTCATCAAGTTTGGAATAGAAATGGATAAGTCCCGATTAAAAGACATTATTGCGGATGTAGACAAGGATGTGATAAAATCTATAGCTACCCATCTCATCGAACACGAACTCATTTCAGATGGAGTAACCTTGCTCCTTTTGTCGGGGGTCGATCAGAGTCAGTGTTCTTCGATATTGCAAAGTGTTCTCTGAACGCTGTCAGAGGTCTCACGAAGACCAATCTTGAAACGCTTTAAATCGACTTTCGTGTGATTATATAAATCGATATGCTTGTCACGTACCTTCACTGCTATTGAGATACTACTATTAGTATTTGTAACTATTTCATTTGTCATTGCCTCCGGTGTTGCCAGAACTCAAGAAGAATTTGAATTTTCCGCACTTCTTAAATTTGACGGCTTTTGCCTTTTTACTTTTAGGATATTTGGGTTACAGTTGGAACTGGAAGATTTCAATTTCAAATTTTATTGTGACTGCTCGAAATTTATCTTTAAATCTCAGTTGTTTATTTTGATAATTGTCAAATCTAACTTTGCTTCCAGCTGCTTTGATTTAATATTACTATTAGCACTTTGTAGTTCGATGCACTAGTACTACTGCCACTGGGGCCGCTCCACTAAATAGGCAGTGCGCCATCGATAATAAGACGCGCGCGCTGACCATTGAATGGTTTTTTTGCTCTTATTTCAGCCAGCACATTATTTTGGAAACAATCGAAAAGTTATAATACTTCCCATATAACAATTTGTGGAAATTTGGTCAGCTTACGTAAAGTTAAACACTTATGTTCTACTGAACCTAATTTAGTTTGAGCAATTTCGATGCTCAGAATTTGAGTTATCAACGAATTTATACCTATTTTGTCATTTTTAGACCTCTTAGTCAAGGCCAATCTCTCCCAACTAAATTAGGTTCGGTAGTTAAGTATGATTGGAAGGTTCTGACAAATTTTCAGCATGATTCATGTCCAGGAACCGAAGATATGACGTACAGAATAATACGACAAAAATCAACGAATTTCGTCAAATTACGCGACTTTTACACCTAATTTTGCTCCAAAAGCCGCGCACCATCAAATATGGCACCTAGGCGAAACTCACTGATCATTCAAAAAAGGTATGATAAATTTGGTACTGTGAAAATTCTCACAGTCTCTAGAAAACGATGGTACAAAAATTTTGAAAATCCGAGCAAGTTTATTTTTATCGTGCACCTTGACCATTGTTAATGATCTGGCCCGGCGCGCGCTACTTCGTAGCACTTGCCATAACATTTCGAGAAGAAAGCGGCGCGCGCTACTTCGAAGAAATTTAGACGAGTAACATCCGTCAATCGTGCACCGCCTACACTAAATCGCTCGCACAAATTAAAAATCTTGTGTAACTGGAAATTTTTCATTTTCACAAGATTTTTAATTTTGTAGTAGTACTAGTGCATTGCACTTTGACGGATATTAGGATGTTACTCGTCTAAATTTCTTCGAAGTATGAAGTAGCGCGCCGCTTTCTTCTCGCCCGAGGCAAGTGCTACGAAGTAGCGCCAAGCGCGCGCCGGGCTAGTCCATTAACAATGGACGATGGAGCGACTTTCAAGCTTTCATACACTCCACACTCAGGACCAGAGGACCTTCAAGGTCTTACTGGGCGGCGCTCAGCCTGTCATTCCGCCGAATCTTTATTCGGGCTGAGTGAATTATGACCTCCGATCCATCGCCCTGGCCCTGAAAAAAGTGCGAATGCTCATTGGATGTTTAACGGGTGATACTCGTAAAATATTTGTTCCATAGGTCCTGGTAGGTCGACAAATCCAACTCGGCGTGCGTCCTGGTAGGTTATAAACCTACAACTTAACATCCCTCCATTCGATGTATTTTGGACGATGATTCCCAATCGCCCCCATTGACGTAGGGCATTTATGTTTCCCTGAGGAGTTACAAAAATGAAAAAACTGCTACATGTTGCACATCTGTTTTCTGGCCAGAAAACATGATTAGGTCGAGTAACTGTAACATGTAAGCCTCCTTCGCATTGTACGTGTGTAAATGGACGCGTTTTCGTTTAAAGTGTCTTTTAAAGTTATAAAATATCTGATATTTTGAAATTGTTTTTACAGGATCGTAATCAGCTCTGTCCACTATCAGACACAACTTTTGCCACTACTACTAGTACTACTACAGTACAAGTAGCGCGCGACCACCATTCGGCTCACTTGTGAAATGTGAAACAAGTGAGTCATATCACGCGGTATGTAGACGTAGTACTATAACTATACAGATACTAGTACTAATAGCAGTAATGCGCGAAGGCCCATGGTTTTAGGTAAAGTTGAACTCTAAACCTACAGCTAGGCTTAACTTGACGGATGTTACTCGTCTAAATTTCTTCGAAGTAGCGCGCGCCGCTTTCTTCTCCATTCTCTACGGCAAGTGCTACGAAGTAACGCGCGCCGGGCCAGACCATTAACAATGGTCAAGGCTTAACAGTTGTACTTGTAGATTTATAATCTACAATTACAAATTACCAAGACGCGCACCGCGTGTTAGCCTCTTCGTTCTTGGACGGTCTTGGAACAAATATTTTATCGTATCACGTTGCGACCCCCACGGTCGTTTCACTATGGTGACGTGCGCGGCGGGTCGCACAACGTATGACAAATATTTTACAAGTATTTTAAGATCATCACCAGTTAAATTTGACAGGGGACATTAAATATCATTGAAAATGTAGTTTGATTTTTTGGGAAAGGATAAGTCAAAATTATATATGATATATCGAATCTATAAAATGTAGTCTATGGTCTACAAAATATAAAACCTGTCAACATCATAATTAACTTTAAAGACAGTAATACTAATAGTTATATTAATGAAAACAAAATAAAATTCAAATTTAAATTCCACAATAAATCAATACTTAATCTAATACATGATATTAATGCATAATGGCAGTACAAAATTTGAATGTCAAATGTAAAACTAAACGTAGTTCTTATCAATATCTTAAAGTTAAAGTAAAAGTAAAACTAAAAGTAAAGTTAAATTTATCTTCTGGAGTGCAGCGAATTTCACTTTAGTTCTGGCTCTGTTGTCAGTCCAGGAAATTCAATTTCTTCTTTCGGCCCCATTTCCAGCTCTGAAATAGTAAAAGCGTAAAACTTAAAACAATATATTATGTCATCTATCAAGGTTATATGTAAAACAAAGAAATTATATCTAAAGGTCACGTTGACACTCTTTTTCATTTTGGTAATTTTCTCCATAGGTAATCATCCACCTGCGTTCTTTCGCATTTCCATACCCATTTAAGTTTAATCATAATGGTATGGACTTAAAGTGTAGAGGGGGACACACATTTCTGACATTAACTTGTACAATTTAAAGAATAAGAATAAATTAGGAAGTTCCTCAATGCTGACGGTGATTTGCAAGTGGGAGGAGGGATCGGCTCTAAAATAGCTTAGTCTTATGTAAGAATAAGATGTAGACCATGCCACACTGAAATTAGAGTGCTGACGCGACACTACAACACTACTAGTCCTTCAAGACTACAGACTACTACCAGGTACTATAACTACTAAACTGGGATTATTAAATATTAAAACAAACCCCGGCTGTTTCCTTTTCAAACCTGTAGGCGTAGCAGGAAAGTGGCCCAATGAAATCCATTTAACGGGAAAAAATATTATCCACTTTTCCCATTTCTGTGCATTTTCCAGTGACCTTATTGCTTATCACTTATATGTGCAAAGAGAGGCTGGAACACAGGAAGCTGTTTGCAATAGAATTATCTAGTATCAGAATGATATGTGATACCCTGACCGGGCGTGATGAATAAGACTTTAGAGTCTTATTTCATGTTTCACAAAAACTGAGTACAAAGAAGCAAAAGTGCTGCTATATTTACCGTTAGATAAGGACGTCGATTGCTAAAGCTATAAGTCATAAGTCAGTGTGTATTTCACAATTCAGCTTTTTATTGATATCGTCGTTAGAATGGTTGTAGGGCTAATTATTGATATTTGTAAAATAGTGCTTCAACTGTGTAACTGTTGTGTTAAAGCCAAGGATGTAAGGTTACAACAGGAACAGAACGAAAGACAGAAAAGGATGGAGGAAAGACAGAGGTTGGTCAACAAAGGTAAATGGTGTACAGTGCAGTTATCTTACGAAAATTACGATTCAGCTTTTAAAAGCATTTGTTTATTACAACTTTTAAACAGCGTAATGTATGAAATAATCAGGCTTGAATATTATGTTATAAACATTTATTCACTGGTACACATTTCTTTTGAATAGCAGCTAACACTGTACCGGTTTGAAATGTTGATAATCAGTTTGCACCTTGATAAATTGTAGTTTAAACCATAATTTGAAATTTAAAATAATGTTGTGATCGAGCTAAAGATAAAGATTCGAGAGAAAATTGGGGTTCAAAATGAAAAATTATATTTTAGAAAATCATATTTAAGAAAGACAAAGAGTCCAACAGGAGGTTGAACAGAACCCTGTAGTGTTTAACCCGGCTTTAAATGCTGATCTGAGAGCTGTGAACAACCACAATACTGGGGGTGCAGGAAGAGAAAGGACAAACACAATTTGACAGAGATAATCATCATCAGATACTTTTACAACACAAAAATAAAACTGTTGGCCAACATGGTATCAAACATTTATATAATTATAACTTTATAACTTTGTTCATGATAGTATTCATGTTAATAATTATTATCGTGTGTTACATTTTTCTACCTTTTAACACCAACTTCCTTCGTGATTGATAATAATCGATAATTCAGCCGAGTTTCGACCGTATTTATGTCTTAAGCTTTTATTATTTTATAGCGGAATTTGGAAACCGAAAATTTCGTGATGGTTCAAACTGATCTGGATTGTGTATTATGTGGATTCTGGTTGAGGAAGTGGGGCATATTATTTTGACACATGACAATCCCCACCAGAATGATGTATAAATTTATAACCCATGTACCGATCAATACCCCAAGTATTCCTTATTAATGTATACAAATATCGTAGAGTACATCTTATGTTGATTGTATGCTTTCTTATTCATACGATTAATTTAATGGCAGAATTTGTCTTCATGTTCATATGTTCAATGTTCATACATAATTTTGTATATGCACAAAATTGTCTATATCAAAATTACATATATATAATTTTGATAGTTCTCTCTGTTTTATATTTTCGATCTCCGTCATTTGTTTCTTTGTATTTCTATAGTTATTCTAAGATATCCAGACATCTCGCCACAAAGCAATGTTAGCTGTTTGAGATCCCTCGATTTACCGGGCTTTTATTTACCGTTTAATGAGTACTCGAACTACCTGGTAACCTGGTAACCTGGTAACCTGGCAACCTGGTAACCTGGTAACCTGGTAATCGGGAACCTGAACAAGTCACTTCCCAAACTTTCAGTATTATGCTCAAATAACGTTAAAAAATATGTCTCTCGCATTGATTGTAAAACACGTACCTTTTTTCTTGTCATTAACAAAACACGTACCTTGTTCGAAAGGTCCGTTGGGAAGGTCGAATACAATACAATCCTGAACTGCTCGATACTGTCTATTACAGGTGCTGGCGTTTATGTAATATGTCTCCCCATCTGATGTCATCCCTGGATCTGAAGGGGGTCATCACATTATTTGTTATGTTTACATTCCGAAGATGTACAAGAATTTCGGGGATACTGCATGATTCCTTCAACACAGAAAATTAAATAAATAATTAAAAATACCTACCCTCGTGGATGTGTCCGAAGACGTGGTATTTGGGATGGACTCTGGTCTGAATTGTCCTCATCAGATCCACACAACCCGCTCTCAGACCACTGTTACACAAATCTCCGTGCCCTGGGATGGTAACCTCAATCAACCAATGAATCAACCGCATGTTAACTAATACCACTATACAGAGTCATATACCACAGAGTTACCGCATGTTAATACTTGATACCACAGAGTAACCGCATTTTAATACTTGATACCACAGAGTAACCGCATTTTAATGTTTGATACCACAGAGTAACCGCATTTTAATGCTTGATACCACAGATTTACCGCATTTTAATACTTGATACCACAGATTTACCGCATTTTCCGTACGATTTCTGTCAGTATATGGATGCCGTGATATTGAAAAGAAAGGTCCAGGAAATAAGTCGATGCCCGATGGTTGCTTGATGGATATCATACAAATCATGCTAGTGATGCCGCCAATTTGGTGATTATATTCGTAAACGCTGCATAACAAACTACATGGGAATATTGTAAATATGCAGTATTTAATATTCAAAAGTCAAATTTTAGATAAATATACAGTTACAACAGCGGTATTCTTACTTATAGGAGGTCCGTGAGTCATAAGAACGTCAGTATCATCAGGAATCTTCTCCCAGACCTTCTGAAGAGGTACTCCACGGTCTAAATTATAAGCCCAGGCTGCAAACTCTGGCTGCCTTCATGGGGTGTGTAAGGATTTAGAACTTTAGGTTGGATTTAAGTTAATAAATTAGACGTCTTCGGAAGGGTTAGAATATAGTGAATTTTAACATTCGTTAACCCTCGCGGAGTGAAGTTAAGTCTCCAAATGAACTTAGGAAATCGTGTTGATGACTGACGTATGACAAGTATCGCAACAATTCTCATCGACTTTGATTTTTAAAAGGTAATTAAAATAAAACCGAACAAACCATGGAGATCCGTAAATTTTGATTCCGTTAATCTTAACCCAATGATCCTCAAGAAAGATACAGTCGGTGATACTCTTCAGACACTCATCTCTTTTTCCTCCCGCCATATTGTACGTCGCACCCCTTCCAGCAGTCGGATCTAGTCCTAACTCGTGGTTACCTGCACCACAATTACACGGTCAGGCTGGGAAATTGATACCCAAAGTTTAGCTATAAATCTATTAATTGTTTCAGATAGATGTAGTTAGTCCTATCTTATTTGTTGCCGACAACAGTGGGCTTACACAGCTATATTGTGCTTATATAAAGACTATAGATGCCATAAAAAACAATTGAGGTACTGGAAGTTCGAGTCCGGCCGGAGGTAATATTCCACAGAAAGTTTTTTAAAATGAAAATTCTTATTTTCTAATTCCTGTCCCGTTTTCAAATATTTCAAGAACATAAATTTCGTAGATTTGACAGGATATTTGTCCAGTGTGTTCTAGAATTAATCAGTTAACTGAGAATGGTAGACCAAATTGAGGTACTGTAAGTCAAAATTCCATGGAAAATCATAATTTTCCTTTTTCTGTCCCATTTTCAATTATTGAACATGAAATTTCCTGAACAAAAGTTTGACAGTTTTGACTGAACTTACTTCCAGTAACCAATTAGCTAGTACGTTAACTACACAATATAATACTTCAGAGCTATCCTTGCAAGGCCCTAACACTGCCCGGACTGATTTTCTCCGGGTCTGGAATTAAAGTTAGGACCAAGATTCTCCATCTCACCTGGTATAACAACCTTGTACTTGTGTGGTAAAGACTGCATCAGCTTGCTGAATTGGACGAATTCCCCTGGCTGCCCGATCTTGGTCATGTCCCCGGCGTGCAGTAAAACATCACCTAATCCGGGATACCATGATTTTAAGTCTCTGAATGTTACATTTAAAGTTATGCAATGTTACAGTTATAGGTTTTTGATAGCTAAACTTTAACTTATCATTCATAATTGAATTTTCTCCATATTGACACAGCGAGATTTATGGATAATTCTTTGATTTGATGATAATGTAACTCTAACTTTACCAACTTACCAAGTTAACATACTGCCGAGACAAAGACCATAAAGTCTAACAACAGACAAATTTATATATATTTTTCTCATTCTCAACATCCGAATTCCTTCAGTATTCGATTTCGAATAAACGATCAACAAACTAAGTATATATATTTCCAGTCAATCTGTTAATATAATAGCGATGATTCGCATGATCAAATTATAATCGTAATATTAAGTTGCGTATTTCTGTCACCGGAGTAATTTCCAAAGATGCACTCCTCACTGGACTGCTTGTAGTTATCTGTTCTTATTCTTATTTTTTTATCTAATTATAAATATTTAGGGCTTGCGGTACGTGTGCATATCTTGTATTTAATCGTCGTCATTTCGGGCACCATTTGTTTGTCTTGCATGTTTTACAAGGGGATGAAATCAAAGCTTTTCAACACAATTGTGAAAATCGTATGTGACTTTTGAGAAGCCGCTCATGTAAACTACGTCTGAACGTTTGAATGATGCAAAATTCTTAAAATCACATGATTTTCTCTAATAATCTCCCGAGACACCCTAGTATAACATTTTTACCCACAACTAAGGAAAGCTATCATAAGATTAAGCGCGATGTGTTTAACTATGCATACATGGATTGTGACAACTACCGTGCAAACTGTGAACTGTGAAGTTATCTGGCCGCTTGAGGATCCAATAACGGTATTAAAATAAATGGTATCACCGATTGTGCAAGTGCTTGTGTTCTGAAAGACTGTTAAAACGCTCCAGTATCAGTTAGACGATCCTGTTAAACTAATGTTCTTGCTTTTACCAGCATGTTCGTCCGTGTGAAACTTTCTATTTTTAATCATTCTTTCTTCGAAATTTATATAATTTAAAGATCCTTCCAGATCATCATAGTTAATGTCTTTACGGCAGTATCCAAGAAGCCTACCCAAGTCTGCGGATACTGCCGTCTTTCCTTACAATTCCTGATTTCGTCTACTAGACGAAATCAATGGACGATATTAGATTATGTTGTTCGAGACTTCTTATTCCAGAAAAAACCGTCTAAAGGATGCCATGTCCATGATTGAATCACAATCGCGGATTCCAGAACTATTGGAGTAACTGTTGAGCAGCAAGAATATTCTTATTATGCGGCTAGAATATTTTAGTTGTGCTTGATAAACTGATATTGTGCTTGTTACAAGATACTGATTTTAAAAAGCAGATACCATAAGGCGCAAAATCAATCGCAAAATCTTCTTTGATCAGTTATTACGCCTCACGTACTGCATTAGTCGCTTGAGTTCTAGTACCCCACAATTTGTTCCTTTGTGTGTATAAAATCTCCAATTGCTGTTGTCGAGATTATTGGTTGTTCTAGCTTCAACTTGATTAACTTAATCAACGATAATATAACGTTAACGTCAAAACATCATTAAATTGTCCATAATAATGAGACCCCTGTGAGTCGGCTTCTGCCAGAACATTCTGCCAGAACATTCTGCCAGAACATTCTCGAACTATCGATACAATCATGACCATGTGATAAGACGCAGCAGTGGCTAATCGCTGATTGGTATATCATATAGGTCTCACGAAACTATCTTATTGCTGACGTATCTGGAAGTGTAAGCATTTCAAGTCTCCGATATTAGAGTAAGCTTGAAAGCACCTCTAAGTTCTAATGGCAAGACCTTTCAGAATAAATATGATTTGAAAGCTTTTAAATGGTTACCTGCTGGTACTTCGATCTGTAACTTTCTGCTGTGAGTGTCTGACATGCATACGAACCTGTAATTATTTCACTTGTTTTTCTCTGTTTAACTTTATTTCATTTTTAAATTTTACTTAGATTTAAAAATTAGACAATCTGCAAAAAAACATACAAACACACCGACAGTCAAACAGAAAAACAGCTGACCTACACCAAAGATTAACCTTGTATGCCCCTCCTTTTGCGGAGCGTCGTGATCTAGTGGGGTCACCTCCTCAACTAGTTGAGATACTTGGAGTCTTTCAGCGACCCAATCTGGCGATATCGACCACTTCGGCTCGTATCTTTCCCAGAAACTGGCCAGGGGCTTGGGCACTCGCGGCATTGGGAATCTGGCGACTTCTTCTCAGCTTATCTGCACAATGTTATGGATTACTAGTTACTACCCATAGATCTGTCTAATTGAGTTGCCTGGATAATTAGATAAAACGTGTTAGAAGGTGTCCTTCAATGCGACCATGATAAATAAAGCGATATACCTTATCGGACCTTATTTTGACGGACATTACTTGAACGGACATAATTACGAACGGACATTAATATGAACGCTAGAAGGCGATCAAAACCATCAAAAATCCGAATTTTTTTCATCTTTTTTAAAGGTTTTTTTAATTTTAGCAAATGATTTTTAAATCCATTTTTCATGCAGTAAGGAAGAAAAATACCTTGTTTTTATTGATTCAACGACATAGTTTAGTCTAATGATAGCTATTGAAATTGACTGACATTAAAAAGTCGTCATATGCTGGACAAAAAGTTCTAAATGGAAAAAATTTTTGAAAAAATTTCAACGGACTTTAACTTGGACGGACATTAATTGAACGGACTTTATTTGAACGGACATTAAGATGAACGCTAGGGCCTCCAGCGTTCAAGTAATGTCCGTCCAAATAAGGTCCGATAAGGTAAGTCATTTTATTTAAAATTCCTGCATTTAAATTATTTACAGCACTCACGCCCGCGCCCTAATAATATATTATTCCTATTAGGTCCCAACCGCTAAATTGGTTCACACATCGAATTACGGGATCAGTATGCATATTAAAAAACGTGGCATGGGGGCTTCCAGAAGACAACCATTGCCTATGTATAGACACAGTGAATAAATTTTTGATTAGTGAACATTCTAGGCTGTGGTTATGTGTTTTGTACCGTGTTTTCAGTAAATCAGTTTGTTGATTCATTCCTTATCCGTATTTTGTTAGTGGAATCCAAAAAAATCACATTTTTCGTCATGTTTCTTAATGCTAGTATATCACTGTATAGTAGAGGTTGGCTGAACCTTCCGGTCGTCTGCGATATTCATCATTTAATGACGGACTATCGGGCGTGAATTATGATTTCTAATTTTAACTCAATTGTTGTACTTGATCTTAGGAGCGTTTTAACAACAACAAAAATAACGAATACGGATTACACCCATCCAGACTCTTGGATCACTTTTAGTGTTTAGCTAGTTACAATAAATAACCGATACCATTAGATTTTATGAGGCTTGAATTAGGCTATTAGTGATAAAAGTCAAGACCTAAAGAGGGAATCAGGGAACTATTAGTCTATAAAATTGTTCAGGTTTTTCTTTAAATGTGTATCACGAGTAACCAACCACGATTCAAATTCCTCAGTTAAGCGAGTAATCAAGCAGTTAAGTGAGTTAGGATCCTTTGAGTATAAACAAGGCTTGTATATAGGCCTGTAATTAGAGTATTTATAAAGCCACAACAAAGCAGGAGCACGCACACACATACACACTTATAGTTATTATATACACGCACATTGTAGCTGGCTCGAGATTCAAGAACGATTACCGTAGATAATGAACCGCGTACACTGCCCAGAGTACAAATGTTATATGTACAACTGTATGCAGAGTGCATGTCTCTTGTTATTATTTTGCTCTTCGTGCTAAGCTTTTTGAGTGCTGGATTTCTATTGGTCCAAGTCGGAGTCTGTCCTTCAAGTTCGGAGCTCGATCATATGTATCCGAACCAATTGATCACAAGTTGCGAGTAAGGCCATGTATGTATTAGCGAGATGATGCAGCTGCACAAGCTGCCAACAATTTCTATACAGTCTGCCAGCACAAAGCCTTTCAACAGTTCAATATTTATACTGTAGCTGGACAAATGGTAGGTCAGCAAGGATTGGCGGTTAGGAATAATGGAACTGCTGATTATACAAGCCTCTATTGAGTGTTGTAGTGTTGTTATTGATTATAAAAGGGTTTATTGGCTGCTATATCGTAGTTATATCTCTGTAGGTACGCGGTTTACCGTGTCTTAGTATCATAATTCATAACGCACTGCCTTGTTTTGCAATCAGCAAGTCAAAGGACAATTTTGCAAATTTCCTAACTCGCACTTGGCATTTCAGGTTAATTTTTCTAGTCGTCACAGTTTACACCTTTTATCAAGGAATAAATATAATATTAAAGTCAGCGTTAGTTAAATTTATAATATCCTACTGGTAGTTGAAATGTCGTTGACTCATTAACATTTAATAAGAGTGTCCAATATTTGTGATACGGTGGTCTAGGTCATTACAAAATACACGTGTATACCCAACAAAATACATGTGTATACAATGCATGAATGCAATGTACATACCCAATATAACTATTTTTGAGTAGAAAGTAGTAGTCCTAGTGGCATCATCATGATACAAACGATGATTTACATATTTTTGATTTTTACCTATGGACTGTTCTCGACTAACTCTAAATTCAACATGACAAAAACATTGCATCTTGTTAGTTTCCTGAAGCGCGCAGTTAATAATGTGATGTCAACCACTACAGCTAATAACTAATAGCTTAGTTAGCTATCCTGCATACAGCTTTCAGTTGGCCGAACATCTAATTATGCATTTTGCTGCGTCTGTTGTATGTGTACAGCGTTGGTCAGCCCATTTTGTCTATAGTTCATTGTTGTAGCAGAAACAAGTTCACTTCTGTTCAATTCTTGAATTAGATTACTTAATTACTATGTTGTACATTTGTTCTCAATATGGGCTATATTTTACAGATTTATCCTAACTTTAGTCTTAACCGTAATAATTGCCCTAATTTTCCATATATTTCTGCTCATTAACAACGTTGGACATTTCATTATATCGATTGTTTTGATTAATTTAAAGTTACATCAGCCGCACGTTAGTCAGTTTGATTTCTTTGCCAGAAGATATTATTTGATGAAGGAGCGCTAACATGTATTTAGCAATTGGAACACATTTCAGGCAAACGAAAAACATTGTGTTTTTACTAGTCTTTATAACGAAACTATCCCAAAACGAGGGATTTTATATAATTTCTTTTTTTTTAATTCCAAGATTTTACAACCTAGGATTTGAGGCTATTTTCACACGATCGAATCGTGTATTGAATGGGAAAATACATTTGGTGCACTGATAAATGGAAAATGATGATGACGACTGCAGTAATACTAGTCCTGAGCCAGAGCCAGATTTAGCTACAGATCGAGAAAGCTGTCTTCCGTTGCCAAGCGCTGTCAGCAGTCGAAGATGGATGTAAGTTCTAGTGTTTCACTCGATTTTTAGTTGTACAGATTTACCAGAGTTTAATCATTTTTAGAAGTCAGTCAAAAGGATTCAATTAAACCATATTTGTGAAAAATTTACAAGTTAATGATTTGTTCTCCTGCTATAACAATAACTAAATAAGTAAACCTTGACGTCTAAGCTAAGGGGACTATCCTGAACTTGAAAAAAAAAAAAAACCGACATTTATCAATTGCTCCTTAACCGATGTATTTTAGCAACATTTCAATTAACATTAAAACACATATCACAAATGCCCGAACTCAGAATCAATCCGAAAGACGGTAGTCGATCACTCGATCAATATTATTTACATAGTGAACAGTAAAATGTACAAAACTACGATTAGATAGTTTCAAGATAAAATCTTGGAAGACAGGCAGCAACGAGCAAGACTTTGTCGATACATACATTGTACTCAACAAAACCTCAGGATGTAGTTTTAAGATGTTAATGCCAATTGTATTTCAGGTCAAGAAAGTCAATCAGAATTCTAACTTTATGTACCTTGATAATCATGGTTGCAACCACGGTGCCAAACATACAGTGGGGGTATATAACCCTTTTCTTCGAAAAACAAGTAAGATAACTGATTACTAAAATAGAAATTGTTAGCAAATCCTACTGCAGGTCTAGCGTTGCATTACACTGCCCATCAAAATGAACGACTGTTTTGCGCACAAGTTGAAGTAATACATTATACATTATACATATTTTTATTATGTATCATAAATCATATAAACAAGAAGATGGATAACTAGCTTCTATTCAGGGCGCAAGCACGATCATATAAACATAAATATCGATAACTAGCTTCTATTCAGGGCGCAAGCACGATCGGAATTGCGATTTACGCATCATGTATGAGCGTGTTCGTCCTGTTCTCGTCAATATTCTCTCAAAACATAATGCGATTGATGACACTGAAGAAAATGCTATTTCTGTAAGTCCCGTGGAATTGCAGCAATATAATATTTGATGAGTTAAACCAGCAGTAAAGTGGCAGTCGTGTCATTTGAATTAAGTCTATAACGCAAAATTGATTCCCAAAATGGAAAAAGATTTCACTTAAATTTAAAATATCTGTGGGCTTATTGCGAATAGCTGTGAGCCCCAAAATTTAGAATCCCAAGCCTATTATCCAATTTTCCAGATCGGTCGTTCTCCTGAGTGTTTCCACTTGCCTACACGGTATCATAGTGTTAATGGATGATGTTTGTTGGATGATTGTGGCAGGAATCATCGTTCGAGCAATCCAAGGTGTCAGTTCAACTGTTATGCAGGTAATTATATAATTATATAGAAGCCACTATCTCTTTATATTTTATGCTTTTAGTAAGTAAAATTTGTATTGCAGTTCATACCGTAGTGTATCGTGATCACCCACGTGATATGAAAACCTATTATATATTAAGCTATTAAGCTATATTATATTAAGCTATTTTACTTCATTTTCATAAAAATGAACCCACTTTGATATGATATAATCATTGTACAGGTTTTGGCAGTTTCCGTCCTGATTTTGCGATTCCCGGAAAAGTGTGGAAGGGTGTCAGCCGTAAACGAAAGTGCCCTTGGCCTGGGATTTGCGATATCACCTTTACTAGGAGGCATACTCCACGATAAATGTAAGTTAAATGAAACTTCTCATCCCCATTTCGAGAGATTCAGTTGAATTGCGTTTGTACAATGTACACATTAAAACACCGAGCTCCGGGATCAAATGGCGATACCTCTAATATAGCGCTCATGGTACAGTCCTCAATTCTCATGTTAGTTATTTCAAATGCTTACGGTTGATTACGGGGGGAGGGGGGGGTGGGGTTTTGGTCGTTGATTACGTAATCAACATTTTAATTTTTTACCGATTTTCGAAATACCAATTGGACAATTTTCGTTAATCATGTAATCAAAATTTTTTCAACAATTCCAGTTGGGTTCCTGTTGACGTTTGTGGCAGTGGGAAGTTCCGGCCTCCTCATGCTAGTACCCCTCTTTTCCACTTCTACTAAACTTCTCAGCAGCACAACCAGCTACCAGAAAAGGTACTCCAAGATGGACTGGAAGGATTTCCTCTTCCTGTCTCCCATAATCACGTGCTGTCTCTCCTCTGTGGTGGAGGCCTGTGTGGATTATGTCATGGCGCTTTATGTTAACGATGTGTTCGGAGAAGACGCTACATTCACTGGGCTATTACTCAGCGGCCTCTCACTATCCTCAATCTTGTTCGCTTTCGTGTTAGGTAAGTAAGCAACCTCATTTTTTATCTTTCGGCACTTCCAACATTTTTAGCTCTCCAACAAATGACGTGGTATTTACATTTTACACATTTTTAGCTAAACAGTAGGCATAGACGCATGATGATGTATTATCATCTAGATGGAAATAAAGGATTTTAAAGTTGACACAATGACACACACAACACATTCAGGGTATTTCTGCGACAAGTTCAACCCCTTTTTAACCGGGCTTATCGGCTGCTTTCTGACTTGTCTGGGACTTTTAGCCATGGTTCCTCCCCCCTTCTTGCAGCCCTTGATATTAGTTAACAAACCTCAACTTGTTACCGCGAGCATCGTTACAGGTGATTTTCTAATTAAGAGCTTTTAAATATTTCAATATAAAAAGTTCGGATAAAATGTCTTTTGAGGAATGGACAACTTAAAAACTCTGACTTTGTTTCAGGACTAGGACAAGCGATGATCTGGTTACATGTACTACCAGCAATGCTCTTTGTGAAGACCAAATGTAGAAATAAGCCCGTGAACGAGGAGCTATCTAACTTAGTTTCTCTGTTGTACATTGTTGCTACGAGTATGGGCGATTTCGCTGGGTCCTTTCTTGCAGGTTCGTGCTTATTTCATGATGTGTATATTCTTATGGAATCTAAAAACATGTAACTATGTTCAATATCATGAATATGGATATGGATATATACGGAATTTAGAGTATACGATATTTAATTGGAGATTTAACATTTTAACAAATCAACACGGTAACACGACATCTGTCCGACAGCGACATCTGTCCGAAAGCACTATTTTCGTGTATTTGAAGTGATATCTCAAATTTGGCACATAGAAATTTATCCAAACTTGCACAAGTTATTTGTCTTAAAGCTATCTTACTATCTAGAAAGTTTCAAGAAAATCGTATCGTTGGATCTCCAGATATATGCTTTGGAACCACTGAAACAACCGAATTGGATATATTTTTAGTGTTTAAGTAAAATCCGGATTGGAGTATTATTTATGAGTCGCATTGTTGTAATGTAATTTTTTTTAATACTTTCAACACTACTATATAACAAATAATTTGAGATCATGAATACGATGTAGTTACATTGAAACGTCGAGTAATCTCCTTTCCCTAATAAGAGCATTTTTACTTGTCGCAACAACCGGGATAAAGATAATTTTACCCAGAATACATTAGTGTTTAAGGTAATATCTTAAACTTGGCACATAGAAACTCGCTCAAACTTACACAGATTATTCGTCCTAAAACCAACATACTTTGTGGAAAGTTTTAAGAAAATCGTACGGTAGGATCCGACATAAACTATTGTCCAAATAACCTATTTTCTGAGTCGGACAGATGTCGCTGTCGGACAGATGTCGCCCAATCAATCAACACATATGCACTATTTTAAATTCGCAAAACTTTATAAACTAACACTAAGCTCTCTTTTCAGGAGGTCTACACGAATGGTGTGAGTACTGGCAACTGTTCACCATAATTTCCGGGGCCATGTTTTTCTGTACCATGTTCTGTTTCGTGTGTTATCTAAGATCGGCCAGATCACTGTCTCACTCTACCGACAGCATCAGTACGGTCATTACTAGCGGGGGTGACAGCAAGGATATTGGGGAAATGGCGTCTCTTACCGGTGATATGACGCCACTCTGAGGGGTTATCCCTCTTGGCAATAAAAGACGTTTTTTAGAGATTTTCCTGTGATGGACACAGTTACTGTAAATAATCGTAGAAATAAATGTATTTTGGATAGTGAAAAAGGATTGAATATTGCTGTCATGCTCTCAGGATTTTAAATGTTTAATTATTTCGATACAATCAAACACAATATTTGTTTATTGTCAACCAAACAAGGTTTTATTCAGAATTTAAAATGCATGAAGGATTTGCAACAAATTTTTACATTCAGCAATAATTTAAGTGTTGTGTTTTTATTTGTACGACTTCAGTACCACTTACCAGCCTAGGTCATAATCTTACATCAACTAACATACTATTACATCAGTGTCACTAGATGAGTAAATAAAGAATGGCTTTATCAGCTGTTTGAATCTGTTCAACGTTCCACATTGATTATCAGGTTAATTATTCATATTCGATATGTCACAAATTCTTTACTGAGGAAATTATCCATACTCTAATTTTGTATCAGCTTACATCTAAAAACTGGATCAATGCCAGCCAAACAAAAGTGGTTAATTGACGCGACAATTTATTTCTACACAATTAAATCAAGCTAGCTAAGATAAATCAGTACGTGCGCGCACACTACCCAGCAATAAAGCTAGTGCCGCGTACGTTATTGATCTTCTGTAGACCTACCCCCCAGTGGATGTCAGGATGGCAGAGGGTTTATTATCGGTTTTTGTGGCGAATGTGAATCTCGTCCCATCATGTAATTTGCTGATTATTGAGCTATTACCAGTATTATTCTGACTTGAGCTATTAATAACTATGAAATCAATTATCGAGAATTGAACAAGTAATTAGGTCAGATATAGAATATTATGGCTGGGGGAAAGCGTGCCACAAATGGGGACAAGAAATGGGGGCGTGCCACAAATTTGCCACAAATATTTAGAATACGTCGCCTCAGTAGATTTAATGGATGCACTTTTGCGAAGAAAAGTCAGAGTGCTGTTCTTTATATAAAAATTCAAGAGTGACCAACTATACACCATACTATACCATATACATAGGTTTGTTTCATTGCGATCCCACCATCAATAATGGAACACACAACATTTCAAGACTAACAATAATAAACTAATTAACGTATGATCATTTAAGCGTATTTAGCTATTTCAATCAGGTACAATAATGGTACCGATTGACATCCAGCAATAAGAACAACTTGAAAAATATAAAGTATACTAAATCTTGCCAAAGAAGAAGTTCAAATTTATTTTCAGAAGGGGGTCGTTCACATATATTACGTAATCAGCCGAGGGGGGGGGGGGGGTTTCAAATGCTTACGGTTGATTACGGGGGGGGGGGGGGGGGGGGGTTTTGGTCGTTTGGATTTGGACGTAATCAAAATTTTAATTTTTTATCGATTTTCGAAATACCAAGTGGACAATTTTCGTTAATTATGTAATCAAAATTTTCGTTTTTTAAACCAATTTTCGTTTAGTAAGTGCTTTGCGATTATTTCATTCATTAATCCGTTGTGATAGCTTTTAATAAATAAATGGCTTAACATGAACATTGAACATGCAAAAATATTGATTACGTAATATGTGAACGACCCCAAACCTCAGTCTTACTTTTTTATCAATAAACTTTCAAAATGTTTACAAACACATCATTTTATTACGAAGAAAATTCGCCGAATGTACGAAAAAGTAAACTCTTAAAGTTGAAAGACCGTTGAAGTTCCCAACCTTCTGATAGGAACAAGTTCATAGACGCAGTATTTTCCTTTTTGATACAGACATGTATCCGACATTCCATCTCCTGAGCTGTTTTCAGTGTATGTCGGATAAGGATTCTAGCAAGTCCTCTTCCTTTGTGATCATTCTTGACGTTTAATTGTCCGACGGTTCCTTCGCTGTACACACATATCCAAGCGATCGGAGTCGTCGGATCACTTTCGGTGAAAATACCGAAGCTCGGTCTTTCTTTTATATTCCTTAATGACATCGAAAGAAGACTGTCATCGTTTGCATTCTCGAATCTAATATTCGAAGCCCACTGTTTAGTGATGACCTCAGCATGCGCCTCCAACAGTGGACCGAGTGTGTAGCCTTGTGGTACAGGGATTTGTACTGGTTTTGAGGCAGGAGCAGTGATTATGTTCATGTTCTGGCTAAATTTAACGGGGTCTTCTCCAAAGTGAAAGCCGACACGTTGGATGACACCTTTGACAATATAATCATAATATCTTGTTTGGATATTCATTATGAACCAACTACTAAAATTAGCCTCATTCTTGTTGTTCAGTACTTCATCTAAAAAAAGGTCGATCTCTTCCAAGGTTGCCTCATCATCGATGAAGCAGTCGATTCTTAAAATTAGTTCATTGTCATCTCGGTGATGGATGATGCCAGAGAAAATATGCCTCGCAGCAGATTGATAAGATTCTACCACCGCATTACCGTCCTTTGGCAGCCAACCCTTTTCAATAAATCTAAGATGAGTCTTAAAAAGAAACAGCTCTTCCGGGATCTCCGACGACTTTAAAGAAGCAATTTTCTCCATAAAGAAAAATGCAGTAACCACACCCTAGCAATTCTGATTAAGTTAACAATGTTTATCTATCAATGTTTGACAATACCTTAAAAAACCAAACTCCAGTTTTTGCAGGGTAGATTAAGATAATCAACTTCAGGTGTGAAGAAAAAGGAACGCGTGCCGCGTTGCAATATGTGTTACGTAACAATAATAGACAAGAGAATATCATATTATGATTACCACTTTTTACCACCTTTCTTGTTTGTCGAATATCCTTAGTTTTGAACATCGTAAAAGCTTGCGGATTAATCGAAGGTGTACATCTTATCAGGAGGAAAAACTTTTGTAAGGCAATTTTTACGTCAGACAATTAGTAAATTGGATAATTATCAATAAGCTATTAAGCAAAATTCTAAAATTTTTTATTGGCTCAAATTGATTGGAATAGCTTGAAACACGGAGAAAAGTGGTTTTTAGAAAAACTTTGTCACTTACATTTTTTTCCGAAAATTCTAAATATTTTTGTCGCCAAAAGTGATCAAATTGCATGAAACGCGGAGAAAAATGATTTTCAAAAAAACTTAGCGAATTTTTCGTTTCAAGAATACTTAAATCACCAATATTTGTAGTTGGAGTTCAGTAAATCTCGGCAGATTTTAGTAATCAGGAATTACTAAGTGGAAAGGTCTGAAACTGAAAAACGTTAACCATACGATATTATACTTTCATAACTAATTACAATACAGCCTTATCGATTTTCACAGAAACTGCACCAATGGCACAATCAAGATCGAACCGATAGCCTGCTGTACTATCATTTTATTGATTTCAATGATGAATTAGTGGGGTTAAGATAATCACATTTATAATAAAGAAAACCTCTCTGTACCGTCAATTGTGCTAATCTAAACCGGCTTATCTGGAATCTGGATTACCAGACCTCTTCTTTTCCTCAACAATCAAACCGAGTTGTTCATATCGCGTTTGGTGGAACAGTGGGTGATGTAAGTACATATCGAGCTGTATTCAATCACAATACGACATAATACGCATGTATATTATATGGCCCTTAATGCGGTATATGAAACGCTACCTGGTGAGTGGTGGGGTTGAACTCGCAACCTTTTGAATAGTAGTAAGGGTAAAAGGGTTATGTTACATTCCTCAAATTATTCTAATTGCAGATTAGGACGACGAGAAACATCCTTTCTGTCCCTGGGGGGGGGGGGGGGGGGGGGGGGGGGTATAGTGAGCACCATTCTCTGTTCTGTGGTGGGGAACTACCTGACTCTCCTACTCTCAAGGGCCCTCATTGGTTTTACTGTCGGGTTGCACCTGTCGGTCTGCTTTGTGCTGCTGACTGAGCAAGCTAGCAGTAAGAAGGTTCTAGTCGGCTGCTTAGGTTACTCTTTAGGTAGTATCTGGGTTCCAGTACTCGGGTATTATATTTTAGATATGCTCGGCTGGAGAACACTTCTGATTATTGCCTCTCTTCCAGTCATGATACCTCCAATGTTAATCCTACACTTTTCCATAACCAGTACATCGAAGTTGGAACTTAGCAACCAGACAGAACAAAGTGAAGATGAAGAAACAGAAGTTGTGGATGTACCAAATTTCAAAATGAGACTATTTAAATTGTGCTTGTTTTCAAGCATCAATGATTACCATGGCTCGGGGACTATTCTACTTTTGCCAGCATTGATAAAACTTTTCAACATTAAAAAAGGGGGAGGAGGAGGTAGCAACTGCGAATCAATCACTCACGGAACTGAATTCTTCCTCCTAGCATGTGTCGCTGGAGCAGCAGCACTGGGAAGAATTGCATCTCCAATCATCAGGAAGAAGATAAGATTTAAAATTTTGTACTCCTCGATTGCTGTGCTCGTCCTAACATCATTTTTCTCCGCGTTTCATGCAATTTGATCACTTTTGGCGGGAAAAAAATTTGAATTTTTCCAAGTCTCGAAGTGATTTTTAGAATTTTGTTAATTAACTTATTGATAATTATCCAATTAACTGATTGTCTGACGTAAAAATTGCCCTCGATTAATCTGCAAAGCTTTTACGATGTTCAAAACTAAAGATATTCGACAAACAAAGAAAGGTGGTAAACAGTGGTAAAAGTGGCAAAAGTGGCCTTAAGACACGTGGAAAAGTTTGGAAAAGTTGGTCAGCCATAAAGGGCACCACCTAATGGGACTAAAAAACGTCAAAAATCCTTAGAAAGCTTCTTGTCTCGGTAAATCGATTTTTCAGACGGATCTGTCTAAAGTACTAAAGATTGAAATGTTTCATGGTGTTTATATTTTATAACTCATATTTATATTAAATGTTAGGGATAATTTCCAAGCAGAATAAGTACCTAATCGATGAAACATGCAAACGAAACAATGAATATATATCCGGTAAGTGCATTGAATGCGATCATGAACATTCTATACAATAATATTCTGCGTAATTCACTTCCTAATTTCATTCGAACTAGACAGCAAAGCCACGGACATAATTTAATATAGTATTGTACGCGGTTTTATATCCGTATTGTACGCGGTTTTATATCCGTCCTGATTCGAGTATTTCTTAAAGTCCAAATATGAATATATACTAACATTTTGATATGATCGTAAATTATTGTAAAGATCGTGAAACTTACAGTCCAATTACTACGGAACCTCCCACGGATTCTGTACCCTTATAGCCGGAAGGAGCTTGGCGAAACAACATTCTTACTGTATACTGTGTATACTGTGTATACTGTGTACTTACCTTGTGGTTTACGTAAGTATAGCTTACCTTGTGGTTTACGTAAGTATAGCTTACCTTGTGGTTTACGTAAGTATAGCTTACCTTGTGGTTTCCGTTACCAATGTCGCTAAAAGTGCACACTCAACACCTCAACCAGTTACCGGAGTATTGAACTGCATGCCCTCAATAATTATGCAGAATAAAATAACTTTTTAATTAAAAAAACACAGACACAAATTAATAGTCCAAAATTTACATACCGTCAGCTGCTAAAAGGGGGAGATGCTAAATGCTTTTCAAAGAAACACTCACCAGTAAAGGTTTGAGAGTAGAGACACACCCGATTAACACGACATCCTATAGGTGATGTTATAACAATAATTATAACAATTAGTGGAATCAATGGAATCAAAGCAGTAAATAGGTCATTTTAATCTAGATTAAATGGAATGTGTAGCCTCTACGCATCAGAGCCTACAAATTGACTCTACGAAGTAACAAAAATGTTATCCCAGATGAACATTTTAAAGCACATTATCATAATCTAGATTACAATGACCCATTTACACTGTAGAATCGTAGACTGACTAGGGTCAGGTCACTCAGGGGTTTGGTATTTCGCATACAACAGGAATCACTTTGAAAGATCTAATCATTATAATCTAGTTGATTTAGTTTGTATTTGGTATTCATGACACCGGGATAGATATAGAATATGCTTGTGATGGCAAACATTAAGCTTCTGCTAAATTATATCTTGAATCCTGATCGAGGGGGGGGGGGGGGGGGGGCTCCTGAAGTCTTCAATATTTAGACATTTACACTTGATAGTTAACAGTTAATTACATTTACACTTGATTGAAACATATAGAAATATGGATACTTTACCATGCAGAGCAGACTCAAACTTAAAATTAGAAATATAGATCCGACTTACTATAATAAGTTTTGTACTTGAAATTCGTTTAGATATTTGTGAACATTTTATCAAATGAGAATCAAAGAAGCACATCATGTCATTATTAAAAGAATAAAAATTTAAACATTAAACAGAATATATAGTCAGATATTCTCAAAACAGAAATAATCAAGAAACCAGATTTTGCAGTGCTAACGAAACACATAGCTATTTTACTGTCAATAAATCTATTAACATCAGAATTGAACGTACCACAAAGGTGAAACAGAAAGTTAACCTGATACCAACGGAAGTAATCGTAAAAATGTTTTTAACCAGAACTTTGCAATAAATATTCACCCGCACTTGACTTTTAAAAACTTCGGATTTACAACAAATATAAAATATTTGACTGAGATAAAACTTAAAAGAAACAGAAATACAAACAACAATCTAACCTCTGAAATACCAGTCCTGAAACTCAATAACCCTTCGTTCTTACATACCTACAGTAGTACAGAGTAACAGTACTCAGTGCTCCAAACTATATTCACAAGGAGCCAGTAAACAATAATCAGCCAGTGAGTTAAATAAACAGTATAACACACCACAATACACTACAATAACCCAATGTTAGCAACTCTTTGTCTCACATCATTCACACTCATATCACACTTACCCTGGCTGTTCCTGCCGTAGAACTTCCACTCATACTGAGACGGGTCATAGTCCACACTAGCCCTGTCACTAGTGACATTAAACATCACCAACCCACTTGATGGTCCTAATGGTTTGACTGATATTATGGCGATGTGTAATTCCTCTTTGAAATCCAATTTCTGATTGAAAGTGTTGTTTATCTCCTCGAATTTTACTTCTACCAACGATGGAGGAATGGTAAGTGATCCGTTGGTTCGCTTTAGAATTTCTTTATCAGTCATGATGTCATCGATAAGAAGGTTAATATCGTCACTCATCTTTCTGTCAAGCTTTAATCCCATAATAGTCCCTTTTTCGTCTGGCACGACTCCAACAAAAATATCTCCTCCTTTGTGGTTCAACATTGAAATCAATTCTTTAGCTATCTCATTCTGTAGCGAGCATTGTTCGCATGCTGCACAAACGCACATTTCTCGCCCATGTAAATCTTGTAATTCCTCAGTTCCTCACCTTGACTGAACTTCTGTTTAAAGTCGGGTATTGCTCCTGGATTGTAAGGAGGTCGTACTCTGGGAGCTGAAGATACGAGTGGAAGTGACGAGCTATTATTGGGAGTCTCAGCTTTCTCTTCAGATATCTCATATCCCTTGAACACCTCCCTGGCAATGTCTACAAAATGTGCTTTAATCACTTCATCCTTTTGGTGTTCACTGAATATCTTCATAATGAGGCCCATCCCTGGGCCCTCTGCCAACTTTTGAACAACCTTCAAGTTCTTCCCCACTACAGTCATGTAAAACAACATAACAGGGCGCATCACGTCTGCACACTCCATATACTGGCCCACGTGCGCTGTGACAGGGTCGAGGAGTGCGCGGCCCGATCTGCCTGTCCGCAGCAGCGTTAGCTAGCACGTAGAGCACGTGTCGTGCAGTGTCTAGATCGTGAGAATTGTAGAGAAGAGAGAGGAGGAGAGTCTGGTGGGCGGGATTAGAGAACGCTGCTGTTGCAAAGGTCAAGTTCTGAGTTATTCTGTGGAGCACTTTTAGGCTTCCTGGGAGGGGGATTGTTTAAAACGGTTAAGAAATTTTAAAATATCTTTAATATAAATTCGCATTTTTGACTCACTAAGACATCTTTATTTAAAATTTGTGCGATTGGAAGCTAACCTAAAATGAGAGCTTTGTCGTTTGATTCCGTGGGGATAACATCAGCTAGTTTGCAAAGACAAGCGATATTGTAATCGTGACTTTTACCTAGCACCCTCCTTTTCTGGTAAATATCCTTCTTGGGCACGGTACAAGTCCATCCAAAGTCAATAGCGAGCACTTCGGCTGGTTCACCTCCTAATGCTGTGGATCCTGAGTGAATATTGCAATGTGTGAACAATTTTTGTTTACAAAATATGGCGAAAAAGTGACTGTTTTATTACAATTTGTTGTTTTGTTTTATTTTTCAGCAAATTGATAACGGCAATTATATTTATGCCAATTCGTGCCGTGCTGCATGTTATTCATAACATACACAAACAAACTTTGAGGATGAAAAACACCAATACTTTCTGGGAACATGACATAATATTATGAATGTTCAAAATTATCAAAAGTTAACAAAACAATCATTTCACTAAATCAGTTTTTAAAAAGAACACCTTCATTTGAACTTTTGAAAATACTTAGTATAACTAGTACCTACATTCGTAAAAAAACAAAACAACTTCAAAATTTCAGAGGAATCTCACAATCATTATTTAGAAATCTTCCATAACTTTTAATAACTAATAAGGTTTCATAATAATATGATAATGCTTCCATTGCTCCAGCAGCAATTTACTTAAATATTCAACATAATAGAACTACATCATAATATTATTATCACAATCTACATCGTCGTCGAAAGAACTAGCTCCTGATTCACCGTCTTTTCTTCTTTTTCTTCTTTTTTTTCTTTTTCCTTTTTATTTTGTTCGATTTATCGTCTTGTAGCTGTTTTTTTAGCGCCATAGTCTCGGAGGGATTTTGAGGGGTTTCGAATTCAATAATTCTACATACGTCACGACGCTGTTTTAACTCCTCTATAAGTTGTTCGTCATATTTACAAATATTCGTTGCATTATAATCACGCATGATCGCTGCTGAGTACACTCTGGCTCGTGAGATTCCACTGTAAAGATTTGGAATAATATTACTGAGTGTAAACTTATTCTCACTTTCATCAGGTGCGTATCTTATTGATGGTGTGCATGTGTGGATATAGATAATAGCTGGCCACTCTGCAGACGTAGAATTCGCATTCCACATCATCATAATCTCGTTATCTTTCTCATTCCACATACTTAATACGCTGGTTACAGTAATCTGTGTATGTTCATGTTGATCTATACCTGCATAGATTATCACTGCGATATCCTTGTTTTCAAGATAACTGTCAGGCCCTTTTACTTTCTCCAGCTCTTTAACAAGGATTTCTTTCCATGTAGCTGTATTATCATCGGTCAATAGGTAGATTACAGGTTTACTAGCACGGAGAAAATGACCTATATCCTGTTTTTGATTGCGGTTTACAGGGATATTCTCACTAATATCCATTATCTCATCGTGTTCTTTGATTATAGACAGCACAGAAGAAATCTCGTAAGCGTTCCTTAGATTAACAGATAAATCTAAGTTAGCGAAGCAACGTTTAAATTCTTCTCTATTGAGGTTGAATTTAAATGGATACTTTTGAAACTTAACGTTTGTATACGATTGAAGTTCGTCACAGAATACCCAAATACTAGTATTATTGGAATCACTTTTCTTCACAACATGAAATAATCCATCAGATATGATATTTTCACCCGCACAGCCAGCTAACCTTGCATAATTTAGATCAGAGCCTGTACGATTGACGAGAAGCTGATAATCGTCTACAAAAATGTAATCAAATTTCCGTAGAAAACTCTGTGTATCTTTAGCTAAACCTTTCCCGACAATTAGTAATACGATTTTACTAGTACAGACTGTCATTTGGTATGATAAAATACAGTCTACTACAAACTGATTATACTTGACAATATAATCCTTTTTGTGTTCGTTACTGTATTCGTACGTAATCATCTCGCACTTAACAGTATCATTTATATCGTTAAGTATTTCTAATTGACGCACCGCGGCGGGAAACCTTTTAGGCATCAACGATCCAGTTAGAATAACAAGTATTCTCTCCTCTGGAGGTGTGGTTAAAGCAAGATCTATAACTTTACCCAACATTACTATGGTTTTCCCTGAGCCAGCAGGGCCCTCCACCCAGAGAAACCTCTCATCACTTTGGAAAGCATCAAGTTGATCTTTTGTAAGACTGTTTATCTTTAAGTAGTCTTTAAAAAGTTGCGGCGCATCAACCATTTCAGGATTATAGGGATACTTCTTAATCTTTCCTTTCCATTTTCCCTTTTTTGGGTACTCCTCTGATTTTGCTTCATCGACTAGTTTTCGTGTTATTAACGCATATCTCAGTTTTTCATCTACATCTTTCAAACATTTAGGGAAGCTACAGCTATTGAAATCCCATTTATTTTCCAGGTTTATACACCACAATCCTAGAAGGCAGCAACGTGATCCGTCCATTACACTTACAGTTCCCAAAGAGCTCCTTTCTTCACAAGAGTCGACTATCGAAACCAAGTTCATGAGATCATTACTGAAAAGGATTGTTTCATCACAGAGATATGACTCGTCTACCTCATCCTTGGAAATATTCGGGAAGACTGTGAACTCGAATATCATGACAGAAGGTTCTATAGATTTGATGAAATCTTTCGTCCTTTTCCTTTGTGTGAGAGCGCTATCGCAACAACCCTTAAACTTAATATTGTCTTCGTTTGTTTGCTGCAGAGATAGTCCTTTAACTTCAAACACAGCCACATAATGATCTCCCATAACGACAAAGTCGCACTCTCCTTCAATTTCTCTCGCCTTTTTATGACACAGATGTTTTTCTGGTCCTTTCTTGCACTTTTTGGTGTTACAATGATGCTCTGGGAGAAATACAGAATATTGTTCGTGAGTATACTCTAACTGATGAACAACTAGATGATTTCCTTTTGTCTCCTCAAAATACCGATACAGTTCTACTTCTGCTACATAGCCGTCCTGATGTTTTTTTTCTTGTACATTAGCCCCCTCTAACGAATCTTTGGGAGTTTATCAAAAAACTTGGAATTGGGTATTGGAGGAATCATTATTGGACTTGAAAACTCATCTCCCCTCGAACAGTGTTTTTCCAGAATTTTCCTGCCGATGACATATTCAATTTTCTTCCGGAGTCAGACTTGAACTCATAACCTAATAAGGATTCGAAACTAAAACAAAAAACGATTATGAAAACACGAATTTGCCATTTTAGAACTTTGGATGAATCTAAATTGTTAAAAATTGCAAGTCAGCCGAAATGAGTTACATCTATTCTAGCCCAAGAGAGGTTTAAATTATACCAATTAATTAGAAGCAACAGGATGAGCCATTGTCAGTTTGTCACATACATTGTATGCTTATAAAAGGACGGTATCTGAACTTTTGAGGGCGCACAAAGGCAAAAAACTGCAAGATGAATATCAAAAATATGTAGCATTGCCATTGACATTCCATGGAACTACTGCACTGGTAAATTAGATGAAGAAAGGATGAAGAAACTTGGTCTTGCGAACTGAAATGAGGATTGAGGGTGATGTTTAATTGGGTGATAACTTAGCTTACTAGTTTACTAGCTTACTAGCTTACTAGCTTACTAGCTTGGGGGGGGGGGGGGGGGGGGGGGGGGGGGGGGAATATTCCTACTTTATCTTACTTTATTCTACGTTGGCCCCAAAAGTACTTGTAGATTAAGGTAGATAAAAGTATAATGTTCATCCATTTTCTTTTGCGAATTCTACTCTACCTTTATTCTACTTGCCCCCCCCCCCCCCCCCCCCCCCCCCCCCCCCCCCCCCCCCCCCCCCCCCCCCCCCCCCCCCCTAGCTTACTACTAGGTAAGTTAAAGTGAATTCAGCTCAAGTAGAATGCGATGGAAGTGGTGAATGAACTGAAACAATCTGGAATCGTAAAAGGATAATTAATACACACGCGGTAAACAAATATTTGCAGCCATTACAAAACTTTGAACTTATTTTAACTTCAAACGAATGTATCGCACAAACACAATTCAAAAGGGAGAGCCTTCAACATACAACACGAACGTGATGTACAAAAGTATATAAAAATAATTATTCCATATATAGGAAAAACATAACAAAACAATTTTGAAGCATCCATATTAATATAATGACATTTCTGCCGTTTTCTGACAAAAGTGCTTAAGTAACACAAGGTTCATTTTGTGCAAATTGACTTGAAAGATTTCAATTCTGTAATTGCTCTGGGCTAGCTGCTGTCAAATTTAGACTGCACCCACTATGTTTCTAAGGTGCTTTGTCGACTTTTGATACTAATGACAAGGTTTCATCTAGGCTCACTTTCATCATCCTAACTTCTCGGAAAGTGCCTCAAAATCAAAAATTATAGTTTGAATTTCATAGAAAAGTGCTAAAGTACAGCCACATCGGCAAAAACTCCACATGCACATTCTTATGAAAATTACCCGTTCAAACCATTGGTCATCGAAAATAAAACGAAAAATTAGCCTTAAACTGTTGTGATGAAACACGATGAGGACACGCTGAAATAAAAAATTTCGTTTTCTGAGAAAAGTGCATACACCAAACCTGTCCAACCCGAATGACCTCATAGGCAGTTCAGTGACCATCTAGCGCACCGTTTCCACATAAAACAAATCATTTTGAGAATACCCATTTTTGTAATCGAGCATTTCCTGGTTAGAGTGGAATTTTCGGAAAAACACAATTTGTTTCATGGAGAGGCTATAAGTTAATCATTTCTTGCGGTATCGGGTTGAAATTTTGCTGGCCGTTTATTCACATCTATTTCAAGGTGTGTGTAAAATCTTGATATCGTGTCTAAAAAGGCTGGTGTGTTATAAATTTGTAAAGTCAGAAAGCTAAAATTGTCCTTTTCAGGCTTATTTTAACAAAAAGTCAGTCAGGGAAGATCGGATTGATTTGATGCTTGACATCAAATTGTTCTCTGAATTCTGGCGCAGTTTTCGATGCCCTCAAAAATGTTTTTACTTATTTATCTTCAGATCTATTGGACCTCAAAGCCAAACAACAAGTTTGGGCACATTTTTCGTTTGAAAAATCAGTAAATATTAAAAACGAAAAATGTACCTAAATTTGTTGTTTGGCTTTGAGGTCCAATAGATCTGAAGATAAATGACTAAATGAGAAAAAACATTTTTGAGGGCATCGAAAACTGCGCCAGAATTCAGAGAACAATTTGATGTCAAGCATCAAATCAATCCGATCTTCCCTGACTGACTTTTTGTTAAAATAAGCCTGAAAAGGACAATTTTAGCTTTCTGACTTTAAAAATTTATAACACACCAGCCTTTTTAGACACGATATCAAGATTTTACACACACCTTGAAATAGATGTGAATAAACGGCCAGCAAAATTTCAACCCGATACAGCAAGAAATGATTAACTTATAGCCTCTCCATGAAACAAATTGTGTTTTTCCGAAAATTCCACTCTAACCAGGAAATGCTCGATTACAAAAATGGGTATTCTCAAAATAAATTTTTCTGATGTGGAAACGGTGCGCTAGATGGTAACTGAACTGCCTATGAGGTCATTTGGGCTGGACGGCACTAACCACTGTTTTGGTGTATGCCCCCTAAAGTGCACCAACATTAGTGGGAACTTTATCTGCGATCATTCAGACGTAAAATTTTACGACAAATTGATTGGTGACGGTTTAAGAACACCAAAACACTCCCTTCTCCCAAGCGGATTAAAAAATAGTGGCAACGAGCGGGAATAAACGTTGCAATTCCTTATAAAATTTTGTTTTCGAATCGGAATTACTAGCTTACTACTAGGTTACAAGTTAAATTGAATTCAAGTAGGATGCGATGGAAGTGGTGAATGAACTAAAACAATATGGAATCGTAAAAGGATAATTAATACACACGTGGTAAACAAATATAGTTAAAAATATTTGCAGCCGTTACAAAACAAAACAAAAACAACAACTAGCCCCACAACGAAGCACAAGACGTAATGTAATAGATATCTGAGTACTAATGATATAATGATGTAATGTAAATACACCGGAGGGTATGTGAGTATATATTATTTTATGAGTAATATGATGAACATTGAGCATCGTTATAAGCTTAGAAGTTCGAATATTTAATATTTATGCATGTGTCTGATAACGGATAAAACCTTTTATAGTTTCCAGCTACTCCAGATTCCTTTATGTGGCTATAACATTACCGGCAATAGGATTAACGGTTTTTGAAAGATAAATCCGACGACTGTACTGCCGTTTTCTGACAAAAGTGCTTAAAGTAACACAAGGTTCATTTTGTGCAAATTGACTTAAAGATTTCAATTCTGTAATTGCTCTGGGCTAACTGCTGTCAAATTTAAACTGCACCCACTATGTTTCTAAAATGCTTTGTCGACTTTTGAAGTTTTGAGACAAGGTTTCATCATCCTAACTTCTCGGAAAGTGCCTCAAAATCACAAATTATAATTTGAATTTCTTAGAAAAGTGCTTAAGTATAATAACAGCCACATCGGCAAAAACTCCACGTTCTGATGAAAATGACCCGTTCAAACCATTGGTCATCGAAAACTCGAAAATAAGACGAAGAATTAGCCTTAAACTGTTGTGATGAAACACTAGTTGTAATATTGGGAGACGCTGAAATAAAAAATTTTAAAATTTCGTTTTCTGAGAAAAGTACTTAAGTGCACCAACATTAGTGGGAACTTTATCTGCGATCATTCTGAACTAAAATTTTACGACAAATTGATTGGTGATGGTTTAAGAACACAAAAACACTCCCTTCTCCCCAGCGGATTAAAAAATAGTGGCAACGAGCGGGAATAAAACGTTGCAATTCCTTATATAAATTTGTTTTCAAATCGGAATTCTACCAGTATTTTGACGCTTGTTTTGACGAAGAGTCGATTGGTGATAGTACGGGATAATAATAACTTAATAAATAAGTTTCTTTCTTTAGATATTAAATTAAGAACTAAATTAAGGCCAAGGTTTTGCGAATTATCTATATTATATTTTAAACTTGACGAATTCCCCCCGGCCCCGGCAACGGGGACAAAACACTGAAAATTTACCTAAAAATGACCCTCTGGCGTGACCAATTTCAGCTCGCAAATGGAGTTGAAACATCGCTATTTTTAGCAGAATTGTAAAAAAAGGATTATAGGAATAGCCTATAGCATTCTTAGAATTTTGATTAAGGCTTAATATTTTCTATAATTAACGTCGGAAGTGAGGTAAAATAAACGTTAGAATAATGGCGTTATTTTAGCAAAGGTAAACAGCGTCGTTGCTTAGCAACATCAAGAGATTGCACGTGCACGAGCTAGAACAGATTAGCGCGTTGTCACTTGTCATGCTCTATGATACGTCATAACTAGCTCACATTACAATTTACGCTATGACTATCCATAACTTTGGCTGTGATTAATGTTTTTTGATGCAGTAAAAGTATCGATTAGGGAAAACTTAAATAAAACCTTTATCGTTATCGGCAAATAAAAATCCATACGCCGAGCTAGATCGTAGATAGATAGATGATAACAAGAAACTATAACATAACTGATTTTAAATTTCCTTGAATAAAGCGTTCAGCTAGCGGATGTACAGGTTTGAGGAAGCCTATGAGCTAGGCAAGCGGATAACTAAAACTTAGTGTTTACCATGTTATAAGGCACAACACTCATTCTCGAAAAAAGCTTTAAAATCGTACAAGAAAAATGTATTGTCAGGAACAGGTTGTAATAATACGGAATATTGAATCCGTCCCTTTGATCACGAATCAATACGAACAAAAAGGTAGATTGAAAACAGCGTGAATATGAGGTATATAAGATGAGCTATAGAAATGAATAGATATGTTTCGCTCTATAGCTTGTTGAGTATTACATGCGATGAGCTATTCTTACTTTATATCGCAAGATCCAATCATGTCCTAACATTCCCTACTCAAAGTCAATATCCCATTCACTATAATTGATAAGCTAAGGTACACGAAACGTGTGTGAACAATGTTGCGTTATCCAGCTATTGTCGTACGGAGTACCTACAGCTTTACACGTCACGAGGCACACTGTTCCTACTCAAGTATTGTATCCTACAAATCTTCTCTCCAGATACTATTTATTCAGGCAATACTACCGAGAATATATCTATTTATATTTAAAACTTAACGAAAAAATCGGGGCTCATAAGTCTACAAAGTTTTAAAACTATATCTTTCTTTTTATCGCTTGCTAATCCCGTGTGATTGATTTTGTGATTGATTTTGTGGGAAAGCTATGATTATACCTAACCGGATCAATCTCTCTTCTTTCTGCCGCAGAAATGGAGCAGAACAGAAGGAAACCTCGTTCTGCTCTGATTTCCATTCCATTTGGACCGAGCCACGCTGAAACCTGATAACCTCCACCTTCTCGAGCAGTGGTCTTTCTGTTTTGCAGCGGTTGCTTGTCCAATATGACCTTATAGGCCAAAAATGAAAGTCCGAACAGGCCATAGAAACAGCGGTACCCACCTTTTCCACTGCACCACCAAAGTCCTCAAGTCATAATTGATGATTATGTAGCTGTCCGCACTGTTTGATGAACAGTTCCACTTTATGGTGGAACGAGTCAGCGCTTATGAACGTATGGCCTGGCTCCAGATATTTCACGGTTATCGTGTCAAGCCCGAGGTCAGGGCTGTTTATGGCGAACATAACGCAGTGAAAAGCGTCCAGCATTTGTTCTGAGCGGAACAATTGTCTGCCCACAGAATTTTTTCCCGGCTTTCACCATTTCTTCCTTCAGCATAATACCTTATAGCTTTGACCCAGGTTGAAGATACGTTCTCATCTTTCCTCCCAGCAATAGCAATTTGCTTCATTTTAGGTCAGACAAGCTAAAAATCTGCAGTCTCAACTGATTAGAGAATACAAATTTTAAAGCAAATTAATCAGAATCAACATTTAATTATAAAAGTATATGGCACTTAAGCACTTTTGTGAGAAAACGAGCTCGTTTTCACAAAAGTGCTTAAGTGCAATAAATTGTTTTTTCCAGGTCAAAGGACCCACGATCACCAAATTGCCGTCACTAGGCCAGTTTTGGACGTAGAAAACAATGACACCATTTTTTGTATTTTAGGGGGTTCCAAAAAGGGGGTTTCGGGGGGTCGGCGAATGTATCCAATGGTCCTCAGGGATAGTTCTTGACCCAAAAACAAAAGTTAGACCAAAAAACCCGAAATTTCCAAAATGTTACTTAAGCACTTTTGTCAGAAAACGGCAGTGTACAGGTTGTTATCATCGGAGGGAACGTGAACAGCAAAATAAGTTTAATTTGATATGTAATGATCGAAATTGTAACATTAAAGTCGCAGAGAAGTTTTGCCAAAATAAACTAAACTTTTACAATCAATTAATGATAGTTGAGTGTTGTCACGGCCACGGGTCTTAACAGTTTTGCTTACTTACTCCACTGTGTTTAGTGTTCAGAATTTTCGATTATTCCGTAAATACGACCTAGGGAAACTACTCTTTTCAAAGGTAAAGGTAACTGTGCGAAGTTTCAACGTAACTACATCATATTCATGATGTCTGAAATTATTTGTCATACAGTAGTATTAAAAGCATTAAAACTCTTACAAAATAATAAATTACTATGATTAACAATAAAACTGCTCACCCTCAAGAATCCTAGCTCTGAAAGTGAACCCAGTCACCGAGAGTCTCACTATTACATCCTCGTCTGTGTAATCGCTTGGCAGGGGCATCAGCTCAAAGCTGGGCTTGTTCAACTCTTGTTGGATCTTGTCTAACGTGCCCCAGTCCTCTTCAAACTGTATCCACACATATTGTGGTGATATCACCTGGCTTATCTGATGGAACATTGAGATATTATCACCTAAATTGTCTGATAGAACATCGAAACTTGATATTTTGTCGAATCTGGAATGTAATTTTTCGTAAAATATAAGAATGTACGCAATGTTGCAGAATGTATTTTTAAACACAGTCCTCTCACCCGGCAAGTGTCTAAGATAGCATCAGTGTGTAGTGAGTCTGGACTGTAAGATCTAAAGTGCGGAACTGAGCAGATGTTGTGAGAAAACAGCAGTTCTGATACCAGCATGTTACCTGAAATTAGAGACAAGATGCAACTAGACTGGAGAAATGTTACATGAAACACGACTTATATTGAGAAATAAACCAGGATTCCAGGAAAAGCTAAGGTTCCAGGAAAAGCTAGGATTCCAGGAAAAGCTAGGAATCGGGCAGTTCTGAGACGTAACCAGTTAACTTCATGTCTACAAGATAAGAGCAAAGAACAGTGTAGCCTTTTTACCATGTTCAGTAGTCAGCACCACCTCAAGTAACTCCCCGTATCTCGTCTTTTTATTCGATATCTTCTTTCTCAGCATCTGAGCGTAATATACTGTGTTATTCAACATGTAGAAACATTCACAGAACATATAAAAACAGGAACTTTAATGAACTAATTTAGGGAAAATAGTATTGCCTCGTTTTTTGATGAGTTTTAAATGAAGCCTTTAGAAATAAGTTTAAATAATACTAGAAGCGGGAAGAAGTACAACCCTGATAAAATTGTTCTACTTTTAAATATAAATAAATGTAAAAAGGGGTTAAAATTAACCCTCCCCCAGCCTTCCTCTGTTTCATACCCCGAATGTGTTCCCAGAAAGGTGCTGGTGAGCAGTTGCAGTTTGTTGTTTGGACCAGGTGGTGGTCAGGTTGTCAAGGCAACAGTACACGTGCTTGTTCTTAGCGTCCACTAGATCCAACAGTCTGCTTAGTTCCTCTGAAAAAACTCTCGTTTTAGATGAGATCTGTGAGCGGGTATTTCCTTCAACTTGTCATCATAATTTATTGCCCAATTAGACAAATTTATCGCCGCAATCATTCTAGAACTTAGGAAGTCAGTGCTTGCTTTTTACGTTAAAAGTTAAATCATAAAACGCATTTCGGTCAAGATCTCAGCAATGTGTTATGAATAGGTAAAACTGATATAACTATAAGTATAACACACCGGTATGGATGATATTGAGACTAAGAAACATCACAGTATCATGCTCCAGTACCATATCCAGGATACGGAGACACACCACATGGAGCTGGAACTTAAGAGAGCCGGAGTTCCTGACATAGGTCAGTGTGTGCCCGTCATCTGACCTAGTGTAGTTCCACACCGCCTTCAGTAGGTCGCAGAATTCTCTTGTTAACAACTGGGGAGGGGAGGGGTTACGTTTCTAAATGACATTATTTTGAAATTATAATCTTTAATTTTGTAATAAAACCTCATTGAGGATAAAGTGAAAGTACGCGGTAATACGCACACGTACAATGTACATTGTAATTTAAGATAATCAGCAGAAACATACCTCACGAATAACGTCAGGTCTCTTCATAAACTCTAACAAACCCCTCAATATCTCGAGCCGAGTTCGAGCATTAGGCCGGACAATCAACAACTTCTTGGAGTACTCTCGGAGTGCGTGGAGCATGTTACCTTCGGTACATGAAGCAAAGCAATCAGTCAGCATCATATTGATAGAATGTAGTACGTAGTATAGAACACAAAGCAGAATAATGGAGGGCAGTATTAAATTTTGAGAAAGAGATTGAAAACCACTGCCTGAAATCAACCAGGTCCCTAGCCTATGGTTACACATACTGGCATCACGTGACTACAAGAAACTATATATCAGATCCAGGAACACTGTCACAATCCCATGGTAACAGTACGGTTACCATAGCAACACGCTTCCAGGGATACTAGACCCTTGTTTATTATGTAAGTGATAGCTGGAGCATTAAGTGGCAGTTTAAATTACAAGGTGAAGCTTTCAGGTTAACACTTTTTACATCGTTTGGTTTTAAATTAAAATTTCAATGAAATAATAGGAAACTTAATATCAATAATACGCCAGAGTTTATTGTAAAATGATGATTGATCACATTCAATTATATGATACATCTGTAAGTCTGATACATAAAATATTGTACTGTTTAATAAAGAGTAAAATAGTAGTAACTATTCTGCGATATACATGATAACTTTATGAGGGTCGATCTATGTTTTAAAACTATTCCCATAAAAATAATAAAAAATCAATTTAGAATCGTTTTTAGTCTGTCACACCCAATTCAGTCCTCTCACCTTCAGCTAGCTTTCACAATAAGAGGACGAGAGGTCCTTATTATATTATATTAACAATTACTCTGTTTGCACAAAAGACAGTCACCCCAAAATAAATTCGTCGGATAAAACATACGGTCCAGTTAGTTCACGATCAACAGACTTCAGCACCACAATCTCATCTCCAACCTTCACCTTACCTGGTCGCAACACCTTCCAGTAACTTCCAAAACAAGCCCTGTTTCGTGTATCCCTGAACGGTCCATGTTTAAAGACAGTGTCATACACCTTGGTGTCCATTTCACCTTTAAAAGCATTGATAACCCCACATCTAGGACTCATGAACGTTTGCTCCAACTCCAGCTGATCCCCAATTCTGACAACTTTCCAGAGGTTCTCTGCCCCAGCCTCACATCCAGTAACCACCACACTCGGTCTGAACCTTTCCATTTCCACTGCAGTACCTGCCTCCGCGTTCATCCTGTCCAACGTGCTCACGGAAGTTATAAGAACAGGAGGTATTGCTGCTGGTTTCTTATTTGGTGCTCTGTACACAGGGAAGTTGTGTTCACCTGATAGTTTTCTATCTGGTACATAGAGTAGGGTTACTGGTTGTCCACCAAGAACAGCAGTCATCCAATTGCCAGCCTCCTCACCAGCGTTTATATACTCCCTGTCATCGGAGAGCAGATCATCATTGAACTTCAACCCAAAGATTCGTTCTCCAGACACAATTTCACGCAGGCACAAGATCAAATCATCGTGTCCTTGACAGGAGATGCACATCTTCTCACAAGAGGGATCAGTAAAGGTGCATGATATGCTGGTTAACTTGCTTCCCAGCTTTGTATTCCCATAAAGCCGAGCTATTTCAGGGTTTTTAACATACACAGCCAGACGTTTGTTGTGCTTGAGGCCGACTGTTGTAACGTCCCATGATTCTACGGATAGCATCTTTGTTGTTCTGATCGGAGCAACATTTACTTTACTGACGATACCAACAATTTCTTGTTTGTCATGATGGAGGTATCTCTGCACTGTTTCGATGACTGCCAAGGTACCATTCATTGCCACGATAGGAATGAAAAGCAATGATTTAATATGATTTTCAAGAAACTGGATCGTAGTTTCTGTCATGTTGTACACAGAGTTTCTGGAAACAAAGAATTGGTATGTTGTAGAACAATTATTGTTATTGTTGAACAATTATTGTTATTGTTGAACAATTGAGGTCAAAATGAAAAGTTTTTATTGTTGGACAATTCTAATTGTTGATCAATAGTACTGTAGCTATTCTGGACCGCTTCAATGGGCAACCAGGTTGGATGGGATCAATAGTTTGTTCTGAAGCTATTGAAACTGAATGATTGGTATTTTTATGAACATAGTTGTTTTCAGAGAATTGGGTTCAAGTTCAAAGAAAATCCTGGACCACTTCAATGGGCAACCAGGTTGGATGGGATCAATAGTTTGTTCTGAAGCTATTGAAACTGAATGATTGGTATTTTTATGAACATAGTTGTTTTCAGAGAATTGGGTTCAAGTTCAAAGAAAATCCTGGACCACTTCAATGGGCAACCAGGTTGGATGGGATCAATAGTTTGTTCTGAAGCTATTGAAACTGAATGATTGGTATTTTTATGAACGTAGTTGTTTTCAGAGAATTGGGTTCAAGTTCAAAGAAAATCCTGAACCACTTCAATGGGCAACCAGGTAGGATGGGATTAATCATCAATAGTTTGTTCTGAAGCTATTGAAACTGAATGATTGGTATTTTTATGAACATAGTTGTTTTCAGAGAATTGGGTTCAAGTTCAAAGAAAATCCTGAACCACTTCAATGGGCAACCAGGTAGGATGGGATTAATCATCAATAGTTTGTTCTGAAGCTATTGAAACTGAATGATTGGTATTTTTATGAACATAGTTGTTTTCAGAGAATTGGGTTCAAGTTCAAAGAAAATACTGAATCACTTCAATGGGCAACCAGGTAGGATGGGAATCAATGAGGTTTAACTGAATAGGTCAAGTAACAGTAATAGAACATTCAATTTACGGTAAAATGTAACCGTTCAAATTGAAAACCTTTTTCAATTTCGAATGAGTACGATATAGAAAGCAAATATTTCATCACAGCTTTATCTCCGTTTTCTCTTTTGTTAATCTCTGAACTCTATTATTATTGTTCTAGCTCCATATGAACAGGGGGAACTTTAGTGCATGCCCTTCCTAAATTCCTAGGATTTCAATGAAACCCTTCTCCCTGTGTAAAAAGCTTGGGTGATGAAAATAGAACGGCCAAAAATCTTTCCCAGAGGGAATTCTAATATTGGGACCGATATCCAGCTGAGTAAGGTTAAAACTTCAAACTCGACTGGGGGAATCTGGTACTAAACTCTCATGAGATACTGAAGAGTATTGTTGTCGAATGTCGTTGTGCTATTGCAGTTTTAATAGCAAAATTTTCTATTAAAACTGAATGATGGTTCAAGTTCAAAGTAAATTCCAGACCACTTCAATGGGTAACCGGTTGGATGGGATTCAATGAGGTTTTAAAATAGTTGAGTAAAAGCAAATTTAGAACAATCCACTTACAGTAAAATGTAACCTCTCAAAGTGATTCTCACTTTTATTTTCTTTACTGAACAAATCGAGTAAGTATATAGAAATCAGATGTTTCATAGTGCTTTATACCTGTTTTATTTCACAGCAATCTCTGATGATATGATGTTTATCATATTCTACCTCTCAAATGCTTAGGGAAGTATGAGCATCCCTCCTGCTCCTAATGCCAGCCTTTCCTGTCAGTTTGTTTAATTGATTATTTGTTTAATTGAGTTATTTTCACTCTGGGAAAGTTCCCATAGCCGAGGATCATATTGGCTAATGATCCAGTAGTATAGTCAACTACCTTTCCCAAACTGACACCCATCTCCTGACGAGGCAGGGGAGTGTCATTGATCCATTGTTAACTACGTCAGGTGATAGCAGTGGTGGAAATAGTAAGGTCCCCCCTGGCAAGCCAAAAGGGTACGACCCCCTAATATGATCCCCAGATTGATAATTATAAATAGGTATCAGATATAAGTCTTACAGATATAATGCATCATTTTATCCCACTACAAACTGATCTGTCAGGCTGTACGGGCCAGTTATGTTGCTCTCTAAGGACTTCAATAGCATGACTTTATCTCCAACATGAACATCCCCTGGTCTAAGAACCTTCCAATAGCTTCCAAAACAGGGTCTGTTCCGCATGTCCCTAAAAGGTCCTTGCTTGTATATTGTATCATATACCTTTGGGTTCAGTTTCCCATCTAATGCGTTTACCACACCACATCGTGGGTTCATGAAGGTTTGCTCCAACTCTAACTGGTCCCCAATTTTTATGACTTTCCAAAACCCCTCCGCACCTGGTGTGTTGCCTTTTACCACCACATTTGGTCGGAGTCTTGCCATCTCAACTTTGGCACCTGATTTTTCATTCATTTCTTCCAATGTGGTGATTGATGTTATATGAACAGGTGGTACAGGAGCTGGTCTTTTATCAGGTGAAGATCCATAGATAGGGTAATTTACTTCACCTGACAATTTTGTCTCAGGCACATAAAGCATTGTAGCGGGTATCCCCAGAACATTGCTAATCCAATTATCTGCTTCATCTCCAAGCTTTTGATATTCTTTGCTATCATTGGGCGTGTCTTTGAACCTTATTCCAAATATTCGCTCTCCAGACAGAACTTCTTGAAAGGAAATCAACAAATCAGGGTGTCCATCAAGTGATAGGCATAGCTCATCATCATTGCCACTAGCAAATTGGCAATTTATTGCAGACAATTTACAACCTGGCTCTACATTACTAGATAACTTGGTAACTTGAGGATATAACTGATAGACAGCTATGCGTTTGTTGTGCTTCGGTCCTGACACCAAGATATTCCAACTGTCTAATGGAATCATCTTAGCTGACCGTAATGGGCCCAAGAACAATTCAGAAACAACACCCACATTCTCTTCTTTATCGAAATAATAGAACCTTTGCAAAGTTTCTATCAATGCTAGGGTTCCATTCATTGTCAAGAAGGGTACCATTATAAGTGATTTATAATGGTCTTGTAAGAACTGTCTAACATTCATACCTAGATCACTGCACCTGTTATAGAAGTTACATTAACTATGATATTTGCTATGGCTTTACTGTTAATCAGAGGACACAAGTGCTATACTATTAAGTTCATAATTAAGATAGGTTTACCTACCTTGAATTTGAATATTTGTTATTATTAATCAGTTTTAATGTACAATATCACTCCATGAGGAAGCCATCAACAGTTATATTTAGCCAATATAATATATCACTACTGTAATAACGACGATTTAGCCTCCCGGCATCAATAATGCTACAGTAACACAAAATCAATTTATTTTTATACTGGCATTATCAAAAACATTTAAAAATAATTCCTACATATTTGTAAATAGTTGTAATTGTTATTCACTCAAATTACTTTAGTTTTTTATTTGAAAATTCAATTAATCATTATATATATAAATCAAGCGTTACATTTCAGCCATGCAAAATTACAATGACATATTTTGATATACTAAATGATAAATGGTACTGCAATATAAGTTGCTTAATGTTTGGCCGGATGACAACTAACGAGAAAAATAAACTTGATTATATAATAATTAATTCGGCTGAACCAACACATAGCAAGAGCCACATTAACGTTGGGGCCGTCTACCAAATTTGAATGACAAACATTAACAAGAAATCAAACATATCATAAATAATTATAAGGATTTTGTTCATTACAATTCCGTCACAACTGATAAAGAAAAAAGAAAAGGACAAGCTGATAGGAAATTGGACGGACAGAATTGTAACCAACAAAAACAAATTTCTGAGACTCATAAGACTGATGAGCTAATCTGGCCAGACTGTATCGGCAGCCCAGAGGTACTTGATCAGTTTGGCCTTAAAAGTAGAAATCTGCTCTGACTGCCGGATACATACTGGTAGACTATTCCATTTCAGCATAGATCTATGAAAAAAGCTATTTCGGAAGGCATCCGAGCAGGGCACAGTGGTACTCATGTAAGTTGAAGTATCCGACATATCAATTATTTGAGCATTGTGCCTAGTGTATCGGGTGCCCTCTGGACGGCATAGGACTATATATGCAGGGAGCGAAACTGGAATTATGCTATTCACTATTTTATAGAAGGTCATAAGATCGTTATAAATAAACTTCTGTTTAACAGGGAGAATATTTAGTTTCTTTTGCTCTGTAGCAAGTTTATCGTCATTATAACTGGAGTAAGGTTCACCATTGATCCATTTAATAGCCCTCTTTTGGATAGCAACAAACTGTTGAAGATGAGTTGCAGATTGAGGGGACCATATGACAGAACAATGTTCAAATATAGACCTAATTAACGCTAAATAGAACGATCTTTTCTGCCTTTTATCAGTAGTGAAATGACATGTTCTCTTAAGTAGTCCAAGTCTAGAGGTAGCTTTGCACAACATTGTGCACCCCAATTAAACCTGGAGTTTATTGCGACTCCTAAATCTGACTGAGACGGCACAAAGTCAATATCACTTCCAGAAAGTTTATAAAAGAAGGTATTGAATGGCAAGTTATCCAGCACGTTTCTTTGCAGGGACACAGAGAGGGCTTTGCACTTTTGTGGGTGGAACTTCATTCGATTTCTCACTGACCAATCATATAATCTGTTGATGTCATTTTGGATTATGTGATGGTCAGGGTAACCAAGGATCTCCCTCCAAATTTTAGTGTCATCTGCATAAAGGGCGATATTGGTGCCTTCAGAGACACAGGAGAACATGTCATTTATAAATATTACAAACAATAAAGGGCCAAGTATAGAACCTTGAGGGACACCAGACCGAACTGGTAGAGAAGAAGACGTTTCGCCTCCTATCACTACTTGTTGTTGTCGCCCCTCAAGATAGGACTTAATAAATTTAAGCATTAGTCCATCGACATTAAAAATATTCTTTAATTTACTTAAAATGAGGTCATGCGAAACGCTATCAAAAGCTTTCGCAAAATCAAAATATATTATATCAGTCCTGGACCTGTCATTCAATGCAAGTGCAAGATTGTCCGTGAAAGGTATCATTTGGGTTGTGCATGAACGTTCATTAACAAAACCGTGTTGTCGGTCATCCAACAGATCAGAACATGCAGCGTATAATGCAGTCTTTATGCACCTTTCAAAGACTTTCATTACAAGAGATGTTAACGAGATAGGCCCGTAGTTCTCAACCGAAGACTTATCGCCCTTTTTGTGCACTGGTACTACAAGTGCCAGTTTTCAATCAGGGGGTATGCATCCGCTCGAGAAAGACAGGTTAAATAAAACACTAAGTGGGTATGCAAGGCTTTGGGCACAGTTTTTGAGGACTCTCCCATGAATCCCATCAGGGCCAGGGGCCTTGTTAGGATTTAACTTTTTAAGAATCAACAGAACATCTTCTCTGCTAAACACAAGACTTGAAAAACAATCATCACGAAAATCTATGTCAATGTCATAATCGCTCTCTTGAGAAAACTGCTCATAAAAATATTCGTTAAAAAGGGCAGCTTGATCAGATGGATTGTTTCGAAAGCGATTATGATATTTGACAGTTTCAGGGATCCTGGTTGACTTTGATTTAGATTTAACATAGGTCCAGAATTTCTTGGAGATAAGAGCATCATCGGAGTCATCCTCAACACTGAGTCTCATTCTTTCGTCCATCAAATTTTTAAATTTTGTGCGAAATGCACGAAACTTTTGTTTATGAGACTCAGAGTTGCTCCCCTTATGCCTTATTCTCCATTTCTCCTTATTTCGTAGGAGACGATCACATTCGGAGTCATACCATGGGGGCTGGAACTGAGACTTAATGGTCTTTTTAGGGATCCATCGGTCACAGGCTGCACCGAGAACTCCTCTGAATCGACTCCAGGCAAGATAAGGATCATTACACTCAAATATACTATCCCAATCGATGCTAAATAACTCAGAATTCAGGCCCCTAAAATTACCTTTACTATAATTAAAGATCTTTCTTTTAGGCTGCTTAATATACTTGGTCTTAATATCAATGTCAAATGTGATACAAAAGTGGTCGGACATACACATTTCGTTTTGATCTAAAACTTTAACATTCTTAATAAGGTTTTGAATGTTAGTGAACACAAGATCTAAGGTGTTGCCTGACTTGTGAGTAGGGGAGCTAATAAGTTGTGTATGTCCGAGGTCATCAGTGAGAAAATTTACAAAGCTAGAATGTAGCTGGCAAGATGACTGACCATCTGGCCAGGAAATCGAAGCCAAATTAAAGTCACCTACCAGAATGTGCCTTTGCAATTTTCTGGCAGATGCTAAAGTAACAAAATGTTTCTTGAAAGATTCAAAATTATCTAAGCCAAGCGTTCCTACTCTATAAAATGTTGATATACAAAAGTTTCTTCCACACTGAGTCTTAATTATGATGGATAATAATTCAGCTTGAACACTAACTTTAGAGAACTTTAGACTCGAGATATCAATGTCTGTTCTATGGGCAATCAGAACACCACCTTCGTTTTTTCTGAATTTCTTGGGCTGGGTTGCATCCACTGGATGCGATCTTAAGGATCGGTCAAGCCTAAATACTTTGTATTTGTCAGGGAGCACCTCATTACTGAGAATGGAATTTTTCAGCCATGTCTCGTTTAGAATAATGATATGAGGCTTATGTTTGTAGATATAACCATGGAATTCATGTATCTTGGTCATATTTAGTGGTGGTGTTCCTGATGCTAAATTGCGTGTATTTAGGAAACCATGGACATTATTGTAAACAACGGATAAATTTGGTCCAGGGTTCAGTAAGGAACAATTACAAATTACTATCAGGGAAATATTAAGGAGAGATAGAAAAACCAGACCACACCTAGACATGACCCCAAGCCAGCTGCTGGTTATACTGAAAAGTAACTTAACAGTCTGTTTCGGTGACATGGTAGGTGACAGTTCGGTTTTTGTGGTAGATAGCAATTTGACAGAAATTGCAGCTAAGGCTGTCCCAATGCCCCCCTCCCCCCTATACACAAGTTTAAAGTGTCTGAGAAAATGGTACAAAATATTACTATAAAGTAAAGATTTATGGATGACCTCAAACATGGTACAGAGTGTATTTTAGGTTGTAGGGGAGCACCAGGGAGTATATTAGCATCGATAGTCAAAGAAAATATATACAAAATAACATAAAAATAAAATATACCCAATAGAGCACATAACATATGACGAGACAGAAGACAGGACAACAAATTTTCCCCGTTACCTCTATTACTTTTACTGATGATAACATACCTAGAAAACATACCAGTTGCAACACGGTGTTGTTGAGCCGATATTCCCATGGAACTTTAAAGTATATTATCAACAGAATTGTGTCTCGCCGTTGTGTTTTGTTAGGTATTGTGCTATAATATGAAGTAACATACATTATGCTATCACTTCGTTTGAATACATATAAATAACATCCAAATGATCAGATCCAATAGGATACTGATGCAGACAATGAAAAATTTAAATATTGAATTGAATTACCACATCAGTATCCCAATGGATTAAACCACTTTGAGTGTATGATTCTGAGATAGAACTTTGCCAACACTGGCAACCCAGCTTTGGGGCTGGGATGAATATCATAAAAGCCCCTATTGTCACATTTAGGAAATAGTAAAACAAATTTTTTAGTAAAACAAATTTAAATTTTGGTATTTATTAATAACAATCAAAACATATCATATCATAAAAATAAAGCCGCGCGTTGGTTGACTGCCTCAGTATGGTGAATAATTTAAGCTTGAAGGTGCCCTGCGCATTTACAGAACATTATGCGGCGATCACATGATCACGAGGACCTGTGAGCGCCAAATTTAATTTAAACTTTCTAGAAATCGTACATCACTACGAGTTACTCATGCTTTTGAATTATAGGAGTGCGGATTGTCAGGTATTTCATTCATTCATACTTAATCGGTTTAAAGCTGTATATTTAGAGCTCACTATTGTTTGAACTATGAAAGCAGAACGTAAATAATGGACAATATACCGACGACAATACC